CTTTTCACGTGCCTGGATGAGTGTAGCTCCCACAACACTCAAGAAGCTCAGCACCATACAGGGGAAAACAGCCTCTTAATCAGCACCCCAATCACCCACTTAAATATTTGCTCTCTCCATCACCAAAATATTATTGTATAGTCTTATGCACAAGATGCACTGCAGCAATTCAACAAAGGCCCTTTGACAACTCCTTCCAAATGCACGCCTTCTAACATCTAGAAGAGCAAGGTCAGCAGATGCATAGGAACACCACCACCTGCAAGTTCCCCTGCAAGCCGCCCACCATCCGGACTTGAATCCATATCAGCATTCCTTTAGTGTCGCTGGGTCAAAATCCCAGAACTCCCTTACTGACAATACTTACACCAGATGGACTGCAACTGTTCAAGAAGACAGCTCATTACCACAGGGCAATCAGGGATGGTCAACAAATACTGGCCTGGCCAGTGATACCCACATCCCATGAAAGAATAAAAAAATTGACATGAGATGACACATCAGATTACAATGCTTAAAACCCATTGAAGAGAAACAAGTACATAGAAGAAGTTTGACAGTTAGTTGATTTTAGCATAAATGTTGTTAGAAATAGACCTACTGCCATTCGAAATTGTCAGATAGGTGCCTGGTAAACATTAGACTTCAAAAACATTGCAGACGTTGACTCCATGCATTATCATTGTTATTTAATCTGTTTTTGCAGCTCATTAGGTAAAGCACTTATGTATTGATAACGTGGTTAATATTTAACACAATTGTATGTGTCAGACAAGGGGTATGTCAGGAACCATCAATACATTGACCAACCTGTTAATTATTAATAGGGAGATTTTTGTTAACCTTTGTGACATGTGGTCCTAATAGATCTTCTGTGTAACTTTTGTTTAAAATAGAATTGTGCAGATTTGGTGTACAAATAATAGGCTTATGTACAGCATCACAGGGAATCTAAAAAAATCTGACAGCCCACTCTGAGGATTCAAGACCACTGCCAAATTGTATGAACTGAGCTGCTGTGGTAAACTGGCTATTGATGGCCTGGTTTACAGACTTTGAACATCAGCCTGAAATGAAGGGGAGTAAATCTGGTTATAAAACTGAAGGTCTAGAGAACAATAGTCTTGCCCACTCTCTGTTATATATGTGAAATTTGGACTAGTTGCCAGTGTTGTGCCAAGAGACTCAACCACTTTCACTTGATCAGATGGCAGAACAAAATACCAGACACTGAGGACTCACCTGAGCTCCTTACCAAAGCATTTACATCATGTTGAAATAAAACAATTAACCTTGGGCTGATTATGTAGGCAGCATGTCTGACACTTGCTTACCAAAGTGCATCTTCTATGGAGAGCTTGAATCTAAGGTCTGCTGTCGGTGATCAAAGGAGGCACTGCAGGGACATCTTGAAGACTTCTGCAGCATCTTGTCCAATTTGCAGCAAACCCTCTGGGTGCAGATCAGCCTTTACAGTCAGCTACCTATCTGCTGGCATCCTATCAAACGCTGCAGATAATGAAGTCATTTTCGCTTCAAAGCAAGCACCAAAAAGATTGTGGAGAAATGCACTGTAAACTGATTGATCTTGTTCAAAGGGTCCTGTAGCTGTGTGAGTGTGAACCAATAGCATGTAAATTCTGAGCTGTGATCATTTTCTCTACAGCATTCAGAGCTGCCAATGTTGTGAACCATTATTCTAGATCTGGCTGCAGCTAGAGTTCCCCTAGTTTCATGCCTGATGTATGGGGCTCCACACAGTTGTCAATGTTTAACTTTCCACTCACTTCATCCTTGCAATCACCACCATGCCCAGTGTAACAGGTGAGGTGAGGAGCAGTTGAATTAAAAATAGGCAATACCTTTACAAGGTAGTGAGATACTTATTAACATATTTAAACATGTTCTCACAATGCAGAACTTCCCAATAAATATTGATAATACACTTTCTGTGAATAGTCCTGGGACTGCACTTCCTGCATACATCCACCTAAATAGGTAGTAATGTGATTGCCTGGCTCTCTTCTGGAGTTGCCTATTTAAATACATAGTTGATCTCATGTTCACCAATTACTGGTGCATCTGTCCATGACAATATCAGTAAAAGTGATGCTGCACAATCCTTGTAGAGACAATATTCAATCTTCACATTGAGGTTAATTTCCATTGTATTGTATGGCACTATCACTGTGCTAAATAGGCTAGACTTTGATCAGATCTAGCAACTCAAGACTGGGCATCATGAGGTAGCGTGAGCCATCAACAGCAGCGAAACTGTGCTTCAGCACAGTTAGCAAACTCATGGCCCGGCGTCAAACCATCAAACCAGGGGATCAACTTTAGTTCAATGGAGAGTGCAGGGGGGGCGTGCCAGCAACTATACCAGACTTACCTAAAAATGAGGTGTAACTATAAAGCAGCTCTGCTGTGACAGACAGGGCTAAATGACTCCATGAACAATAGATCAGATCTAAGCTCTACCGTCCTACCACATTCGGTTGTGAATGGTAGTGGACAATTATGCATCTGACCAGAGGAGTCATCTTCATCGTCAATGCAGAGAAAGTAAAGTTAATGTTTCGGGTCTAGTAACCTTTCTTTAGAACTTGACCCAAAATGTTAACTCTGCTTTCTGCCCACTGATGCTGCTAGATCTGCTGAGTTTTTCAGCAGTTTCTATTTTTGTTCTTTCCAGCATCCACAGTTCTTTAGGTTTCTTTTCTTCCTCATCTTCAATGATTTGAGAGCCCAGCACAATGGTGCAACAGTCAAGGGTGAAGCATTTGCAACAATCTTCAGTCAGAAGTGCTGACTCGTTAATTCATTGCAACCACCTCTATTAGGCATAGATACCAGTCTTCAGCAAATTCAATTCACTCCACATGATATCAAGAACTGGTTGGAGGCACTGGATACTGCAAAGGCTGTGGGTAATGACAGCATTCCAGCAATAGTACTAAAGACTTGTGCTCTAGAACACATTGCACCCAAGCTGCACCAATACAGCCACAACAGTGGCATCTACCCGACAATGTAAATTGTCCAGGAATGTCCTGTTCACAAAAAACAGGACTAATCATACCCAGCCAATTACTGCCTGATCAGTTTAATCTCAGTCGTCAGTAAAATGATCAGGAATGTGCCAACAACAGTGCTATTAGGCAGCACCTGCTCGGTAACATCCAGTTCACTGATGCTCAGGTTGGCTTCCTCTGGGTCCACTCAGCTCCTGGCCTCCCGACAGCCATGGTTCAAAACTGGACAAAGAGCTGATTTCCAGAGGCGAGGTGAGAGTCACTGCCCTTGATTTCAAGGTCACATTTGACCAATATGGCATGAAGGAGTCCTAGTGAAACTAGAGTCAATGGGAGTTGGGAGATGAATCTCTTCACTGGTTGGAGTTATGCCTAGCATAAAGGAAGATAGTTGGGAATGTTACCATCACTGAATTCCCTACTATCAAGATCCTGGGATCACCATTTACCTGAAACTTAACTAGACTAGCCACAAAAATACTGCAGTTACAGGAATAAGTCGGAGGCTAGGAATCCTGCAGTGAGTAATTCACCTTCTGACACCATCCAGACCATCACATGGTCATCACATCCACAAACATTCACTCCCTCCATTGATGACATCAGGAGCAGCAGTGAGTTCCATCTACAAGATGCGCTGCAGAAATTCACCAAGGATCCTTAGACAGCACCTTCCAAACCCACGGCTAGAGTCATTTAGCAGGACAAGGGCAAATAAGTATGACAAAATAAGTGTTCTACTACCTTGTAAAGTATTGCCCATATTTAATTTAACTGCTCCTCACCCCTCCTGTCACACTGAGCATGGTGATTATTGCGAGAATGAGGTAAGTGTCCATGACAATGGAGTATTGACAACTATGTGTAAAGCCCCATACATCAGGCACGAAGCTAGAAGAACTCTGCCTGCTGCCAGATCTAGAACCATGGTTCACAACATGGGCAGCTCTGAATGCTGTAGAGAAAACAATCACAGCTCTGAATTTACATGCTATTGGTTTGCACTCACACAGCTATGGGGGCCCTTTGTACAAGATCAATCAGCCATGCCAACCTAGCCCCTCTCACCTCCTGTCATTCTGCCCCTTTGTTCTTTAACACACAAACCCCTCATGTACCTTCTACCCTACTCCTTACACACCTACCACACAAACTACTCTCACATCTGCCACACTAAGCACTCACTCCCTGCCCCTTCCTACTCCTTCCACCCAGTGCCCACTTCACTATTACCTCACCTTCTACCATTCTACTGCCACCGGGCATCATACCCCCAACCTGCCACTGTATTCCCTCACTACCTGACCCTTCATCCACCAGCCATCCTATCTCCTCCCCCATCTGATACCATTATTCCTCACCAACCTGCTGCCACCCCTTTACCTTACACACTTAGCATCTCTCAGCAGCAGTCAAAGTAGCTTCCAGACCTTTAAATCCTGGAATATGGTAGCTATTATTGAGAAAAGGGGAGGTAGCTTTAAAATCAAGTCTGTCTGATATGACTGACCCTATATCTGATCCCAATCTGGGCCAATGTTTCATTATGTGACCAAGTGTCATATTTAGCTTCGTAATGCCATTTTATAATGTTACAGGCATGATAGGTATGTTGTTGTAAGCACGGAATGTCCATTTGCTGGAAATAGATTAATTGTAATATGAATAGATGTTAAATTTAAAAACAATAGTTTGATTATTCATGAATTCTAAGTAGCTTCAACTTAATACCTGCTTACTGAGACTGAGAACAAACTTAGAAAAGTAGGTTATCATGGCTAATCCTCTCTGTTTTATGATGTCTAAAATACCATTCTTAATTACAATCCAGACCTCACAGTAAACTCAAATATTAAAAGTTGAATTTAAAGTGATCTTGACACATCTTTCAAAATGTTATCAAATTCTGTCATAATCCTTTCCACAGAATAGGAAATATCAACATTAATTTTTGTGTTTGTTTAGAGTTCTTCCATAAAAACAAATTACACTTTGAAGACAGAAAGGAACCCATCGTACCAAACCAAGAGCATACATATATATGGAATATCACAGAAGAAATGGGACCAACCATATCTGATCCTCAATGCCTTACCTACACCTATTCTTCTGATATTGATGTAATAAAAGATTTCCACACTGGATTGATTGGAGCTCTACTGATCTGTAAACCTGGTAATTTTCTTATTGTACTTGTGTTGAAACTTTTATCAATTTCCCTTGACAAGCATTCCTGGATCCATGCAGTTTGATGTTTGGGACAGTATCTAGATGTTATTTTGCTAGCCCTCTGATTGCTTAACAATCATCATCCCCAACACAGGTTGCTATTATCCAGTACAATGGAGATTAACAACCTTAGTTTGTGGGAACTCCGAGAGGGAAGGTCACTTGAGTGTCTAACAATTCTGTTACTCTTGTGCTTGAAAGTCTTTAACAATGATAGGTTATGTGTTTAACATGGAAGAAACATTCCATAGGGCTTCACAGAGGCATCAAGAAGAAACAAAGGAGGAGATATTGGTAAAAATGATGAAAAACTCCATCAAAAAGGTAAAGCTGTTATTTTATGAAGGTCTCAAATCAGACAAGGTAGAGGGCTCATTATAGAGTGTGAAACGTGGGTGACTAAAGGAGATCACTAGTTAGGGGAGAGAAAAGCTGAACAGGATGCAAGCATAAAAAAGGAAGGTTTTTATTGGGGGAATAGTGGGGCGGGCAGATAGCAAGAAATGGTAGTAGTGAAAAAGATGAGAAGTTGGCATAGCTGTGGATTGTGGCAACTGAAAACTGGGCACAAGAATGTTTTCTTAAAGATATTATTAAACCATCTACTTGCAGGACTTTTTCAATATAAGTATAGTATAGCAGTATAATTGAGATGTATGGGGGAGGGAGTCTTTGAGATGAATACTTTTGGAATGAGAATCATTAGTGTACTCTTGTGATGGGATGCTGAAGGGAATTATTGAGATTGCTGAAGGAGATGTGAATAGACCATTTTTAAAAGGTGCAGGAGAGATAGTAAAGCCTGCATTCATCCCTCCTGCTTTTGTGAGTATTACTCTGATTGCCACCACTGACATCTCATGGTATGTGCCTCCTCTGCCAACATGTGGCTGAGAGCAAAGGCTGTTTGACATGGATTGCTGCCATAAATTCTTTGCTAGGACTTATTCTTTAATGACCAATGATAGAAGATTTTATATTAATGTGCTTATGGGATGTGGGTGTCACTAAGACCAGTCTCTGTCCACCACCTCTGCCTAGGCCTGCTGGGTAGTGACCCAGGGGCTACTTGCACAAGGTGTTGGAGAATGGTATCTCCCTCCTTCCTGTGAACACCTGTACAGGAGATTGTATCCATAAAGTAGGCAAGCTAACTGATGTGGTCAGATGGTCAACTCGATTAATCATACTGAGTTTCAGCCTGGGAGTTAAAGATGCCTGTGCTCTAATACCTTAGAGTCGATTCTTGTTAAGCCCACCTTCTCCTGATTCATGTGCTGAGTTAATATTCAGATGAAATTGTTGAAAGTGAGGACGAACCGGAAGCTGAAGAACAAATCAAATGAAATGCAAATGGTACTGCATATTTCATTAATCACAATAACAATGTTGTTCCTTCTCTCTGTGAAGGTAGTTTGAAAAAGAATGGCAAGCAAAATGATTTTAGAGAAGAATTTGTTTTATTATTTTCAATATTTGATGAAAGTAAGAACTGGTATGAGTACGAAGAAAAGGCTCCAATCAAAATGTACTCCATCAATGGATTTACAAATGGCACTTTACCAGGTATACAAAGAGATTACTTTATGATGACAGAGAAAAACAGCCATAACAGATTTCAAACACGTCACATAAATGTAGAACTTCAGCTGAAATGAATGCAACAATCTAAGTGCTGCTCCAGTACTAATTTAGTCGTGATCTGGCAGCCTGGCTATGTCTTTTCAATGTTTCAGAAGGCAAATTGTTGAGCCACCATTGAGTAAATCATTGCTTCACCTAGCTTTGAACTATACTGAGTCCAGGGGTGAAAGGAGAATTTAATTTTGTATTTGGCAAGCAACAATAGGATTGCATCTGATATCTTTCTGGATAAATATATGACTTCTCTGGGGGTTCTCTTGTTCTACTACCACAATGTCATCAGAAGATTAGCAAAATCCTCAGAAGATGTTGTGTAAGTGTTCATTTATGCATCTCTGTTGGTCCTGCACTAAAGATATAGAAAGAGATCAGAGAAGAGAAATGTCCGCAACAGAAATTCCAGATGACTATGTGATATGCAGGCCAAAAAAATCCCAAATTTAATTCCTGAGTTATAGTAGTTTAGCTAGGCAGAAATTGGGGCATTTTAAATGGTCTTAGTATGCCAGGAAAATGTGTTTCCTAATGGAAAATGAAAACCAGAAGGAAGAAATGAAATACCTACCAATTGTTAACAGTTACTTATAAAAGGTGCCTCATTAAATCATTAAACTCCAATTTCATACATCTTGGATTACAGATAGAGAACATCTGGGGTAGGCACAGGAGAATCTCTAACGACTGGAGGAGTTGTAGAAGTCAATGCATTTGTCCATGCTTGAATAGAATTGGAGAGAAATTGATGGGAGGGAATGAAAAGGGGGCAAAAACAACTGCAAAGTAACTTCTTAAATAAAAAAACAGCAAGTGCAGTAAAAACTCAGCAGATGTGTGAAGAGAGAGAAGCAGAGTTAACATTTTATCCATTGATGTGCAGGTTAGGTGGATTGACCATGCTAAATTGCCCAATGTGTCCAGAGATGTGTAGATTAGATAGATGAGCCATAGGAAATGTTGGGTTTCAGGGATAGGGTGAGGGGATGAGTCTGGGTGGGATGCTCTTTGGAGAGTTGGTGTGGACTTGTTGGGTCAAATGGCCTGTTTGCACACTGTAGGAATTCTAAGAAAAAAATGATTTAGAGTCCCATGACTCTTCGTCCAAGTGTTTAAGCTTAATGCTACCATCATTGTGCACCTGGCAGGCTTTTCAAAACAACAGCAAATTCAAGATGGTTCTTATTTCCTCAACCAACCTCAATTATATATGCAGATATCAAGATATCAAAACAACCAGACAGGGGCAGTTTAATCAGTTTCCACGGAAAGTAATTATGGAACCATTTAATATTCTTATAACCCAGTGCATATTGCTGTTATAAACCTATAACCACATTTTTGAAGGTAGCATGGCAAAATCAAGGAACATTGTTCACAGTGATGGAAATCAGGGTTTTCACTCTGAAAAGTCACAGTGCTCCACTTCTGTAACACTTGGCCCTTCCATCTGTCCCAGCAAGATTCTTATTATCAATGGATACTCGTGAATTCCTGGAACTATAATGATCTCTTTTCTCCTAAAGGTTGTTGGTAAACACGGGGTTAATGAAACATCTAGGTTTTGAAATCAACTGTTTTTATCTGAGAATTGTGCCTCTCTCCCACTGTTACAGCAGGAAGTTGGGATAACCGGTATTGAAGATCAAGCCTTTCTGCTTATTACTCAACCTATTGGTTGAAAATAGATTGGAAAGACAGCACTCCTGGAAGCAGGAGCCATTTTGGCCATAGAAATCTTTGCCAGGAAGGCTAACAACAGCTTCTTCCCAGCTCATAGATCAGTTGCTCATGCTACAAGATTTCTCTTAGTATGACTGACATGTATCTATGCAGGCGTGAGCAAAGCTTTCTATTGTCTCTTGACAGACTTACCTTTGAGATTAGCAATTTCCTGGATTCTAAACAGTGTTCATTGCTGTTGCAAATAACTGTTGGCCCTTACTATTATTGTAAACCTTTGGTAGAAAGGTAATATCTGATAAAGATGCGTTTCGGTCCCGAATGGAGGGATACCCTGAAAAGAATCTCATACATTGAGCGAGACTATCGCATTGCTAGGAATGTTTCATATCTCTTGAAACAATAGGTTAAAAATTTAAGCTTCATAGAATTGCTGAGTGTTGTGATATTTTGGTAGTGCAGTTGGTTGTAGGAGATATTTAATCTCTGTATTGTTTCTATGACAGAACTTGGTGTATGCACTCGTGATGACATTAGCTGGCATTTAATTGGAATGAGCTTGGATCCTGAAGTCTTCTCTATTCATTTCAATGGCCAAGTCCTATTGCACAATAATCACAGAGTATCATCTATTGGCCTGACACCAGGCTCATCTGTCACAGCTCAGATGTCTCCCATTCAAGTTGGAAAATGGCTGCTCTCTTCTCAAGTACAACATCATCGCCTGGGTAAAAAAACAATTGAAGTATTCAAGTTTTGAACTATGTCTTTTATTGAAATAATACTTTGTGAGACGATTTATGTTCATTACAGTGATGTATCACATAATGAAGGAATGAACCACTTCCTAAATTTTCCATCCTTAATTCAAGTATACGATAGGTAAGAGTTTAGATAGAGGTAGCAAGTGTTCTAGGAAATTACATCTGGTTCCAAGGTTAATAGGCTTTTATGCAGCTGAAACACCTATTCCATAGACTCCTCAAAGCCCCTTTTGATCATGCTGTCCCACAGCATTGAGATACAGGAGCAGAATTAGGCCATTTGGCACATTGAGTCCGCTCTGCCATTCAATCATAGCTCATATGTTTCTCAAACACATTCTCCTGCCATCTACCCATACCTTTGATCCCCTTACAAACCAGGAATCTATCTTTCTCCGTCTTAAATACAGTCAATGATTTGGCCTCCACAGCCCTCAGCAGCAATGAGTTCCGCAGAGTCATGAAGAGATCCCTCCTCATCTCAGTTATAAACGGCCGACCCTTCGCTCTGAGGCTGTGCCCTTGGGTCCTAGCTTCTCCTACAAGTGGAAGCATCTTCTCCACATCTACTGTATCCAGGCCTCTCAGTACTCCATAAATTTTGATGACAGCTTCCTTCATTCTTCTAAACTCCATTGAATATCGACCCAGGGTCCTCAACTACTCCTCATATGATAAGGTCTTTATTCCCAGGAGCATTCTCGTAAACCTCCTGTGGACCCCTTCCAAGGTCAGCACATCCTTCCTTAGATTTGGGGTGCAAAACTGCTCACAATATTCCAAATGCCTTATACAGCCTCAACAGTACATGCCTGCTTTTGTATTCTAGTCCTCTTAAGATGAATGCTAACATTGCATTTGCCTTCTTAACTGCCACCTGAACCTGCATGTTAAACTTAAAGGTATCCTGAACCAGGACTCCTAAGTCCCTTTGTGCTTCAGATTTCTGAAATTCTCCTTCCCAAGTGCAGAGTGAATTCTTTTGTAATGAGATCACTGTCCCCTAGAAGTTCTGCCACCTTAAGCTCCCTAATCAAGTCTGCCTCATTACACGCTGCCAAATCCAAAATTGCCTGTTCCCTAATGAGCTCAAGGCCATCTGTCAGTTAGGCACTATTCTTCCTTCCAGATTCAACACTCAGTGTAACAATTTCATACCCTCTGTGACTTTCAAAGTTGTGTGCAAGCCAAGTCATTAACATATACCAGAAAAGCCTTGGTCTTACTACTGAAGATATTTGTCAATGATGAAACAATGTTTAGCACCATTCGTAACTCCTCAGATACTGAAGCAGTCCATGTCCAAATACAACACGATTTGGACAACAGGTTTTGGCTGACGTGGCATGTAACATTGCCACAAAAATGCCAGGCAAAGACTATTTCCATCAATAGAGAATATGGCCATTGTCCCTTGACAGTCAATGGCATGACCATCAGTGAATTCCCCAATCTCAACTTCATGGTGGTTACTATTGTCCGGAGGTTGAACTGGAATAGCTGTATAAATACAATGGCAACAAGGGCAGTTCAGAATCTAGGATGCTGCAGCACATAACTCACCTTCTGACTCCCTATAGCCTATCTGTCATCTATAAGGCACAAGTCAGGAGTGTGATGGAATACTCCCCACATGCTTTAGTGACAGCAGTGCCAACAACACTCAAGAAGCTTGACACCATCTGGGACAAAGCAGCCCACTTGATTGGCACTGCGTCCATAAACATTCACTGCCTGCACCACCGACACTCTGTAGCAGCAGTATGTACAATCTGCAAGATGCAGGAATTCACCGAGTCTCCTTAGACTGGACTTTCCAAACCCACGGCCACTACCATCTAGAAGCAGAATATTTTTAATAGGCATAGAACTCAAATGTTGATGTTTACAGATACTTGAGTATACTTGAACATGGAACACAGAAAGTTATCATGTAACAGAACAAGCAATTAGAAAAGCAAATAGTATGTTAGTCTTTATAGCTATGGGATTGAAGTACAAGAATGAAGATATCTTATGACAATGATATAGGGTCGCCTTCAAAAAAGGTGATAGACACATGGGAACAACACACCCTGCAAGATCCCTCCCGTGCCTTTCACCAACCAGACTTGGAACTATGTTGCCGTTTATTCACTGTCGCTGGGTCAAAAACATGGAACACTCTCACTAAGGACACTGTGGGTCTAACACATGAACATGGACTGCAGCAGTTCGAGGCAGCTCACCACCATCTTCTCAAGGGCAACATGGGATGGATAATAAATGCTGACCCAGCTAGTGATGCCCTCATCCCTGAATGAATTAAAAAAAAACCTCTTGCAATCACCATAACTTTTTAAATAAAGTCAGATGGTGTTGGAGAAACTCAGCAGGTCTGGCAGCATTTGTAGGGGTAGAAACAGAGTTAACATTTTGAGTCCAATATGATTCTGCAGCCCTTCTTTGAAAAAGACCCTGTACGATTGTAATAAGATATTTTTATTCTTGTACTCCAATCCCAATTGCTATAAAGACCACCATACCATTTACTTTCTTAATTCTTGCTTTATTACATGAAAATTTTCTGTGTTTCATATACAAGAATACTAAAGTACCTCTGGACATCAACATTTCAGTTCTATGCCTATTAAAAATCTTACACTTTTTTAAATTCTCATTACCAAAGAGATCAGACTAACTGCATAAATAAATTAGCATTTAATAATAATCAGGATTTCCATGTAAAAGAAAGGTGCAATCATAGAATTCAAAGCTGAAAATATCACTAACTTATTAGTGAGACAAAAATGAAATTTGACAAATGAGTGGCCTTTAGAATGTACTATACATTAAATAAGACAAAAGAGCATTTTGTCTGTCCTAACATAGGCAATGCCAGGGGATATCTGCGCTCATTTATTTATGAAGCTGTGTGTGTGTGTTTATAAATATATTTATTAGTACATGGGAATATTACAAGCAGCCAGGATAATTGTAAACTGAAGAACTGATGCAGGGTTTTAATTCAAAGCAGTGCCTTCCTTCGATTCAGTTGAGGTGGCAAGATGACTAAATAAATTTCAGTCTTTATTCTGACATCCGCACCACTGCCACTCTATGCTCTTTCAACAAGTGGTATACTTGATGCAATGCAAGATCAGTACTGGGCTTCCTCTCATCAGACAATATGGTCTCTGGCATAAAAACTTAAATTAGTTTGTTGAAAATATGACAGTTGCATTAATAAGCTTGTCTTCTTGTCATCTGACATGAAACAGCTGGTCTGTATGGGTATCTCAACATAAAAAAGTGCACGTCTGAGGAGTCACCAGGAAAATACAAGTCAGGCAGACTGCGAAGAAATTTTCGTGAATATTATATTGCAGCTGAAGAAGTTTTGTGGGATTATGCTCCTGATATTCAAACCTACGTGGACAGGTAGCCTAGTTTATTCTTTTAAAAAGTCTAACCAAATGAAAGACTTAAGTTCATGGTTTGTAGCTGTTTTTCTGTAAGTTAATGGTGAAACTTTTCTTAATATTTTGCATACTTTTGTATGTTATTTTTCTTCGCTTGTATATGTTTAGCAAGAGTGGAGCAAAACTATGAAAATATTATTCTTCTCAATTGTAGCCTTTTGATCGATATAAAGGAAGCATAAAGATATTCCTTTTTACATCTCTGTGCACATTTATCTTCACGCCTGCCTTAGCTTGTCTGTTGCTTGAAACCTTATGCATGTTTTTGGTACTTACTGGTTTACACATGTTCAGTGGAAGAAATTGGTCAGTCTCCCATGGCATAGCACAAAGAAAATCAAGCCCACGGGAACTTTTCAGGTCAAGCAGGAATTGAAAGATAGAATGATAGTTTAGGGAAAGGAATCAGCTCAAATAAAATGAAAGAACCAGTGGAAATCAAGACAGAGGTTATGGATAGGGGGATGGGGAAGAGTGGAGTGAGAAGAGAAGGAAAGCCTGAAGGGCAGAAGAGCCTGAGGGCGAGGAGAATACTGAGACACAGAGGAAGTTCGTGAGGGGGAAGGAAAAGCAAGAGATGGTAAAGTGATGACAGTATGAACAGAGGAGGCAAAGAAGGGGAGAAGGAAGGGGAGCTTGGGACCGCAAGACAGGAAGAGAAGGTCTCATCGTAGTAAGGATGGACCTGTGTCTTAATTGTTGCTTTCAACAATTTTGTTGTTTTTAATTTTGTTTTCTTTTTAATTATTTGGTAATGAAATTGATTTCTTGAAGGTAAAGAAAGTGGATTGTGAACCCCTCCACAAAATGCAGAACAAATACTTCTTCACTAACAGCTGGAAGGAACTAAATTCACACAACTGAGTAGAAATGAATATCAATAGCAACTTGCTTACATCATATTGTAGCCTGAAAACATACAGTTCAATTGAACATAGGGAAACACCTGCAGAGACAATTAAATAATTATCAGTCCAAACATTATGATCTAAAATTCTCTTTTCCATGGATTATTTATGTCTTTAATTCTACTCTTATTGCCCTTAGTGATTTTAAAACCAAATATTTGGATTCGGGACGAAACCGTATTGGCAAAATATATAAAAAGGCAATATATGTCGAATACACAGATAAAACTTTCTCTGAACGTAAAGAACCGAATGAAGGACCAGTTTCTATATTACAAGATGGAATTGGGGCCCCTATTATAAGAACTGAAGTTGGTGATAAAATTAAGGTATGAAATGTAAAGAAAGGTACTCAGTTTTAATTAATTATTGCTTTGGATGTGAATAGAGATAATACCTTTTGTGTAAAATACGTTTGGATTGTTTCTGGAAATAGAACCTTCGGAAATAAGCTGCCGCAGGCACTCCAGAATTCCCCATTTAACGATATCATCTTAAGAGATATATGTAGAATTGACAGAATCAGTCTTCTGCTCCATTTGTTTAGTTGAAAGAAATACAGTTCTCACTTTGCTTTGCTTTTTTCCTTTGTCATTTATATTTTTCTTTCTGTGTCTCCCGTTTTCACCTTGCTTTTGAATGAAAATGAAAACAGCATTGTGTACTGGAACAACTCAAAGCTGCAGGCTGCAAATCTGACTCCAATGTATTGGTATATTTGACGCTCTGGAGACTGTGTGTTTTTTTTAATTAAACTAATAGCATCAGTCCAGCCCACTACTTGTGTGGCCTGCCCAGAAAACCAGTTTGTTCATGGAAGTGATATGGATGTTCCTAAAGTCTACGGAGTAGACATGGTGTGTCATTCAGTGTGTGATACTGATTTAATGCCTGGTGTATTATTTTTGCCTTCATTGCTTTAGTTAACACGGTCTCTTAAGAACACATGGCAGCACGTGCATTCAACAGCACAAGGGCAGTTGCCTTTGCGTCAAAAGGGCCCATTAATCAACTTTCAGTTTAGACATTGATACATTCCACTGGCTCTGGTTGACTTTGTCGAGTGCATTTGCTTGGGAATCATAAAAGTTGATTATGTCTTCAGGGAGTGGTGCTGAACTGATTAGGAGACATTGGTAGCTGAAGGTGCTGAGTGCACCATTTGATCCGAGTCATGGGGCTACACTCCTAATCCCACTTACTACTTCCTCAAGCTGCAGTCCATCTCCAAGGCAGCAAAGAAGGTGAGCTGTTTGCAGAGGGAGAGGAAAGAAGAGCTGTAAACAAGGAGGTCATATCCACTGGCACCTACGAGTTCCCCTCCAAGTCATACACCATCCTGACTTGGAACAATATCGTTGTTTCTTCATAGTTGCTGGGTCCAAATCATGGAACTCCCTCCCCAACTATACAACACGGAATGCAGCAGCTCAAGAAGACAGCTCACCACTAGGACAGCTAGAGATGGGCAATAAATAGTTGCCCAGCCAGTGACACCAGAAGCGTTTCTTCCTGCACTTAAAACAGGAGCAGTATCCAATTCACCAAGGAGATGGTCACAGCTGTGTCTTTTCACAGAACTAGACCAGCTGCCTGAAAGCAGGGCAAGGATGGTACTGCCAGAGGCTGTGGCTCTAGATGTTTTTGCAAGTGGATTTTTTTCAGGCTGAAACAGGCAATGTAGCACACTTCTCAGAGTTCACCCTCCAACATGTGACTGAGGAGCTTCATTGTCTTCTGTCTGAATAGAGAGAAGCAGGAGGAGGGCTCATCCTGTCAGAATAGTAGTTTCTCTGTAGTGTAGGTTTGACTGTACACAAAGGGCTTATAGGTGCCACGTTTCAATTGGAACATGTACTGTCACTGCAAGTGTAGCTGACTGCAGTTAAGCTTGACTGTGCTCAGCATATCATGCTGGTGAATGCCTGCTATCCTAGCAGAAATTATGCTACACCATTCTGCTGTTCCAGCAATCTTTAAGCCACTATCTGAAAATAAACCTGACTGCTCGGTAACATGAGCTCATCTTTGCCTTACCTTCACTTTCAAACATACAAACAAGAACAAGAGTAGGGTCTCCAAGCCTGCTCCACCATTCAATAAGATCATGACTGATCAGATTTCAACCTCAACTCTTCATTCCTGCATAACCCTGATAATCTTTCATCTCTTACGTTGCCAAGAACCTATCTACCTCTGTCTTAAAAATATTTAAAGATTCTGCATCCACTGGCTTTTGAGGAAGAGAATTCCAAAGATTCATAATCCTCTGAGACAAAACAATGTTTCCTCATCCCTGTCTTAAATGGGTGACCCCTCATTTTTAATCTATGACCCTAAAAGAAGAAACATCCTTTCTATAACCACCTGGTCATGTCCCCTCAGGATCTTATATGTTTCAATTGAGTCACCTCTGACTTTTCTAAACCCCAGAGGATATAGGTTTTTAGCCTGTATAGCCTTTCCTCATAAGACAATTCTCTCATTCCAGGTATTAGTTTCATAAACCTTCTCTGAACTGCTTCCAGTGCATTATCATCCTTCCCTAAGTACTGTACACACTTCTTCCAGATTCAGTCTCGTCAATGTCCTGTACAACTGAAGAATAACCTTCTGACTCTTGCATTCAATTCCTCTCACCATAAAGGATAATATCCTGATAGCCTTCCTAAATTACTTGCTGTACCTGCACATCAACCTTCTGCAATTCATGCACTAGGACACCCAGATCTCTCTGCATCTCAAAGCTCTACAGCCTGGTACCATTTAAATAATATGTTCTATTTTATTCATTCTGTCAAAATGGAAAATTTCATATTTTCCCACATTATACTCCATTGTTAGGTTTTTGCCCACTTACTTAATCTATCTATATTCCCTGTCTTTATGTCCTGTTCATAACTCATTTTCCTATCTATCCTTGTGTCATCAGCAAATTTAGCTACTGTTCAAACACAAGTGGCTAGCTCTAATAGACTATAAACTGGAATGGAAGTCAGATACTGCTATATATCTGAAATACCAGAAGAATTTTGTATCTTGGAAAAATTAAGTAGTGCAAGTTTTTAGCTGTACATTGAACTTGAAACATTATTGAGTCAGAATGGCAACAGGAGTTTTTGAATTAACGAAACACTGCCTGCTGACAGCCCTCAGATTGGTGGAATTGTTATGGACTAATGGGAGCAGTAGAGCCACAGCAGTTCAAAGGCAGCAAGCAGAAAACATCTTTCTTCCCTCTCTGTCTGAGTAAGAAGACAAAACAAATCACAAACTTAATAGAAAGAAATAATTCTCCACCTTGAAGTCTGGTCTTTTGATACTTGGAATTTTGTTTTACTTGTCTGTATTTTTCCAGCTTTAATATTTGTGTCAAACCTTTTGTCTTTTGTTTGTTTTATTCATGAATGAGTGCATGTATGTGTATTTAGGGTTTAAAGGGGTATAGTTTAAGTTGCATAGTAGTAGCTAGTGAACTTTTGTTTTTCTTCTCTGCCATTTGTTAAAGAACACGTGTGTTTCTGGTTAATAGATTTATTTTCCCTTTTGTACTGAATAGCAGTCAGTCAGATCATCTTGATTGTTGAATTGGATATTTTCAACTTTGTGATGGTTTGTGGTTCAGGAGCTCAATTATTGGCACACTCTTCCAAGTTAATCATTAACAGCATCAGAAATCTCCAGATTTTTCTGAATGAAACTGGGGATCCTCTTTGTTTAAAGATCCACACTTTACTAACTCTCTGTGATGGAGAGGCCTCATTCCTAATATAAAAAATGTATCACAAAGCAACAATTCTAGACCAACTTTATTCAACAACACTTCCAATATCCCATAAAACATTCAATATATTAAACTTCTGCAATCCATTCATGTGGGTGCCAGTACTTGCTTGAGAGCTCTGATTCAATGCTGTCCCTGTAGTTGCAGCTGGGCTGCTGGAAGATTGCTAACTTTCATAGTGGGGAGATGCAAATAGCCTCACAGGAAATACTTGAGTAACTCTGGGCATGAACTCTTGACTTTAGACTTTACCACTGCAGCATTAGCCTCAGTAATCTGACTGACTAACTGGCAAGGTAGTGACTGAGTGGGGCATGAATGCTGTCATTCTGAGAGAGCACAGCAGGTTTGCGTTCAGTGGAAGCACTGGCACTGTCCCAGGTTGGCACCTCAGCCATCGGAGTAATCTGCTAGAGCTCAGGTTGGTGGATGTCTGTGAGCCTCTTTGAGTGCTGGTAACTTCAGCCATGCTGGCAGCACCCTGTGCCTGCACAGAACCAAGCTGAAGTATTGTGACAGTCTGAACTTCCATTGCAGCACTCTGCAGCATAAACTGAATGCACCAAAAAGCAATCAGACTGTTTGAGTCTAATTTTTCTCAGGGGCTTAATTGACCCATCACTCCCAAAGGGAAACACCAAGCTCTGTGCAGCACCCTACTGTTGGAAGTGAGCTCCTCCATGCTCCCTGATGGTGATAATAGACCCTGTGATAGGCCTGCCAATGTAGCGAGCATTTCCGCATGTACATACCATTGGGTCTTTTCCTGTACACACTATTGGGTACTTGAAAACAGGACCTGTGTGAAACCTCGCCCCTCAGTGATCTGATATCTCCCTTTCCCATTAGCCTGGCTGTCAAGTAATTCTGCCCAGTGATTTACCATGTGCAGTTCTCATCTCTAAAGTGCTTGTGCTGAAATATCAGCTAGTGGCTGTGAGTGTTCAATGGAGTGACAGTATTTCAATAAAGTCAATCTCTTCTTTCCCTCCTCCTACTTTCCACTGCCTTTGAGGAAGAAATACTTGGGCATTTTAAATTGAAAGATATAAGGCTACGATTGCAGTGAGGGTAAATGAGGAAAGCAGAGGTGCATGCATACACAACATGGAGCTTGAGAATCAGAAGGCGTTGTGTGAGGAGGAGCATATGGGATGTGAGAAGGATGATTGGGAGATGTATACCATCACCTTCAATCCTTTCATCCCTGCACTGACGACGGTTTCAGTCATGGCCTCTCAGGTAGCGGCGTCGGACCTTCTATTGGGTGCTGGCATGTTGGTAAATGGAGGAAGAAAGATTTCAGACATTTGGCTAAGAACGCTTTTTATACAATGAGTTACTGCAGAATGCACTGCCAGAATGGGTGGAAGCAGTTGCAGTGAAACATGTATGTACTTTAAAGTAAAAAGTTGCAGCTTTATAAGGGGGAATCCGAGAATGGAACACATTGGGAAGCTCTTCCAAAGAGCCAGATAAAGGCATGGCCTCTTTCTGTGCTAATAAGATTCAATGAAGTGAGATCAGACATGATTAGTAACATAAAGATTTTGCCTTAATGCAGTTGATAACAACATATACTTCTGTTTATAAGGTGCCAGAGTAGCTTTGAAAGCACTGTAATAGTTAACTATTTTATTGATTGTGCCTTTGTCCTCTTATGTAGGTTTATTTTAAGAATATGGCTAGTCGTCCCTACAGCATCTACCCTCATGGTATAACAGTGGATAAGAACAATGAAGGTGCTAACTACCCTGGGAATTCCGCAAGTAACTTGGCTTTATTTATCTTCTTTACAACGTAATTACTTGCAGTTAATATTCTCAAACACTTTAAGTTGTTGTGTATTGTGTTAGAACCACATGTGAGGAATAACATTAAATGAGGCCTGCCTACTTTGGTCCATTATGACACACCTTTAAAATAGGTTTGTAAACAATTTTTAAGCAAAGGTATTTTCCACAGTCACTTACTCTAATCTTCAAGGTAAAAGTTGATGAATATCAAGGGTGGGGGCAGGGGGCGAGGAGCAGAGGGAGAGGGAGAAAGAGAGAGATTGGAGGGGGTATAATTGGACAGAAAAGAACCTGGGTAATTTCAGAAAAAAAATCATTTAAAAAAATTTTGTTTTGCACATTATTGCAATTCAAGATATTAAAAAAATGTACAACCCAATCAGTTAAGACTCTCAATTATTTTCACAAGTAACATAATTTTTAAAAAGATCACTTTCAGATTTTCAACTAAGCTCAGGATAGTTTTTTTTAAATTGAAAATAAGATTGAAGTACGTATTTAGTGTCAGGCTTGATTCAGTGGTAGGAGGCTCACCCTGATTTCTGATGGTCTACTCCAGGGACTTGAACATGTGGGGCTGAATCTTAACTAGGACTTAACCAGAAAAGGTATGTTGTGCACCCAGTCCAGAGCTGCCCTACATTGTACCTTACTCTGCTCTGGACATGGATGATAAGGGGAACTTGGCACTCTGCTTTGTGGACAGGGTGGTGCAGAGATGGGATTCCCTCTTCTCCCAGGACCAGCAGTGAGACCACAATACCAGACCATGCCAGCCTGGTCTGAAGTTGCTACCTTGATTAAAGCAGTCTCAGCCATCTGGAACAATGCACAGCAATGTAGGGAGGAGGTCAGTGACCACCTCTACTCTGCCAGTGTAAGTACCACCATCTTCTTTCTGATACCTCGCACTCTGACTATCTCTTCTACATGCCCACTTTCCACCAAGGCTCAAGCTTCACCACTCTCACTATTATATGCAAATTCCTCTCACTCGCTCTCCTCTGAATGGCTGACTGACTGTGTCCAAACCCCTGAACTGCTATCAGAGGCTGCCCTTAACTTATTATGCCAGGATCCCTTAAGCGAAGGCTATTTTACGACATGACTGAGTCCTGCTCTCAATCATGACAAGCTTCCTGCATTTGTGCTTGTACTAAACAGCAAGGCAAGGCAGAAGTAATACGGGCCTGGTAGCTCTGGCTGAGACGGCACAGTGCAAAAAAGGCAATACAAAGCAGGAAAATTGTGAGCATCCAAGCAAGCTTAGAGTGAGTGTGCCTTCGCACAGTGAGTGAAGACACCAGCAGTATGGTCCAGTCCATGAGGTGGATGCATTTTCAACAACACATAGTGTCCTTGCAGTATTGCAGTGATAGTTGGCCAGTGCAGCCCAACGTGTAACATTGAAGCATATCAGTGTCCTGTGCATGAATTGGAGATAATAGTAATGGCATATCTTGTATGCCAATGTCAGTGACTGTGGGGTTTAAGTGTGAAGCGCCCATGGAGCATGCCCTGAGATGTTAATGCCCAGTGTCCAATATGGACGTCCTTTGGAACAAGAGGCAAGCTGAAGTCACCAAGTACTTGCCCTGGTTTTCATATCATATTTTCTCAACATCAATTTGATTGGCGTGTTTGGTAAGCTAAGCTGAATATTAATGAGATGAGTTGAGCCATCAACAAGACATTTAACAAGCTATAAAACCCACTTATTGGCAGATTGTTGTTACCATGTGAGGAACTCCCTACTCCACGTGCCAAAAGCATAAAAGGAGCAAGATGCTCCCAATTGGCTTTACCAGAATTCACTCCAAAAGTACTTTGTTAGTTGTAACAATTTTGGAATAGGCTGAGTCACAAAAGTTGCTCTCTCTCTTTGTGCAAGAGTTACGTTTACATTCCACCTGACAGTATGATAGTGTTGGAAGATTATTCACAGGAGCATGGTTTTGATCACCTTTACGTCCAAGTAGTCTCTCATTGGCAGCTTGAGTCAGATGACTGTCAGTTTGGTATCTGTGTCAGTACATTGCTGTCCTTGCTTTGAACCTAATTAGGAACTAAAGAGTGACATTTGATATACAATAAAGGATATAGCCATCACAGCAATATCTAAAGTTAAGAGATAGTAAGAACTGCTAATGCTGGAGTCAGAGATAACACAATGTGGAGCTGGAGGAGCCCGGCAGGCCAGGCAGCATTAGAGGAGCGGGAAAGTTGATGTTTCTGGTCAGGACCCTTCTTCAGAAATCTAAAGTTAATATCTAAAGTTAAGCTAGGTCCTCAAAAAAAAAAAACCCAATTCTCTACTTCTTTTCCTGCTGAAGAATAAATTGACAGATGCATCAGTATTACAGTAAGCTCACTATGGTGCAAGCACACAGCATGTAAGCCTTGTGATATATGATATGGCTGATTTTTTGGCTTCTCTTTGATTCCGCTCTCTGGTTACCATTGTTCTAATCTTTTATGGGAATTATGAATTCGTTTTCTGGAGAGGAAAGAAAGTTTTGCATAGCATTTTAAAGGACAACATGGCAATGTATGCGATGCCAGTACTGTGTAACAGTTCATGATGTACTGATGTACCCCTTATCATGAGGCTTAGAAGTATATATAGAACAGCAGTGCAAGCAAATGGGAATAGTTCAGTTTAGGAAACCTGGTCAGCATGGACAAGTTGGGCTGAAGGATCTCTTTCCGGGCTGTATGACTCTATGAATTTCTCAAGGATTGTAAGTGCTGGGTATGGAACATCTTCCATTTCAGCCATTCATTGACAGCAACAAAAAAAAAACTCCTCTCCAGAAAAAGAATTCCTAATTCCCATGCAGGGATAAGCACCCAATAATGCATCAGTACAGGCCACATCTCATGGCTCTTAGCTTGCATTCTTAGTGTGCATTCACTTTGCTGTTACCTGGATGCTCATGACATCTCTGTGTGCCTCATCTTGCCTTTTTGTGCCTTGCCACTTTATTCACACTCAAAGGACTCACGGTCTTTCTGTCCTTTTAGCTCAGGCACAAAGCTAGACAGCAATGATCAGTCAAGCTGTTAGACATGTTACTAGATAGCCTTCAGAGAAGGGTCCCGACCCGAAAAGAGTCCTCTGATGCTGCCTGGTCTGCTGTGCTCCTCCAGCTCCACACTGTGTTATCTAAGTCAAGGACATTGTCCGATAGCAGTCCAGGGACTTGGCACCATTGGTCAGGAGCTTATACGTATCAGAGATCAGTCAAGGATTTTGTCACTTGCAAATGAGGGTTGTTTTCCAAGTCAAACAAGAGAAAGTAAGAACTGCAGATGCTGGAATCCGAGATAACACGGTGTGCAGCTGGAGGAACACAGCAGGCCAGGCAGAGGCTTTGCAGTGGGGTTATAACTCACACAGAGATATGCAGATGTCCAGGGGGTCAGTTCTCTGAAACTCAAGTGGCATTATCAGGAGCCAATGCTGCGTTGAGTAAATTGGGGAAGTCAATTGAGGATTGCAGGCATCATGCTGGAATTCACTTGGGACAATAATTGTAAATGGGGCAACTCAACATAAAAGGGTAGCTGATGATAAAACATGGGAGGGCAGGGACGCTGTGGGATGGGTGGATAGGAAACCATCGATAATCCTCACCAGCCAGCAGGGGTGAGAACTGTGACCCCAGTGGGGGTGAGTACAGTTTAGTACCTCCCCAAGTATTTGCCAATGTTGCTGAGACCACACCTGGAGTGTTGTGTCCAGTTTTGGTCTCCATACTTGAGGAAGGATGTGGCAGAACTGGAGGCAATTCAGAGGAAGTTCACCAGGTTGATTCCAGGATGAAAGGGCTATCGTATGAAGAGCAGTTGAATAACTTGGGCTTCTACTTGTTGGAGTTTAGAAGAATGAGGGAGGATTTGATTGAGGTATATGATACGCTCAGGGGAATTGTTAAGATTGGGATTAAACAGATGTTATTACTTGTTGGACCAGTTTTGGACAAGTGGGAAGAGGTAGGTTCAAAACTGAGATGAAGTTTGTGTATCTGTGGAACTCACTGCCCCCATGTGCAGTGGAGGCAGGATCAATCAACAGACTCAAGAAAGAAATAGATCTGTCCCTGATGAAAAGTGGGATAAAGGAAGCAGGAGCAGGCAGGAGAGTGGAGTGGAGTTGAGACCAGGATAAGACCAGTCATGATCATGACTGGGCTCAAAGGGCTGAAATGTGTGCTCCCACACCTAATTCCTATATTCCTATGTACGATCCCAGCAACAGGGAGCACTGTGATTCCAGCAGCACTTCCAAGGGACATAAAAGAGGCGGAAAAGATTACTGAAGTATTATCCATTTAAGTGTATAGATGAAATGATTACATGGGTTATATATTCTGCATTAAAGGGAGGTGGAATTGTTGTCTATACATACTCAAGTCTAAACAGTCAATTTACAGATAATGTCGTAATCCTAACCTAATTAACCTGAGGTTCTGATTAACCTTGCAGATTCCACAAAACAGGTTGATCCTGAACAAATCCACATTTACACTTGGAAGATTTCTGAAGATGTTGGACCAACTGCCTCAGACCCCAGGTGCCTAACAAGACTATATCATAGTGCTGTTGATGTCACTCGGGACATTGCTTCAGGGCTTTTTGGACCACTTTTAATCTGCAAGGACCTGTCCCTGGATGCCAGGAATTTGCAGGTAAAGTAGCATTAATCTACTGACCATCATCTTTCATTGCTACTACTACTGCAGCTGCCAGTGATAGCTGCAGAACCAAAGACAATAACACCAACCCTACTGATGGAACTTTATGGGGTAAAAGTTTAGTAGTGAGATGCATTCCTTGTTTTAATGCCCTGTTTTCTGTGTATGGCATTGCTTGCTGTAAATGATAGTATTAGCATTTTTATAATGATTGGTGTTTTGTCAATATCAGTGCTACTGATTTATAATGTGTGGTAGTCTCAAAGTTTGGAAGTATTGAAGGGGTAGTGGGGAGTTTGATAGGAATAGAGCCTTTAGTTATGGCAAACTACAGGGAGGGAACCTGGATTTTAGCAGAGCTTAGAATGGAGTTTACAATTTGGTAACACAAGAATTAGGAGTAAGAGGTAGCCTTACTGTTATGGGGTTGTCCTAGGGTTTGACTGCGTTGAAATGTAGGTAGGGTCAGTCCTGAATTTTGTAACATATTGGGTGAAACTTTCGAATTCCCTGGCAGCAACCAAAAATGTTCGCCACTGAATCTGAAGAAGGCATTACTCAATGGAAACATGTTCATACTAATCCAGATCAGTTATCTGCTTTTGTTCAGAGACTGAGACTGTAGTTGACTCAACAGTTTAACAAAAAAAAGCTATAGGGATTAATCTGGCAGTTGTCTGGACCTGAGCTCAACTCCGCAATCTGGAGTCATTTGGACTGGATAGCTGAATACTGATATTCCATCTCCCAAAGAGAATACTCCATCATCTGTGACAACAAGGTGCAGGGCTGGATGAACACAGCAGGCCAAGCAGCATCATATGAGCAGAGAGGCTCCACCACCAAAGACATCTTTCCCTCCCCACCCTTATCTGCTTTCCGGAGGGACAACTCTCTCCGTGACTCCCTTGTCCGCTCCACACTCCCCTCCAGCTCCACCACACCCGGCACTTTTCCCTGCAACCGCAGGAAGTGCTACACCTGCCCCCATACCTCCTCCCTCACCCCCATCCCAGGCCCCAAGAAGACTTTCCACATCAAGCAGATGTTCACCTGCACATCTGCCAATGTGGTATACTGCATCCGCTGTACCCGGTGTGGCTTCCTCTACATCGGGGAAACCAAGCGGAGGCTCGGGGACCGCTTTGCAGAACACCTACGCTCGGTTCGCAATAAACAACTGCACCTCCCAGTCGCGAACCATTTCAACTCCCCCTCCCATTCCTCAGACGACATGTCCATCCTGGGCCTCCTGCAGTGCCACAACGATGCCACCCGAAGGTTGCAGGAACAGCAACTCATATTCCGCTTGGGAACCCTGCAGCCTAATGGTATCAATGTGGATTTCACAAGTTTCAAAATCTCCCCTCCCCCTACCGCATCCCAAAACCAGCCCAGCTCGTCCCTGCCTCCCTAACCTGTTCTTCCTCCCACCTATCCCCTCCTCCCACCTCAAGCCGCACCTCCATCTCCTACTGACCAACCTCATCCCGCCCCCTTGACCTGTCTGTCCTCCCTGGACTGACCTATCCCCTTCCTAACTCCCTACCTACACTCACCTTTACTGGCTCCATCCCCGCCTCTTCGACCTGTTTGTTTCCTCTCCACCTATCCTCTCCTCTATCCCTCTTCTATCCGCCTCCCACTCTCTCCCTATTTATTTCAGAACCGCCTTCCCCTCCCCCTTTTCTGATGAAGGGTCTAGGCCCGAAACGTCAGCCTCTCTGCTCCTATGATGCTGCTTGGCCTACTGTGTTCATCCAGCCCTGCACCTTGTTGTCTCGGATTCCCCAGCATCTGCAGTTCCTACTACCTCCTAGAGTGTGCTCCACATTCAATAGTTGTCAGAGTGCATCAATACTTAAAGCTGTGCAATTGTGCAGCACTTTGGAAGATGAAATGCAGGGAACAAACAGCATGCATGTGCAGGGTCACTCAGCAATTTTAAAGGGGCTACACATTTTGAGAAATGGACTGTGTAAAGAAAAGGATAAGGCAATATGCCTGCTTTCAGTTAGCATACAGTTCACCAAAATGACACCAGGTGGAGAACAAGTTAACACAAAATCTGAGATTCTTGTTTCCATTCAAAAGGCGTCTTATGCCAGTATTTTTGCTCCGTGTTGGCAAAGGTTCCATGCCAGCCAAAGATTTGGTGTGATTTGGTATTTCCAGCCTAGGCCTAATTTGTAGCTATTTAATGCCACTCCTGCCGTAATTTTGGAGAGATTGTACTCGAAGTGCCAATGATTTTTGGCCTCGTTTTGTGAAAACACTGCTACTTAAGCAACATAAATGTTAGATATTGCTCTGCAAAAGAATCTAATTTTAGAAAATAATGAAAATTTGGATAGGGGAGCCTAACCTCAAATCCCCATCCATTGTTGTCCTCACCATCCCTCTTTCCCTGACCAAAAGTGAATAAATTTAATGAGCCCAGACCACATCACTGCAAAGAAAATAAAAGATAATTATAGAGACCCAGAGTGTTACAAAATATTTGGGGGTTGGTGAAAGTGTGGGCACAGGCATGGACTTCCACTCAGGTTCCTTTCCTACTACCACTGCTGCTGCCAGTGATAGCTGCAGAACCCAAGACAATAACACTTACCCTACTGATTGAATTTTGTAGGGTAAAAGCTTAGCGGTGAGATGCATTCCTTGTTTTAATGCCCTGTTTTCTGTGTATTGTTATGATTTGTATTGACAAAGCACCAGCAGACTAAGTTACAGATTATGATCATTTATTCATGAGGACCCAAGGAGAGTCAGTCTTAAACATTATAAGACTGAACTCTGACAAAACTAACAAGCTCTCATCTCTTATACATGTTAGGTATAAAACCTGAGACTAGTGTAGCTGCCTCGTTTGCCCATCAGTTACATAATTGGATGCAGCCTGTTTCCTTCTGTTGCACTTTAAGCAGTAATCTATGTGACATGGCATCCTGCGAACTGTGTCAGATACTGTTACGGTTCAACTTGACAAATTTCGGCAGATTCAGATTCAAGTAGAGTTTGTGATAAGTTTATGATAATTGAATCATAAGTACGCATGGAGAGTCAGTCTTAAACATTCCAACACTGAATTCTGGCAAAAACCAATAAATTCTCATCTCTTATACACTTTAGGTCATGTACTCAATTTTTAATCTGATCAATTTGTAAATGTATGTTAACCAGAGTTCACTTATTTCTCATAGTACATACATCAGGCATCATCATTGTCTACCAAAGGCTTCCCCTTAACCTGCTGACTGTGCAATTAACGCTATGTCCCTGTTGCTATCACTTGCTCCTTTACTATCTACTTACATTTATTTTACTACAAGTACTTCTAAATCAATTTGTATTTATCCCTTTTAAACATTAACAATTTCAACATCATTTGGCTCATAAAGAGCTTTACCAAGGTTTCTAAGAAAATGAGTCAGAGTCTCAGTGGGGTCAAGTTGAAAGACAGAAATCTTGTTCTGACAAGGCTTCAGCATTGAGTCTGCCCAAAGGAAAATACAGCCAAAATTGTCACATTGAATCTCTGAAAATCTTCTAACATTTTATTCTGTTCGATTTAGATAAGAGTAGATGAAGAGCAACACGTCATATTTGCAGCACTTGATGAGAACCAAAGCTGGTATATTGATGAGAACATTCAGTTATACCTGAATTCTTCCAACTTTGATCCCACAGACCCTGAATTTTACGAATCAAACATCATGTACAGTGAGTAGAGGTTGTCTGGTTTTCCTTCCTGTTCAAATTAAGGGTGTATTTAAAATTTATAGGTGTTTAGATCTGTAACTGATCTGTGGATTCAAAACATGTCACGTGTCTCGTAGATGTGAAATGTTGAATCATTTCACAGCAATTACCAATAGTCAGTAATAATCCGTAATAATCGATATCAATAACAATCAATAATCAATAAACAGTAATTTCACAATTTAAATAAGTAATTAATAACCATGACAATTCAAAAGCACCAAGCAGCAGAGCTAACAAAAAATCCTGTTTTTGCCCTTTTATTGTTAATGGGCAGAGCTAGAGTGAGAAAACAGCTGGGCCGCAAGTCTTAGATTACCACCGAAGTGGATGGAGACGGAGATTGAGTTAAGGAGTTGAATTTAACTAATAATGATCTTCTCTCCATAAGTGCCACATCCAGATGTGGACTGAAAAAACAACTTTAGTTCAGAGGCTGTTACTAGGCAACCTTCAACAAAAGGCTTCTCTGAGTCAGGTTGTCTAATAACTGAGCCATAAACATCTCTAATCTCTTCTTAAAAGCTTTGCTGGATACTTATTTCACAAAGTCAATTGACATTTGCAAACAGTGGTAAATCACTTTCTCTTTGGCCTTTTAACATTTGTTTCCTAAAAGTCGTGACAAATAGTGACAAAAAATGTGACAAATCCTTCTTCAATCTAGTAATTTTCAAGTAGCTCCATATTCCAGTGTCTCATAATCTGCAACCATAAATGTATGCCACGGTTGACAGAGAAGAACCATATAAAGTATTTATTTTGGATGAAACTTTCACGGGTAAATGTACAAATAGCAATGTCCACGTGGACATTAGAGCTAGGCATCAATAACATAATTCCAATCTCCATCTATTAGCGGACAAAGAAATCTTTAGTTCTTCTTTTCCTTTATTTTGTCCAACGTATTTCTTTAGCGATTTGAGAGCTGTTAAAAAAATTCTGAGGAATAAGACTTCCATCTAATTATTCAGGGATGGTTTCAAATTTAAGGTCATAAAAAACAGTCCTGTAATAGCACTTTGCCGTTAAGCTTCATTAAAGCAGTATTAATGCTTCGTAAAACAATAATAGTAGCTGCATTTTAACTTTTGCATTTATGTTCCATTGTATGTAAATTAATGGCTAAACAATTATTTTGGGATGTTTTCAGCGATAAGTGGTCTTGTGTACGAAAGCAAAGAATCATTACCATTCTGTGAGGGAGTTGTTACATACTGGCATGTTTCAAGTATTGGTGCTCAAGACCACATTCAAGCAATTTACTTCCATGGGCATACCTTCAAGCACAGAAAAACAAATGAAGATGTGATACATCTCTTTCCTTTAATGGGTGAAACTGTAACCATGCAGATGGACAATTTGGGTGAGTGTCTTCATTTCCACTGTGTTCTGCATTTCACCAGATCATTTACGGATGAATATTTGGCAAGAAAGTTTTAGATTTTATGACAGCACAGTAAATCACTATGTTTAACGTTAGAACAGCACCTCTGCAGCCTATCTTTCTCTTAATCTCAGAAGACATTGTAATAATAAAATGTCTCTTTATATTTATATAAGCGTGTGTATATAGTATACATAAAAATCTTCATACTGATGTCAAAGTCAAATCAGGGCAGGGTTTATATACTTAACGGTAAGGTCCTGGGGAGTGTTGCTGAACAAAGAGACCTTACAAGTGGAGTCACAAGTACACAGGTCAGTGAAGAAGGTATTTGGTATGCTTGCCTTTATTGGTCAGTGCACTGAATATAAGAGTTGGGAGGTCATGTTGTGGCTGTACAGGACATCGGTTAGGCCACTTTTGGATACTGCATTCAGTTCTGATCTCCCTGCTGTTGGAAAGATGTTGTGAAACTAGAAAGGGTTCAGAAAAGATTTACAATGATATTACCAGGCTCGGAGGGTTTGAAAGGCTGAATAGGCTGGAGCTATTTTGCTTGGAGCTTTGGAGGCTGAGGGGTGACCTTACAGAGGTTTATAAAATCATGAGGGGCCTGGATAGGGTGACTAGCCAAGGTCATTTCACCAGGGTAGGGGAGTCCAAAACTAGAGAGCATTGGTTTAAGGTGAGAGGAAAAGGATTTAAAAGGGACCTAAGGGGCAAATTTTTCACGCAGAGGGTGGTGGGTGTATGGAATGAGCTGCCAGAGAAAGTGGTGGAGCCTGGTACAATTAGAACATTTAAAAGGCATCTGAATTCATATTCAAAGGTTACAAGATCAAAAATGAAGATTTCAGTTGTGACAGAAATGACCTTGGGCAGAGTTAGAAGCAGTAACCAATGTTTTTAACGCACCCTCTCAAAGTGCTGGCGGCGATAGTCTTAAAAAAAAAAGACCTTACAGCCATTACTATTGCCCTTATAGCTATTGCTGCACAATCCTTTTACATTTCAACAGGAGGTGCATTAATAGCCTGTCAAAAGAAGGTGTTTGTGGTTTGTCAAAGTCAATCATCTTACCTCTGGGACATTACTGCAAGATTTCCTCAAGGTAATGTTTTAGGCCCCACCATCTTCAGTTGCTTCATCAATGTCGGTCCCTCCATCATAACTATCATCTGTGATGTCTTTGAGTCTTTCTATTGTTTTAGGTGGGTTTTCCAGATCTTCATTAAGTTTGTCAAGCCATTGCTGTTTTGTTTTGTGATAGGGAGGGTTTAGAGGGATATGAGCCAAATGCAGTCAAATGGGACCAGTTTAGTTTGGGAAATCTGGTCAGCATGGACAAGTTAGACCGAAGGGTCTGTTTCCATACTGCATGACTCTATAATTACATGGCCGATCCTTCGCTGTCACAGGACCAAAATCCTGGAATCTCAACCCTAACAGCAGTATAAGTGTCCCTAGCCCCCAAGCACAGCAATGATTCAAGAAGGCAGTTGACCACCATTCTAGAACAATTAGGGCTGAGCAATAAATCCTGGCTTAGACTATAATGTATAGGAGCAGAATTAGGCCATGCAACCCCTCGAGTCTGCTCCATTATTCAATCATAGCTGATATGTTTCTCCACCACATTCTCCTACCCTCTCCCTGTAACCTTTGATTGCCTCGCCAATCAAGAACCTATCTATCTCTATCTTAAATACACTCAATGACTTGGCCTACACAGCCTTCTATGGCAGTGAGTTCCACATATTCACCACCCTCTAACTGAAGAAATTCCTCCTCATCTCAGTTGTAAAAGGTCATCCCTTCACCCTGAGGCTATGACCTGGATCCAAGTCTCTCCTACTTGTGTAAATATCTCTTCTCCACGTCCACTCTATCCAGGCCTGTCAGTATTCTGTAAGTTTCAATGAGGTGCTCCGTCATCCTTCTAAACTTGTAGAGTACAGAACCCAGAGTCCTCAACCATTCCTCATCAGACAAACCCTTCATCCCCAGAACCATTCTGTAAACTTCCCCTGGATGTCTTCCAACTGCAGCACATCCTAACTTAGACACAGGGCCCAAAACTGCTCACAAGATTCCAAATACAGTCTGACCACAGCCTTATACAGCCTCAGCAGTACACTCTGTTCTTGTATTCTAGCCCTCTTGAAACATTATATTTGCCTTCCTAACTGCCAACTGAATCTGCACGGTAACCTTAGGAGAATCCTGAACTAGATCTGCCATGTCCCTTTGTGCTTCAGATTTCTGATGCCTTTCCCTGTTTAGAAAATAGTTTATGCCTCTGTTCTTCCTACCAACGTGCTTCCCCATATTGTATTCCATCTGCCACTTCTTTGCCCACTTTCCTAGACTGTCCAACTCCTTCTGCAGCCTCCCTGCCTCCTCAACATTACCTGTCCCTTCACCTATCTTTGCGTCATCTGCAAACTTAGCAACAATACCCTTAGTTCCTTCATCCAGATTGTTAATGGCTAGGCCAGTGGCACCCACCTCCCAAGAATTCTTTCTCTTAAATTACTTTGGAAAGGTTTAATAATAATATCAAAATTGTTGATGGACTAGAAAATGAATAATTGCAAGTACCAGCCAATTATTCATCGATGTTTAGTGTTACTTCCATGAGTGCCTCTGTCCAAGCGTTAATGTAGTTCAGATCACATCCTGCCCTCTGTTCCTGAACATTGTACTTTGTTTTTAATGCTTTTACTGTGACGCTGTACATTGTTTTCCTGCTATCATTTCATTATTACTGTATTGAGGTACTTTGTAATATTGCTGCTCCTCTGATGTTGTATATTATTTTGTAGGTGAATGGCTCCTTGGAACTTTAAGTTCACGACAAGTGACCTATGGTATGAGGATAAGATTTAAAGTTTATCGGTGTGAGGATGAAGGCATTGAATACCCTTTAGTTTTCTTAAGGATTCAATCTGATTCAGACAAAGTGCTTGTAGAGGTAAGTGAGGAAGCCAGTGAAGAAGAGCTTGATGATGAGGCACTTGCAATTCTGAAAGAACTTGGATTCCGATCATTCCACACACCACAAGAAGCAGAAGAGAAAGAAGATATATTCCAGTTTATTGAAGGTGAAACTGATAATTCAAGAGAGCTCAACACTAAAATATCTGAGGAGCAAGGTAGTCAATTCCACTCAAAGGTTAGTGGAAGTCAGAATAAAACGTACAGTGATGCAAACAAAGAAAAGGTTGATATCTTGGAGTATGATATGGCTCAAGATGAGCTTGAGCAGCCTAAGGAATTAGGTGAAAGTACACCGGAAGTGCCATTAAACGAAGCAATCAATGAGATGACACAAAAAGCTGAAATAGAATCTGATGCATATGTGATGAATTTCACATCCTCAAATATTCATTTAAAGCAAAATAGAACAGTTACGATGGAGGGAGATATTAACGTGGAGATTTTTGGAGAAGACTATGAAGCAAAAACCAGCAGTAGTGTACTTCAAGATTTTTTACTAAGCTCTGCTGCCAGAAATACTAGCTTGATATTTAACACGAGCAATCCAAATACTGTGGTTAATCCCTCTGTGAAGAATAAGAGTTTAGCTGAGACTCCTACAGTAGTAGTAAAGCAAAATAATTTTCAATTAACTGCAGAGAACATCAGCTCCATCAATATTATTGATGGTGAAAGAGAAGAGAAGTCTGATCTAGTCCCACAAGAAAATAACACAGAACTAAAGAGTCAAAATGAGAAAACTGAAACTCTGTATGAAATGAGGAACACCGATAATTTTAATGAAACCAGCACGGCATCAAATAATACAGGCAGAAAAACAACGCTTTCATCTCCTTCATTAAAGCAGAATGTGGCAACTTCACAAACAACTAACTTTACAGCTGGTTATGAAAGAAATCAAATTAACTCCAATGCAAATAATGAAAGTAAAAGTACATCGACAGTTGACATAGAACAGGGTAATTTACTCAATCAGTTGTCCCATGAGGTTTTGGAACACGTCACCAATACTTCAGAACAACTAGGAATAGAAAGCAGTGAAAACTCTGACAAAGTATTTATTTACTTAAAGAAGTATTCAACAGGCAAGCACAGGGTTCGATTTCAGGGAACACCTCTGAAACCCAATGGATCGTATTTGATGTACCAAGTGGAAGAAAAGGGCATTAGTGTTACAGAGTTAAAGCATTTGAAAAAATATGTAAAGCTGGCAATACATGATAATTCTGCAAGAAAATTCAAAACCGAAGAAAATGTTAGAAGGCAGACTGCAATTAAAACAATGCTGAAACGCAGAAAATTGCTGAAGGATCAAATGTCTCCAAGAGGGTTCAAACCTGGTCTTAAAAAAAGAATTCATGTTCCTTTAGGCAAAAAACGTATGTCACCAAGAGGATTTCAAGTTAAACCTAATTCAATAATTTTTCAAGATGACAGCTCAAATAGTATTATAATAGGAATTCCAAAACGTAAAAATGGGGCCACTCTTGATTACGATGAATATATTGCAAATGCGGATGCAGACCTTCTTGGAGCTGCTAGAAAAAATAGTGAAGCTGAGACAGATTTAGATTCTATGAACCCTTATACTAATGACAGACGAACTCATTCAGACATGTCCCGAGATCCAGAAATAATCGTTGAGCATTACTTACGGAGCTACAGAGGAAATGTGAGGCATTACTTTATTGCAGCTGAAGAAATTTTGTGGGATTATACTGGAAATACTATGTAAGTGCAGTGTTTTTCAACATTTTTGGATTGTTATTTAAAGAACTTATCAAATGATTTCAGCACATTTGGCCTTTTGTCCTTGCCAAATCTCTGCAAAACCACTTCGCTAACCCCAACCTTTTGTGTGTTCCCTATAGCCATGCAACTGATTTCTCTTTGGCTGTTAAGCCAATTCCTCCTTTAAACACCTTGTCTGAATCTGCATTTATCACACTGTCATGTGTTGCATTCCAGATCTTAAGCTTTCACTGATAGAGAAAAAAAATTGGTTCTTTTGACATTTGCTATCCTATGATTCTCAATCCCTCCACCGCCAGTTGCAGTTTTTCAAGGCTCCTTATCATTTTGAATATCTCTATTGAGTGTTCCCTCAAACCTGTCTTTATGGAGAACAAACCCAGTTTTCAATCTATCCAAGATCTGAAGTGCCTTATTTATGTATTCATTCTCATAAAACTTACCTGCACCCTGTAGAAAGCATTCACATCCTTCCTAAAGTGGAGTGCCCAGAAGTGGACAAAGTACTTCAATTGGGGCTTAACCAATATTTCTTTTATATGGGTTCTTCATAACTTCCTTGGATTTTTTTTATATAAAACTGAAAATCCTGTAACCCTTTTGAACAATTTCTCAATTTGCTTGCCAATTTCAATAAGACCACAAACCTTTGGCTACCGAATTGAATTTGCAAAGTTTGCAGGGATTTCACTTGAAGTTGATGAGCTTTGCTGCTGCAACTGAATATGTGCAAGCGAAGAAGTAGACCACAAGGGATGTCTCTGTGTCATGGGCGACATGATGATTTATGATGAGGGATAGATCATATTTGGAGTCCTTGGACTCAAAATCCTTCAGAGATTCAAGCAGGATCACTTGCATACTACAAAGTGTTATTCCAGAGCGTAAACTGCTGTTTGGTGACCAGGGATCTCAAAATCATGGGAAGGATTGATTTCAAACTGCACCAAATGTGCAGTCAATTTTCGGGGGTAGGGATATTACTGCCAATTCAAAGACCTACTCCATAAAAATGTATAAAGACGAAATAATCCAAAAATACCCAATGGGTAATACAATGGCACTTTACGAAGTTTTGTATTTAAAGATCACTGAAATTGTATATAAAATTTCATTCACATAGGTAACTATTAAAACAATTATAAAGATAATTAATTATGATTGTTAGCACAGTCTATATATAGTATCTATGTTTGCCCTATTATTGACAATCTGTTCCACATATAACAATTTCCTAATCGTTATTAGACATTCAGCAGAGCAAACAAATACACTGTATAAAAAAGTCATTTTCCGGAGATACACAGATGCGTTATTTAGGGAACGCTATGATCACGGAGAAAGATACGACCACTTGGGAATACTTGGACCTGTCATCAGAGCAGAAGTTAATGATGTCATCAAGGTATACTGCAATATTTAAATCATATCTTACATTATCTTATTGCAAGCACCGTAGTAGGATCCTGCTTCCAGTTTAGTTTTAAACAGTACAATATACATTCATTTGGCAGTTTGACTTGATGAGTTGGATCTGTCTCAAAAAGGTTATAAGTTCAAACTTTACTCTAGATTTTGGCACCTAACTTATCTCGACAGGCAATGTATAACTGAGAAATTGGATGGTGTGTTAACCCAAAGTTCTATTTAAACTTTCAAGTGGGTATGATTCATGCCATTTCAAAATTCACTAGTAATGTCCAATAATTCTCCTTCAATCTTCACAACTTATTCTATGCTGTATACACTTACATAGTTCCTGTACATTCAAGTAAGACATATGTATCATGCAGTGCCTTGAGACATTCATGAGAGATACATTTTTAAGCACTGTATGCAAGCTTATTTCCTGCTTTGATCGCACAAATTCTAAAATAAAGCTACACAGGGTATTCTTAGGACTGAATCTTACTTTTATTGGCAAAGAACAAGTTGCATTGAGTATTTTGGATGGTTTTTCACTGCAAGGCCTATCTCTCACCATTTCTTACTCACCATATGATGTACCTACTCTGCCACTACGGTATCTCTCACATCTGATTCCCACCCCATCTTACCACGTGCTGATTCTCAGAACCACTCACCACTCGGTAGAATTCACTAGTATTCCTTGCACCAGCACAATCTTTAAAAGCAGCTGCCATTCATTGGCCCTGACATTTGCCCTGGTCATGGCATTCAGGGGGAAATTGGTGCCCCAGTTAGTGGGACAGAGACCAGAAAGTTCTGCTGGACAGGGTAATGCAGAGGTGGGATTTGCTCTATTCTCAGAACCAGGAATGGAGGCCACGAGACTAGACCATGTCAGCCTGGTCCAAGGTTGCCACCCAGGTCAGTGAAGTCTCAGTTGTCTGGAGGAAGTCCCAGAATGAAGGAAGAAGGTCAATTTTCTTCTCCCCTCGAGCTGCAACCTGGTCCAGTCCATGAGCAGGGTGTGTGTCCCTGAGCATGATAATTGCTGGTGCAGAAGCATTCTTCAAGTGGATCAGAGATGTGCATAATAGTTGTTAGAGTCTGGCACATATCAGATGCCAATGTCTGTGGACAAACGTGTATATATGCCTGTGCCCATGGAGCGTGCCCTGAGATTTTAGTGCCCAGTGTCCAACATGAGGTTCCTTTGCAGCAAGCAGTGAGCTGAATTTGCCAGATACCCACTCTGGGGAGTTTCCTAAGTTAGAAACCTGAATATTAGTGAGGTGATGTTTGTCAACAAGGCATTTAACAAGCGATGAGCCTTCCTAAGTGGTGTTACATACTGTGTAGTGAGAGCCAAAGCTCTCATCACGCAGACCCCTATAAAAATCCATCGTTAACGCTGAACATTTGTATTGTTCATCACTCCCAGCATCAGAATGGAGGCCCATTGCTCCTATAGGGAGGAAATTGGAAGGTGACTCAAGCTAGTCTGGTGGAATTGGCAATGCTGTAGGATTAGGTACATAGAATATTGGTGAGATGAAGGTAATTGTATGAAACCTCTTTGCAGAATTGATTTTGTAAATAGAGTTTTAATAATCATCTAAAGCCTGCACTTATTTATCAGGTTCTCTTTAAAAACTTGGCTTCAAGACCATACTCTATTCATGCCCATGGAGTGTCATATGAAAAGTCATCTGAAGGAGTGAAATATGAAGATTACTCTACTGACTGGTTTAGATCAGATGATGCTGTTCCCCCAAACAGCACGTACACTTACGTATGGAATGTGCCGCCTCGATCAGCACCAACTTCATACGATTCAGTCTGCAAGGCCTGGGTCTATTATTCCAGTGTGGACTATGTAAGTGTTCTACAAACAAAATGACAGAAGAGAATGCAAGCAATTTATACTGAAAATTGAAATATTTTCCCTTTGTAAATGGTTAAAATATTATTTCTTTCCTTGCAGGTGAAGGATATTAACTCTGGATTGATTGGGCCTCTGTTGATCTGTAAGAATGGAACACTGAACACCTTTAATGAAATTCCCAATGATGCTCGTGAATTTGTTTTGCTCTTCAACACTTTTGATGAAACTAAAAGTTGGTACCTGAACGAGAACAAGGACCGACTTTGTAAAGAATCCTGTGAGATAAGCAAGAGCAATTCCAATTTTAAACAGCACAGTACATTTCACGGTATTTACTCCTTCCACATTTTTAAAATGTAATTAACTTCATAACTCTTTCAGTAACCAGTGACAGAACTGCCATTTTCATTGGAAAATCAGATGTGAGTGCAAATTGGAACCTTTGTAATTGAATCCCAAGATGTGTTTTTTGGTTAAAGGTATTTCTTTCATATATTTTCATTTTAATGTTTTGTTCTCCCTGTGAACCATATAACCAAACGGTTAATACTCTACCAAAAACAGAAATTGCTAGAAAAGCTCAGCAGGTCTGACAGCATCTGTGAAGAGAAATCAGAGTTAACGTTTTGGGTCCGGTGACCTTTAGTTCTGAGGAAGGGTCACCGGACCCGGAACTTTAACTCTGATTTCTCTTCACAGATATTGACAGACCTGCTAAGCTTTTCCAGCAACTTCTGTTTTTGTTTCTGATTTACAGCATCCACAGTTCTTTTGGTTTTTTATTTAGTGAATACTATAAGTGGATTCCACAGCACCCAGCTATACATGTTGACCAGCTCTCTCACCATCAGCAGCATCTCCTAGCCCATTGCCGACATGAGATGAGACATTTCTTCAAATGCTTCATCCTATATCCAAATTTTTTTATGTGCTGGCAGAATACTGGAACAGGAATTTCTACCCACAATAGGCTGTCATTTCTAGTTAGGCACATCCCCGGAGGTTTCATCCAACGGTTTTATTCAGTCAAACATCCTTTTTAACTGAGCTTAACATTTTTAAAATTAGTAAACAAAAGTTTTCAAGTATTGATAAAATGCACAACTTATTTAACTCTAGCCCCGCAGCATGTCCAGATGATTAATCTTTCAATCCCAGAGATCCCAGGACAATTCTAGAAGGTTGACAACTTGTACTTAAGATCAGCAATGATTTTAATTCAAAGTACATGCCAACAATATGAATTATTTTCACCATTTAGAGTACTCAATATCATTTTCAAAACATTTTCTCAGTTAAATAACCACTTTGCTTTTTCAGCTATAAATGGATTTGTCAAAGCATCTTTAAGGGGTCTCGTGATATATGTAGAAGAGCGGGTGCGATGGTATTTGATTAATGTGGGAGGCTCAGATGATGCGCATGCTATACGTTTCCACAGCCAGACATTTATTGAAAGGAGGGAAAGTGAACATCGTCTGGGCATTTACAACTTGTATCCAGGTAAGTGTAAAGGTCTGCTCCTTCATCACACATGTAAAAGTACATTTAAATAACATGTTCCTTAGTGTTAAGGAAATCTAATCAATTCTGTGCTTCACTCAAGTGCACTTCTTTTAATTTCTGTTATTTTGTCTCTACTGATAATAAACGTTAAGAACAGAATTATATCCACTTGACTAATTTAAACTCATCAGATATCCAGCTTCTTCTAATCAAATATGTTACTGAAATACATAGGTGCCTTTAGAACCATTGAAATGCAGTCATTAAAACCTGGCACATGGCTTTTAGACTGTGAAAATGGAATGCATTACAAAGGAGGAATGCGGGCACATTTGCTTGTTCTATCTAAAGGTATGTGCATATACATGATTATTCAAGTGCAATAATGTATAACAATTTTTTTCTGACTCTCAAATGTACTGGGTTACATCAACTGAAATAAAATTTGATGCTCATCACTTCAAAATGACACTTGAAAATCATATTTCATTCCAGCGTTTCTGCAGTACCTTAGTGTCTATTGTAACAATTATCAAATGCAAGCTTAGAAAAGGTAGGAAATAGAATATAAGTGTAACCACAAACTGGTTCAAGGATGTGACCTGTCTGAAGGCATAAATAACATTGAAAAAATATTATAGACTTTTATCTTGGAATTCAGACTTTACCTGAATTCCCTTATAGCATTATTCAGAGTCGAAAATAGAGACTTATGCTGTCACTTTCCTTTCTAATTCTTCCACTTTTTATTTGAATTCTTTCTTTCTGTCTCCTTCATATTCTTTGCTTCTCCTTATCTCATTATGTTTATCTTGTTTCCTTGTCTCTTGTTATTTTGAGTAGTAAAGTTTGATCCATGTAATTGGTAACAAATGAAAGTACAAAATAACCACTTAGGTGCAAAATGCCAACAGCTCACTGTTAACAAGATAACCATAAAAATTCAAAGAATATTTGGCCCTGGCATCCGGTGTTGATTAGCCTCCTCCGTTCTGTAAGCATTTGGCAATTTGATAGCATTAAACATTTGATTAGTATTTGATGCAAAGAAGAGACATATAAAGAGGAAAGAGAAATCAGCAGACTTGAGGATTGGGAATAGTTTAGAAGTCAGCAAAGGAGAACCAAGGGATTGATTAAGGAGGGGAGAATAGAATGAAAGTAATCTTGTGGGGAATGTAAGAACTGACTTAAAGTTTCTATAGGTCTGCAAAGAGAAAAAGATTGGTGAAAACAAATGCAAGACCCTTATAGTCAGAAATGGGGAATTTATAACAAGTATGAAAGAAATGGCTGATGAACTTGCTTCACACTTTGCTTCTGTCTTTACAAAGGTTGACACGATTAAAGTACCAGAAATGATGGGGAACACAGGATTCAGTGAGAAGGAGGAACTGAAGCAAGTCTATAATACTAGAGAAATGTTGTTGGAGAAATTAATGGGATTAAAACCTAATAAATCCCTAGGGCCTGGTAATCTCCATCCTACAGTACTTAAGGAAGTGGTCCTAGAAATAATGGAGGCTTTGCTTGTCATCTTCCAAGATTCATACAGAATGGAGGGTAGCTAATGGAACCCCACTATTTAAAAAGAAACATTGAGAGAAAACAGAGAATTATAAACCAGTGAGTCTGATGTCAGTAGTGGGGAAGATATTGGAGTCCATTATCAAGGATTTTATCAAGCTGAGCACTTAGAAAACAGAGGTAGATTCGTACACAGTCAGCATTTACACAAGTGATAGTAAGTGATATTGACAAATCTACTAGAATTCTTCAAGAATGTAACTAGTACAGTTAATGAAGGGAGCCAGTGGATGTAATTTATTTGGACTTTGAGAAGACTTTCAACAAAGTGCCACATGGGAAATTAACATGTAAGATTAAAGTGCACGGGATTGGGGATCGTGTATTGAGGTGAATAGAAAATTGGTTGGCTGACAGGAGACAGAATAGGATTAAAGGTCTTTTTCTGAATGGCAGGCAGTGACTGGGGGCGTACCACTTGGATCAGCGCCAAGACCCAGCTATTTACAATAGATATTAATGACTTAGAAGAGGAAACTATCGGTAATATCTCAAAATCTGCAAATGACACAAAGCTGGGTGGGAGGATAAGCTGTGTCAAGTATGCCGGGATGTTGCAGTGTGATTTGGAAAGGCTGAGTGAGTGGGCAAATGCCTGACAGATGCAGTAAAATTTGGATAAATATGTTATCCACTTTAGTAAAAAAAAAACAAGAAGGCAAATTATTATTTGAATGGCTATATATTGAGACAGGTAATATTGAATGATTGCTGGGTATCCTTGTGCACAAGTCACTGAAATTAAACAGGCAGGTGTTGCAGGCAGTAAAGAAGGCAAACTGTATGATGGCCTTCATAGCGAGACGATTTGAGTACAGGAACAAGGACGTCTTACTGCAATTATGCGGGGTTTTGATGAGACCAGACCTGGAATATAGTGTGCGGTTTTGGTCTCCTTATCTGAGGAAGGGTGCTGTTATGATAGAGGAAATGCAATGAAGGTTTACCAAGTTGATTCCTGGGATGGCAGGATTCACATATGAGGATAGATTGAGTTGGTTAGGATTTATTCACTGGGGTTTAGAAGAATGGGGAGGCTCTCATATCAACGTATAAAATTCTAATAGGGCTAGACAGGTTAGATGTGGGAAATATGTACCGGGTGGTGGGGGAGTCAGAACCAGTGTTCATGGTTTAAGGATAAGGGGTAAACCTTTTAGGAATGAACAGAAGAGAAATTTCTTCAACCCGAGAGAGGTGAGCCTGTGGAATTCACTACTACAGGGAGTGGTTGAGGCCGAAACATATGTGTTTACAAGAAGGAGTTACAGCTCTTGCAGCTAAAGAGTTCAAGGGATGTGGGGGGAGGGTGGAATTAGCGTATTGAGCTCAATGACCAGCCATAATCATATTGAATGGCAGAGCAGGCTCAAGGGATCAAATGGCCTCCTCCTGCTTCTGTCTTTGATGTTTCACTGATTCTGTGAATTGATGACTTGGAGGAAGGAATTCAATGCACTGTTGCCAAATTTGCAGACAGTCTTACTGCAACTGTACAAAGTGCTGGTGAGACCACATCTGGAGTACTGTGAGCAGTTTTGGGTCCCCTTATTTAAGGAATGATATTATTTTATTAGAGGCAGATCAGAGAAGATTCATTATGTTGATCCCTGGTATGGAGGGATTATCTTATGAGCGAAGGCTAACTAGATTGGGACTGTACTCACTGAGAGGTAATTTCATTCAAAAAGTATAGGATTCTTCTGGGTAAGTGCTGAGAGAATGTTCCCCCTTATGGGAGAGTTGAGGACCAGAGGGCATAGTCTCAGAATAAAGGGGCACCAATTTAAGACTGAGATGAGGAATTTCTTGTTTTTTTTATATATGCCCTTTGGACATGGGTGTCACAGGCTGGCCAGCATTTCTTGCCTACCCGGAGTTGTCCTTCAGAAGGTGATGGTGAGCTGCCTTCTTGAACTGCTGCAGTCCATGTGCTGTAGGTAGACACATAACGTCTTTAGCGAGGGAATTCCAGGATTTTGATACAGCGACAGTGAAGGAGCAGTGATCCATTTCCAAGTCAGGATAGTGAGGAGCTTAGAGGGGACTTGCAGGTAGTAGTGTTCCCATGTATTAACTGCCCTTGTGCTTTTAGACGGAAGTATCCATGGGTTTGTAAGGTGCTGTCTAAGGATCTTTGGTGAATTTCTGCAGTGCATCTTTTAGATAGTACACACTGCTGCTTTTGTGCTTATGTACTCACATCCTTTCCCTCGTCATCATCTCAGACAGAGTCCGCATTCACATGTACGCTAATGACATCAAGCTCAAATTCTCCACCCCCCATGTTAGCTGCTATGCGATGAGATTGTTAGTTTGATAACCAATCAGGAATGAGCCATACTCTCCTGCAGTGAAACCTTGGGAAGACTGAATCATCTCTCAGAGGGTTGTGAATCTTTAGAATTCCTTGTAAGTGTGGAGGTAAAGTCCTTGTGGACCACATGATATAGGAGCAGAATTAGGCCATTTGGCCAATCAAGTCTGTTCCACCATTCAATTATGGCTGATGTGTTTCTCACCCCGTTGTGTATATTCAAGGCTGAAATAGATTGATCTTTGATCAGTAGGGAAATGAAGTGTTATGGGGAACACATAGGAAAGTATATTTGAGGAATGTTGGATAAGCATGATCCCAATGAATGGCAGAGCAGGTTTGAGCTGCTGAACAACCTACTCCTGTTTCTATTTCTTTTGGTTTTATTTATGGTTTAAATGTTGTTGATACTTGTAACACAGACAGCAGAAAGATCAACGGATCTTTATTTCAAATATTTCCATGATAAGTATCAAGTATAGCCATACCACTTAAACCTAGCATTGCTTTTATTGTTGTTATAAGTGAACAAATATGTTTCACTTTCCCTACAGCATCTTCATATCACCAAAATAAAAAGTAGAAAGAAGATAAAAACACACCCATATTCAGCAATAGATGCACCTCCAGATTTATTCTTTGTGCTACAGAAGATATGCAATAGAAATTCAGCAGATCCTCTGCCTCTTCTCCCAAATTGTAGTTTCCTGGCTGACTTTCTGCTTTTCTGCCTCTTTCTTCCCTTCCAATATTTCACAGGAATGCGGTAGTGTAGATGATGGTTATTTGACCTATCATGTCCATACTCCCTCCGCAAATCGCCATTATGACGTGATGCCATTCTCCTGCCTTTCCCCTGTACCCTGGCATATTATTTAAATAGAAACAATCATCAAATGCCCTTTTGAATGCGTGAAGTGAATCTGTCTCCACCACACTTCCAGGCGGTGCATTCCAAACCTGAACCATATGTGAAAAGCATTTTCTCATGTCGTTTATTGACTGTTACAATGTTCCATTGATTAGTTAATCCTGGACTGTAATAAGATAGTTGTGTTAAAATGATTGTCACATACAATTGAATCCATTTTTAGCAATCGCTATTTATGGTGATCTTATGGACTTAATGCTTAAATCATAATTTCCAAAAATAAATTGCACTTGGTGTATTATTTTTTAACTGAACTGATCAGTTCTGAGGATCAGTCACCGGACCCAAAACAGTAACTCTGTTTTTTCCTTCACAGATGCTGCCAGACCTGCTGAGCTTCTCCAGTGATTTTGTTTTTATTCCTGATTTACAGCATCCGCAGTTCTTTCGGTTCTCATTGTCACTTCCCTGTTCCCCAAAACCCTGTAACTTTTATCATTTAATCATGCCTGCCCTCACTAACATCTCAAACTTTACCTTTCATTATTTTCCTGCCCTAGCTTTCCTTGCTCTGTACTTCTTTAAAAGCTGTTTTTGATTTAGAAAAATCACCAACATTAACTCTGTTTCTCTAATCAATGATATTTCTAGTGTTTACTGAGTTTACTTCGATTTGCAGCACCCAGTCTTTTGACTTTTTGCTATTTTATGCACCGTTTGTACTGATCAGTATTAAGTTAATTGTACTGTTATGTTTCCATTTTGATTCCCACTTTGTTGAACACACGAAGGGATTTATTTTAAAAGTTGCTGTACCCATGCATAACTGATGAACAGAGGTAGGCATTTGGTTTCTCAAACCTATTATGCCATTCAGCGAGATCATGGTTAATTCAAAATTGGTTGGAAGGCAGGAGACAGAGGATGGTAGTGGAGGGTTGTTTTGCAGACTAGGGGCCTGTGACCAGTGGAGTGCCACAACGATTGGCCTGTGTCTACTGCTTCTCATCATTTATGTAAATGATTTGGATGTGAATATAGAAGGTTAATAAGTTTGCAGATGACACCAAAATAGATGGTGTAGTGGACAGTTAAGAAGGTTATCTCAGAGTACAATGGGAACTTGATTAGAAGGGCCAGTGAGCAGAGGACTGACAGATGGAGTTTAATTTAGTTAAATGTGAGGTGTTGCATTTTGGTAAGGCAAATCAGAGCAGGACTTGTACACTTAATGGTAAGGTATAGGGAGTATTGCCAAACAAAGACACCTAGGGGTGCAGGTACATAGTTCCTTGAAAGTGGAGTCACAGGTGGACAGGATAGTGAAGAAGGGGTTTGGCAAACTTGCCTGCGTAGGCCAGTGCATTGAGTATAGTAGTTAGGATGTCATGTTGTGGCTGTACAGGACATTGATTAGGCCACTTCTAGAATACAACATTCAATTCTCGTCTCCCTGCTAAAGGAAAGATGTTGTTAACATGAAAGGATTCAGAAAAGATTTACAAGGATGTTGCTGGGATTGGAGGGTTTGAGTTATAGGGAGAGGCTGGATAGGCTGGGGCTTTTCCCCCAGGAATGTCAGAGGCTGAGGGGTGACCTTATGGAGTTTTATAAAATCATGAAGGGCATAGGCAGGGTGAAAAGCCAAGGTCTTTTCCCTGAGGTGGGGGAGTCCAAAACTAGAGGGTATAGGTTTAAGGTGAGAGGGGCAAGATTTAAAAGGGACCTGAGGGGCAACCTTTTTATGCAGAGGGTGATGTGCGTATGGAATGAGCTGCCAGAGGAAGTGGTGGAGGCTGGTACAATTGGAACATTTAAAAGGCATTGGGTTGGGTACATGAATAGGAGCGGTTTAGAGGATTATGAGTGAAATGCTGGCAAATGGGACTAGATCAGTTTAGCATATCTCATCTGCATGGACCCAATGTACCAAAGGGTCCGTTTCCATGCTTTCCAGCTCAATGCTCTATGACTCTATTTATCCTCCTTTGCCCCATATGCCTTCATACCCGTGGTTAATAAAGATCTAACAAACTCTGATCGAAAAATTAACAATTGGTAATCAGTTCCTGTTAGCAGAAGAGAGTTCCAAACACTTACTCTATTTGTGTGTTAAAGTGTTTCTTAATCTCACTTCCTAATTTTTCGAATATGGTATCATGTTCTAGAAGGCTCGAACAGCAGAAAAAGTATCTGTGTACTCTGTCAGTTACCTACAAACCCAATTCATATGGTCTCTCCTGGCGTCCACTTTTCACTCTGTTAAAGCTATACTGCACTTCGTCCAAAGCCAAAATCCTTTCTAGGGCATGGTGACCAGACCTGCTCTCATTACTCTAGGTGTTACTTAACCATAGCTTTGTATAGCTGAAGCGTGACTTGGCCCAGCATAAAACTTTGTGTGATCAGAATGCATGTGAAGAATTTGGGAATGGAACAATTTCACAGATTACTATCTGCTGCTCCTTCATGGATTTGAGCTGCAAGCTTCTAAAAGTAGAACAATATTTTACTCACCTGGCAAGCAAATGACATTTTTGAGAATCTGAGTTATAATGTAGTTAAAAGCATGATTTAACAAAAATTATGTCATTTCAGAAAGCTTTATAGCATAGTATATATATATCTTTTCTGTTCATACTGACATTTCAACTAATGAGTGACATACCTGAGGATTTAGTCCTGGCTACAGAGGGATTTCAACTCCAGGGGGAGGAAGGTGGGGAGAAGGGTGTTTTATCAGGTGTTGAGTGGAGACTGTGTGTGTTGGGACTTGGGTGGAGAGGGGTTTTTTGGGGTCCTGGCGTGAGACAGATGGGATGCTCCAAGAAGCAAGGTAGCTATTGTATCTTGAGTGGAGTGGGGATAGTCAGATTGTAGGCGAGAGACAGAGCTGTGTAAGGTCCTGAGAGAGAGGGCTATTTTGGGTTCTGGGTGGAGAGTGGAATGTTATGTCAGGGAGGTTGGGCTTTAGGTCCGTGGTGGAGTAGAGTCTTTGTCAGCTCCTGGCCAGGGAAGGGAGATGTCAGGTTCTGGGCAGAAGGGGATGTTTCAGGTGTCAAGCAGAAAAGGGGGAGCAAATCCCAAGGGAATAGGGGTTTGTCCAGTCAGATTCGGGGGCTGTAAGCTGTTGGGGATGTGTGTGGTAAGTTTGGGAGGTGGTTAGTTTAGTAGTTACCCAGGAGTCAGAGTAGAATTTTTAATAGCCTTAACTTATCCTGAGTAACTATTTACTTAACTGTAGTGGAACTCTCTAAATTATTTGTTTTGGGTAGATGCATTTGGAGGGTTCCAGGTGCAGAGGAATTGTCCAGGAATTTTTAATTTCTGGGCAATTTGCTAGGAGTCTACTATGTCAGGGATTCTGCAGTGTCCCACTGCACATTCCCATGTACGCTGCACGAATGATAACCTAAGCCAACTAGTATGCTGACCTTTGATGCAGGGGTTAAGTAGCAGAGTGAGGCAATCTTGCAGTTCTTTGGTGAGACTATGTTGAGTTTTGTGTACAGTTTTGCTACCTAGCCTATGGAAGGGTAGACCTCCCTTAGTGGAATTGCAACAAAGGTACATTAGACTGGTTCGTGGGATGACAGGTTTCCCCTTCGAGGAAAGACAGATTAGAGTAAAAGAATGAGAATTGATCCCATTGAAAAATTAAATTCTTAAGAGGTTTGACAATGCAGTCACGGAGAAGATAGTTCCATGCACGCAGAGTCTAGTACTAGAGGTCACAGTGTCAGAATATGGGGTTGGTCCTAAAGACTAAGATGTGGAGGAGTTTCTTCACTCCGTGTTCTGAATCTTTGTGATTCTGTACCCAGAAAGCTGCAGATACACAGTTATTGAAATCGGAATTTAATTATTTTAGAGTGCTAAGGGTATTATGTGATATGAGGATAGTGTGCAGAGCTGGAGTAAAGTTAGAAGTTCAGTCTCCATCTTATTGAAAGGTGATGAGCTGACTGGCTTACTCCTGTTCCTGTTTCTTATGTTCTTATGTTATGTTTTACACTGTCTGAACTGTTACAACAGTGGATTAAATCAACTTCAACAACATCAACCAAACAAAATGTTTCAGGAAGTCATGAGGTTGTACACAATGCTATATTTTCTTTGTTTCTTTTATAGGTTGCGATTATCCCTTGGGTATGGCATCTGGAAGTATAACTGATCCTCAAATCACTGCGTCAGACTATGTGGGTAAGTATTTTGACACTGCTACTTTCAACAATCTAACTTGCTTCTAAAACATGTGGAAATGGGAGCACTTGTTAATAACGTGAATTAACAAAATGTTATTCAGGATGTTGTGTGTCTTGGATCCAGTTCAAACCGATATAAAAACGTTGTTATTCCAATGTTCATCATAAACAAAACCTACTTGGGCAATTTTACATCAATGTGGCTGCTTGGCATAAAACAAACATGATCTTGTACTAATTATCATTTAGCAAAGTGGGATGGGAGGCCTGATGCTGGATAACTACAGAATGATTTTTGTTTGGTACATTGCAGCTTGCACTTAATAAACCATTATAATTATTAGAATCCCGTGGCCTTTCAAAGTGAGTTTCTATTTGCCTTCTCCTCTGTGCTCCACTATTGCGCTTCCCTCTTGGCATCTGCAGGTTCAACCACGATGAGACCTGACATGGCTGACCTCAGTGGTGGTTATCTTCTTTGTTCTGTTCTCTTAACGTGGTTCTGAATTTTTTTTATTGAAGGATCCCTTTTCTAATGGAGTCATTTTTATTGGCATCCCACTTACATTACTATACAGTGCTTACAATATGCAATTATAATAGTCAACAGACAGATGTTCCTCTTCCTAGATCTACTGGTTCAGGTTTTGGAGGAAACAGGAAAACTGGGCAGAGAGGAGCTTATACCTCTAATGGAACTGACTGCTCATTGATTTAAACAGATGGAACATTTAGTGGGCTTTCTTGATTCCTTGATACTGATCAAGATTGCAGTTACAAAATAGCATTACATTTCTCTTTACAAAAGCTGACCAAATGGCTGTGACAAAAACAAGTTGCTGGAAAAGTTCAGCAGGTCTGGCAGCATCGGTGAAGAAAAAAATCAGAGTTAACGTTTCGGGTCCGGTGACAGAGTGGACAGTCAGAAGCTTTTTCCCGGGGTGGAAGAGTCAGTTACTTGGAGCCATAGGTTTAAGGTGTGAGGGGCAAGGTTTAAAGGCAATGTACAAGGCAAGTCTTTTACACAGAGGGCGGTGGGTGTCTGGAACTTGCAGCCGGGGGAGGTAGTGGAAGCAGATACAATAGCGACTTTTAAAGGGTGTCTTGACAAATACATGAATAGGATGGGAATAGAGGGATACGGTCCCCGGAAGGATAGGGGGTTTTAGTTGTGACAGGCAGCATGTCGGTGCAGGCTCGGAGGGACGAAGGGCCTGTTCCTGTGCCGTAATTTTCTTTGTTCTTTGTTCTTTTTTTGTTCCTGATTTATAGCATCCGCGGTTCTTTCGGTTCTAAATGGCTGTGAGTTCTATTACCTGAATTCACCAGTGTTTGCAGTTTTTCTTTACATTTTGTTATATTATTTTCTTTCTTTCTTAGACAACTGGAAGCCAAGTCTAGCACGATTACACAACAACGACATGATCAATGCCTGGAGTGCTGAAAAGCACACGAACAAGAAGCTCTGGATTCAAGTATGTCTTAATTGCTACAAATAACAATTTCATCTTTTCTTAAAGAACTGATCACTAAGTAACCATTACAGGTGCATGTTCAAATGTTGAAACATAATCACACTATTGGAAATAAATGATTAACAAACACAGAAAAGATTGAGAAACATAGAAAAGATAATTTGGTTTCAGGCATTTGCTTCTTCATAGCCTACATATGATGGCCTTCTCATGGATCAACCTGCAGGGGAAGTGGTGGCCTAGTGGTATTATTATTGGACCATTAATCCAGAGACCCAGATAACATTCTGGGAATTTGGGTTTGAATCCTGAGATGGCAATTGGTGACATTTGAATTCTATAAAAAAATCTGGAATTAAGTGTCTAATGGTAACCATGAAACCATTGCCAATTATTGGGAAAAGCCCATCTGTTTCACTAATGTCCTTTAGGGAAGGAAATCTGCTGTCCTTACCTGGTCTGGCCTAAATGTGACTCCAGATTTACAGCAATGCAGTTGACTGTTAACAATTAGGGATGGACAATAAATGCTGGCCAACCAGTGATGCCCACATCTCACGAATGAATAAAAAATATTAAAATGATTAAATACTGCCCCAAACCACAAATGCACACAAGCAACATACCTTTTTTCACAATAATCTGCACTATTTAGTGTGACCTCTCTCAGCAGATACCACCTACACTGGCTCTAAACCCCACCTCTTCCTCTGTTACATTGATGACTGTATCGGCGCTGCCTCGTGCTCCCACGAGGAGCTCGAACAGTTCATCCACTTCACCAACACCTTCCACCCCAACCTTAAGATCACCTGGACCATCTCTAACACCTCACTCACCTTCCTGGACCTCTCTGTCTCCATCTCGGGCAACCACCTAGAAACCGATATCCATTTCAAGCCCACCGACTCCCACAGCTACCTAGAATACACCTACTCCCACCCACCTTCCTGCAAAAATGCCATCCCCTATTCCCAATTCCTTCGCCTCCACCACATCTGCTCCCAGGATGAGGCATTCCACTCCCGTACATCTCAGATGTCCTCGTTTTTCGAGGACCGCAACTTCCCCCCCCCCCCCGTGGTCGAGAACGCCCTCGACCGTGCCTCCCACATTTCCCGCAACTCTCCCCTCACACCCCGTCCCCGCAATAACAACCAAAAAAGAATCCCCCTCGTCCTCACGTACCACCCCACCAACCTCTGGATCCAATGCATCATCCTCTGACACTTCCGCCATCTGCAATCCTACCCCACCACCAAAGACATTTTTCCCTCCCCACCCTTATCTGCTTTCCGGAGGGACTACTCTCTCCGTGACTCCCTTGTCCGCTCCACACTCTCCTCCAGCCCCACCACACCTGGCACTTTTCCTTGCAACCGCAGGAAGTGCTACACCTGCCCCCACACCTCCTCCCTCACCCCCATCCCAGGGCCCCAAGAAGACTTTCCACATCAAGCAGATGTTCACCTGCACATCTGCTAATGTGGTATACTGCATCCACTGTTCCCATTGTGGCCTCCTCTACATCAGGGAAACCAAGCGGAGGCTTGGGGACCGCTTTGCAGAACACCTACGCTCAGTTCGCAACAAACAACTGCACCTCCCAGTCGTGAACCATTTCAACTCCCCCTCCCATTCCTCAGATGACATGTCCATCCTGAGCCTCCTGCAGTGCCACAACGATGCCACCCGAAGGTTGCAGGAACAGCAACTCATATTCCGCCTGGGAACCCTGCAGCCCAATGGTATCAATGTGGATTTCACAAGCTTCAAAATCTCCCTTCCCCCTACTGCATCCCAAAACCAGCCCAGCTCGTCCCCGCCTCCCTAACCTGTCCTTCCTCCCACCTATCCCTTCCTCCCACCTCAAGCCGCACCCCCATTTCCTACCTACTAACCTCATCCCGCCCCCTTGACCTGTCCGTCCTCCCTGGACTGACCTATCTCCTCCCTAACTCCCCACCTACACTCACCTTTACTGGCTCAATCCTTGCCTCTTTGACCTGTCTGTTTCCTCTCCACCTATCTTCTCCTCTATCCATCTTCTATCCGCCTCCCCCTCTCTCCCTATTTATTTCAAAACCCCCTTCCCCTCCCCCATTTCTGATGAAGGGTCTAGGCCCGAAACGTCAGCCTTCCTGCTCCTATGATGCTGCTTGGCCTGCTGTGTTCATCCAGCTCTACACCTTATTATCTTCAATTTGTGGTCTTTTCAAGCTGTAGTTGTTACTCAAGTTATAAACTAGCATTTTTCAGTCTCCTTTTCTTTTTCTTTAGTAATGAGTTGTCAGACCATAAGGTCCAGCAAGTTAAGTGGGACTTCTTACAGTAGAACTACTGGTCTCCAGTAACACAGGAAAGATCATATTCTGTGGAATATTTTAGCACCTCAGTCAATTCCTATACCTATCGAATCAAATTGGTGTAATTAAGGACTAGATGAGCTTTCACAAGCAATTTTATAATCTAGTTCTCTTTTAAACTACTGCCAATGAAGAATCTTGCATACACCAAATCCTGATTGACTAAATGTGCTGGAAGTTGTATGCAATCCTCTTTAGTAAATTTCTACTTTCAGATATAAGGATAGAAATTTAACACTTCAAACAGCAGACATGCATCATGAAAATTGAAATGTGAAGATCATCTTGTCCCACATAGTTTTCTGTCCTTGGGAAGGTACGTGGAAAACCCTGAGCAGTCCGTCTGAATTTTCAATATGTGTATTGCAGATCTCTGCATCCAATGCACTAACTCATCAAAGGAATTCTACCTCCTGGATGTTTGATTTTAAATTTTCACTTATTCATTTATTACAGATAGTCTTCACTTACGTGTAGCTTTGTGGTTCACATACACAATATAACCAATTGGCTAATTCTAGTAGATGAATGAGTGGAACTCCTAGTTATAAATACCAAGGGAACAGATTTGTTGAAACTTATCAACAAATTGTGAAAGTTTCTGTTAATTTTTTTCTGACTGTTCTCATTCTAAGTTCTATTACCAAGGAATTGAATACATACGAATCTGATCTAATTCAGATTTACTGATAAATAGAGTCATTTTTCTCAAAAATTGAAAGAACTGTGGATGCTGTAAATTGGAAACAAAAATAGAGATTGCTGGGAAAGCTCAGCAGGTCTGGCAGCATCTGTGAAGAGAAATCAGAGTTAACAATTCGGGTCCAGTGAGTTCTAAGGAAGTGTCACTGGACCTGAAACGTTAACTCTGATTTCTGTTCACTGATGCTGCCAGACCTGCTGAGCTTTTCCAGCAATCTCTATTTTTGTTTTATTTTTCTCATGTTATTTAGTTAATGTGTGACCATTACGATATCACAGGTCGACCTGGAAAGGCCAATGGTGATCACTGAGATTGCCACCCAAGGAGCCAGCACAATGTTTGTGCAAAATTATATTACAGCCTTTTCCATTGAATACAGCAGGGATGGGGAAAATTGGAGGTATTACAATGGAAACAGCAGAAGCTACAAACAAGTGAGTGTAAATCACGAAGTCTGAATAATTTATTGCACCAAAAGTAACTGTCTATCAACTTTGACTATCTCAGTTTCCTGAGGGATGGGCTGTTAGTAATATCAATTTCTACAAGGTGTAAACTCATCTGTCAATATATTTACTGCTAAACACTTCAGATACAGCATTTTTTCCTTAATAAATAATATTTTGCACTTGTGTTTTTTTTCCTAATATCTGTCTGCTTTCTTGCCTCTGCCTTGTAAGCCATCTCATATCGAAATACTCACCAACAGTTGCAATGATAAGATATGGCTGTATGGCCTCAGGTTATCCACTTGATGAATTACAAATTTTAGTCATGCAATTATAGAAAGAGGTTAAAAGATAATATATAAGAAAAAAAGGACAGACAGCAATTACCATCAAATATAAAAGGTTAATTACCAAAACATATCTGCCTAAAGACTAATTATATGACAGAATAGGCAACTGCAATGTGGGGAGAAAAAGAGGCTGAAGTGGGCAGTGTTCAAGATTATGAAGAAATTTGACAGAATGAATCCAGATAAATTGTTCAGTTTAAGAGGTAACACTGTTTAAATATTTGGTATAAGAACAGAAATCTGACTAAACTTTTCATCCCAATGAATAGTAAAACAAGTTATCAAGAAAACCACTGAAGTGAATTTTCTAAATGGACTTGAAGTAATTTGATGTGTTTTCTTTTACATCAACATAGAAAACTACCAAAGGCTGACAACAGACCTAAGTATAAATCTACGATATACAAGTCTGGATAGTCCAATTGTCAAATAGTCACTGGAATTCCATCCCATCCCTCCCACGAGCCTGAACCCCCACCAGATCATACACGCCTGTGACCCGCAACAACCATCCTCCCCTTCTGGCTTGGAAACCTTCCTCTCCTCCATGCGGCCAACACACCCACCATCCCACCCCCTGATCTCAACCTACCCTAAGCACTCCTCCACTTACCTGGCACCCTTCCCACCTGGAACACTACTTACCATGCCCCTACTCACCTGACTTGTTACTTAGGTGACACCCTGCCCATCAGGCATCATCACCCCTTAATCAACTGTCACCATAATCCCCACACTTGCATCACATACTCGCCAGTTCGCAGCAGCTGTCATTGTGTCTGGCTGTGCTACTGGACATTAAAATAATAAAATATGGTCTAGTGACAGCTATAAAAGGCAGTAGTTTGAATCCCCACACCCAGACTATCATGCACTATGGAGGAGCTTTTTAATTCATATAAACCCCACATTTGTGAAGGAGCTGGGATCTGAATTCCAACTAGAAACATGGAGCTTAGTGTGAACGGAAATAAATGGGAGTGGAATGGCAACCTGACCTTCCTGGTCACTCATGGGAATATCTGGGCCATGGTCATACTAAAAGTGCATTGACATAACCTAAGCTGCATGTTTATTTCAGCATTCCACTGATTGTAAAGCAGGCAATTGTTGTTATAGTTACAGAGATATTCCGTAAATTTTTCAAGAAATTATAGCACATTGTTGATAGCTTCAGCCTTAGCTCAATAGAAATACTTTTGGTTTGTGCTCAGAAGGTTATGGTTTAAGCCCAATTTAAGAAGCTTTAACACAGCAATTTGCTCTTTTGGAGTTATCTTGGATATACCTATCTACCTTCTCATATAGATTTATATATCATGATCCTATGATATTTTTTGGAGAACAGTACTGTATTCTACCATGTCCTAGCCAACATGTATCCTTCAACTGACATCATTGAAACAGATTAAGTTTTTATGTGAAAAATAAATTCTTTGTTGTTTGGAGGACGTTGGAGATTAATTGGTGATTACTCTCCACAGTTGTGACCACTAGTCAAAACTACTGCACTACTTTGTCTGTGAAATGCTTTGGGATGTCGTGAGTTAAGGAAAAACAGTGCAAAAATTTTTTTTCCCCTTTTGTTATTGGAAATCTTTAAAAAGAGTTGGAACATTTTAAGAAAGACTGTTACAAAATTGTTTACATTGTTGACACAGGAAAGTCGACACACTGTTTATCTGTTCCTTCCCCTCAATTTTTAATAGCATTTTTCCTGTTGTAACCCTTCTCCCTTATTTATTCTGGCGCTTTGCCTTTTTGTACACATAAAATGGCATTGTCGTCACCCCTTCAGTTCTTAATGGCACTCATATTTGTCCTCCACTCAAGTTAGCACTAATCCTCAGTTCATATTGGTATCATCTCCCAAAAGAACTTCGCAGAAAATTCCCCTACTTAAGGGATGTTTGATGTCCATTTGAGGGAAAGACAGAGGCTTGGTTTGATATCTCATCCAGCAGACCTTCAGTACTGCACTCATTGTCAGCCAGGATTTAGGGTTCAGGTCTCTGCAATAAGACTTGAACCAATTACCATCAGACTAAGGTGAAAGGGCTGCCATTGAATCATGGCTAACACTGCATGATTAAATTGTAGAGAAGTGGGCAAATGAGAATGATCCATGGAAATCCAATTTAAGCCAATTGGTTTGTTTGCTATTCTTAAAACTTATTGTGTCATTTGTGAAGTGCAGGGCCAATTCTGGAGAGTTGCAGGGCCAAACTGGCAACTGATATTGCCCATGGATTGAGCCTCTACGGAGACAAGATCAATGTAGTCTTGTTTCCTTGAAGGAGAAAATAAAATAGTGAGAATCCAATGAGGTTTACAGATGGAGGCATCTGGGATAAGACTCTGGTTCACTCCAAAGGTTGTCTGATCTGTTCATTTCACTGAACATCTACTGGATAATTATTAGAAGATTCAGAAAACCTTGGGATCAATTTAGAGAAGTGTCCAAGGAAGAACTGAACAGGAGTAGAGATGGATGACCAGAACTGAAGCAAGAATACTTTTTGAAAGTGGAACATACAAAATGGTTTGCTTCAACATGCTTCATTTAATAGCTTTCCTAGATGGCATGTTCATGATCTCTATGAAAACGTGTTTAACTTTATTTTTCTGTTTATACATCTGAAGGTGTTTAAAGGAAACTCTGATGCTGCAGAAGTAAAGTTTAACAGGTTCAACCCTCCTATTGTTGCAAGGTATCTAAAATTAAATCCGGTATCCTTCCGAGTCAGACCTACTCTTCGCATGGAATTATATGGCTGTGAAATAGACTGTAAGTAATTGCAAGTAACTTTTTTTCCATTTTTCTCAGTATTCACCATCCACTCCAGCTGCAAAATGCCTAATATCAGGAATATATTAATTGGTTTACAAACAACCTAAAACCAGGATATTTATTTTTTTTAAAACAGTGTTATGCTTGCTAATTTCATTGGCAAGTAGCTCAGTAGTGATTTTTGAGTGGAGTGCCTCCCATGATTATCTCATCATAAAAGCATACAATGGCATGGTTCCAGAAGGCCAATTTAGCCATTGTGCCTGGGCTTGCTCCTTGAAAGAACAATCTGATAATTCTCATTTCCTCTACATATGAACATAGGCGTGTGGTAGATATTAGTAGAGAACTCATTGGCCGGTTCTCAACTAACATGTGAGGAAAGAGAGCTGGTTTGATTGCTTGCAGCAAACATTAATTGGTCAGTGTATGTTTTAGGATTCCTACAAATTGATGCAGCACGAGATCAGACTTATTGGACACCTTGTGACGAGTGTGCTAGCCATCTCATCACCATGTAAGATACAGCATAGCCAAACTTTCCTGCATGATAATAGCATACTCAATCCAATCAGCACTCACTGTATATCACACAAACTCATGGAATAGCCTAAGGCTGCTGCTTTTGGCCCTAAAAGGTGCCCAGCCTTTGGAAAGGGGAGGCGTCTCAAATATTTGAGCAACAGGTGAAGATAGCCATCTCACACTGCTGATTTGTAGTAAACATACAAATGGTATTCTCCACTAACAGGATGCTGCTGTTTCTGAAAAGATATTTTGCCTATCATGCTATTTATTGTTGTGGTGCATGATTTTCAATTCTGTATGGTGCCAGACATATGGGCCATCCATCCAAAATGCCATAAGATGTAGGAGCAGTTGTAGGTCATTCAGCCTTTTGTGTCTGCTCCACCATTCAATTAGATCATGGCTGATCCAATAATCTTCAAATCCACATTCTTGCCTTTTCCTGAGAATCCTTGATGCCCTTGTTGATTAAAAATCTATCTATTCAGTCTTGACAGGAAGACTGTATCAAGCAACATCTCCCTTCAACTGATTGCAGTGAACAGCATGCATACTATGCTCACTCAGAATCTAGAAATCAGAATATAATGTCTAAAATCACTTGATTTTGTTATTGGAAAATGTTCATTAAATAATCCTGGATGTGCTAAAAATTATATTGAAGACCAATTTAAAATTTTGAGTCAAGTTTGCAGTGTGATTCATTGGCACATGCTAGAGTCCACATTTAATTACACATGAAGCCTTGTTCTTTTGTGGGCAAGAGGAATATGTCTTTGCAAAGTCCTTTTGTTCAGTGAAGAAGATTCAATGCAGACAGCCAAATCCTGCTACATTCCTATAGCAACACCCCAACCACTTGGCTTGGCTCGTTTGAATTTAATCTGTCGATGATGATAGTTAACAGTTTCTGCTGCATCTCCATGCAAATCAATCAGCACCCTCTTGTCATTATCATATAAATTGCTGCTTCCTTTCCAACAACAAAAACAGAAATTGCTGGAAAAGTTCAGGTCTGGCGGCATCGGTGAAGAGGAATCAGAGTTAACGTTTCGGGTCTGGTGACCCTTCCTCAGAACTGCTTCCTTTCCAAGTTAAATTTCTTGCATTTCAGTCCTGATGAATGCAAGACAAAAATCTTCATAAATATCCTAACATTGGCTGGTCATCACTCCGCTGATCTACAGCAATGTTCTCTCCACCTTATGCTGGCAGGAAGTATAGATGGACAAAGAGAGGATACTTGGTGTAAGGAGACATTGTGGTTGGGTCTCACATTGGTTATTTTAACTTATTAGCTATCAGTCCCTGTTTATGACATTTAAGTAAAACAGGAAGTTAGGTAAAGATGGAGGGGTAGCACTGTTAACCAAGAATGGCATTTGTGAAATAATTAGGGATGACCTTGGTTCAGGGGATCAGGATATAGAATCTATTTTGGTGGAAATGGGGAATAGTAGAAGAAAGAAATCACTAGTAGGAATGGTCTACAAGCCTCCTAACAGTAACCACAATGTAGGACAAAATATACAAGAAAAGATGCATTTCATGACATTGTTTCTCTTGCTATTTGAATGAATACTAGCAGAAATCTTGGACTTCAACTATCAGACTCACAAATCCCCAAGTTATGAAAAGTAACAAATAAAAAATATGATTTTAGCCATTATTACCCTCATCAAAAATCTTGATAACCTCACCAAAGAACTCAATCAAATTAGTGAAACATCATTTGGCTTTATCAAATCAGTATCACCATTATCTTTTAGCTGAGAACAATGCGTATTGACCCCTGGGACAGGAGAGTACAGGGCAATAGTGTCATCTCTTCACTAATTTTATTGTAAGAGGAACTTAGTATATAGTAGTGAAATGTACATTTTCACTAGAATTAGTGAAACAGCACAGTTTTGATTTACATTCTTTGTGTCACTTACTTACGCATACATACAACTAACTCTTTGCCATTTTACAGTCTGTTCACAACCTCTGGGAATGAAGAATGGAATTATTGAAGATTCCCAGATAACAGCTTCATCCTACTGGAGCTCATGGTGGGGTTCTTGGAAGCCGTCACTTGCACGTCTGGATTTGGAAGGCAGAATCAATGCATGGAGGTCAAATGTAAGCAGGATAAAAGAGCTTAAATTATCTCACAGCCTGTGTCTCATTTATGTTAAAATAACCTTATTAGTTGATGAAGAAGTCTTGCATTACAGCCCCTTATACAACCACCAGAAAATTGAAAGTGCTTTACAGCCGCTTTATAATATGGCAGCCAATTTGCATAAATCAAGCTCCCAGAGACAACAGTATAATAATAAATAAGATAATGAAAGATAAACATTGTACAAGATACCAGGGATAGCATGCTGTTCTTCTATGAAACAGTTCCATGGTATCATTTACTAGGACATCAATGTTGAATCAAGATTTGAAGATACAACCTCTGAATTCAAAGACAAAAGTGCTACCAACTGAGACACAACTGACACATACTTTGATAAAACAATGGGCTTAACTTTAGATTTATATTATATTCATTTACAAATATTAGCATCTAATATTAAAACTCATTGATGAGAATCAGTATATATTTTATGAAATATCAGTATTGTGGGTCGCCTGTCATGTTGCATACAGGGGCCCCAATTTACGAATGCCCAACTTATGAACCTCATACTCGTGAACACAATCTCATATAGAGGTGTATTAATATTTAATTTTAAACATTTGCCATACAACAATTTCCTCATGCTTACGAACCACTATTTTGCATTGTGTTCTGACTTGTGTACAAGTTGACGTGCAAACTGACTGAAGAAGAGAACCCATTCACCACCCAGGGACTGGCTGTAATAAGTTGAAGGTGCTTTGTATAATGGGTCTACTAAGCTCTGACCGTAACTCACCCACTAGCACCCAGTAGAAAAAAAGATTATAAATGTCTTCCCCCAATTCTACGGGTTTTTCCACCATAAGGTAAAAAAATAGTGTCTTTTGCATGTTCCTTAGTTCAAAGGGAGTCTATAGTAATGTCACTAGTCTAATAATGCAGAACCCCATAATGTTCTGGGGGTAGGAGTTTGAATCCATAATGGCAGTTGGTGAAATTTGAATTTAAAAATCTTGGAATTGAAAGCTAGCCTAATGGCAATCATGTAACCACTGTCAATTGTTGTAGGACTGTCAGGGAAGGAAATCTGTCATCCTTATCCTATCTGGCCTACATGTGACTCCAGATCCACAGCAATATGGTTGACTCTTAACCGTCCTCTGAAATGGCCCTAGTAAGCCACTCAGTTCAAGGGCAGTTATAGGTAGGCCTACACCAGATGCTGGTATAGCCAGTGGGGCCCACATGCTATGAGCAAATAAAATGTGTGCCACAGAGTCAAAGTTTGCAGCACAATATATTTGTGAAGATCACCACAGAATATGTCTTCTACACAACACATCCTTCCGAGCTATTCTTGCTACTGTGTCCATCTTTCCTGATGTACAAAATGACCAAAAAAAAATTCTATTCAAACACTTTCATCATTTAAATGTCCCAATTTCAAAGGGATGGATTGGGGAAGGAAAATTGGTACAGGTCAGGAAAAGTCTAACTCAAAAAATGTTAGTGCACATTATAAAATAAGTACTTGAATTCTAGAATTATGCAGTGTCACTAAACAATCTCTAAAAATAACTTTATTTTTGTTACAGAAACAAAATGCAGACCAATGGCTCCAGGTTAACTTCCTGAAGAAAAAGAAGATAAGTGGCATCATTACGCAAGGGGTCAGATCCCTCACCACCACAATGTTTGTGCAGACCTATTCTGTGCATTTTAGCAATGATGGAGAAATATGGCTACCATATACAGATTATCAGGATGGGGGTGAGAAGGTAGGAGCATACATTGTTGAAGGTGTCAGGAAAAAAACAAGAATTTAATGCCTTTGTCCCAAAGATGTTGCAGCACAATAGTATTAATGCACACAGAGTGCATTTTTTCGTACGGAAGGGTATATTATGTTACACATGTAAATACGCTTGGTGATAAAAAGCAATAGCCAGGTTCAACTGTAAAGCTAGTTATGATAAATAGGTTGCTCAGGCTCATAAATGAAAAATGGCTAATAGTTGTTAGTCTGTGAGATTATGTCAGATTGTGAAGTGGTACCTTCAGTTCTGTAGGAGTACAAACACATCGACTGCAGTGTTTCAAGAAGGCAATTTTCCGTGACCTTTCCGAGACCAATTAGGGATGGCCAATTAATACTGTCCTTTCTGGCAACAGTCACCTCCATGAATGAATTCAAAATCAAAGGAAGGCTTATTTTGCTAAGTTATTCCCAGGGGAAAGAGTGGAAAAAAGTTTATACCCATCCTGCATACAACTAAGCAATGGAATGATTTACCATAATTATCTCAAAATACTGATTTTCTCAGGATAGCTGTTCTATCAGGTTAAATAAAAAGGACCCTCTTAACTTGCTTTATATCTTCTTTAAATTCAAAACTGTGGGTATACTGATCCCTAATTCAAACTTGTCAAGGCCTTTTGTTGTTATTATAAAGAATATTGTCTTCAGTAAATGATGCAAAACAGATCCATGATGCCAATTACTATTTGTTGGTGGAATCATTAATCCTAATGTCTCATCAAACAAGGAACTAAACATTTTTTATTCAACATACGGACAAACATTTGGTGCCACAAATAACTCAGTTTATTTCTTAACCTCATTACACTTCAATATGATTTTCCCTGTAATAAACCATAACGTATTTAGCTTGATGGTAATCATCACAATTTAATTCAATAAAGCATATTAAAAGGAAAAGTATTATATTGAAGTTATATTGATTTACAATGAATAAGCTATATTAGCAATGACTTCCAATATTTTACCAAAGAAATATGTAACAAATTTCTAGTTAGTAGTTGGAATTCTGATTTGGATCATTGTACTTCATCCAAGCTTTGACATCCGAAGCTTGTGGTGACTCTGAGATGTCTGAGGGCTGGAAAGGGATCAGTATAATTTTCAAATTTGCTTTGCACCCAGTGGATGGTAGCATCATACATTGCAAATGATGACAATCGCTGGAGAGGTGGTGTTGGCTGAGCTCCTGGAAATTGACAATTAGGACCATCTTAAAACATAGAAGATACTGAAAAATTTGACAGGTTTTGTTGTATCAAGGAAAAGAAAAATAACGTGGGTGAATATTGTTCCTAAATCTCAATGGTTTCTGTGGGAGTTGGGGTAGGGTGTGCTGGTTAGGAGGGGAATGTGAGGTGACGGCGTCACATGTGCAGGAGATTTAACCCGGTCTATTTAGGGGCTAAGACTGTTTCATCACATCTTAATTTTTAATTGATATTATCTTTAATTTGCAGATATTCACAGCAAACACAGATTACTACCAGCATAAAAAAGGCTACATCAATCCACCTATTTTTGCCAAATATATCCGGATTATTCCAAAAACCTGGTACAATGAGATTGCACTTCGAGTTGAATTCTTTGGATGTGCTTTGGAATGAAGATATTTTTAGGGCATTTGTAGGAGAAAGTAGAACGTTTTGTAAAAAGACTTTTTGTATTAAAATTATGCCTCTTTATGAAACACCCAACATTCACTAATAATGAGAAAATGCTAATGTAAAAAAAAGGTAAATTTTAATTAACAAATTCTTTTTTAGTTAAAAATAATTTATAAATTGTCAAAATATAACCCAAAATATCAGATTGGTTAGTTAGCTCTGCATCATAGACTGTTGGTCTTGCCAGAGGTTTTTTTTTTAAAAAAGTTATATAACATGTGCAGTACCTTTTAGAATGTATTTGTTATTTTCTTAAAACACGTATTATTTATTTTGTTGTTTGGAATTTACTCTTATTAGTCATGAGTAAGAAGGAAAAGGAGAAGTTAGGGCAAGAAAAATTAGACAGGTTTGAAGAATCATATGATGAGCCATTAAAACACCACTATTCCTCTCTCTCATTAGCAAACAGCCCTATGGTCTTCTGGAACTATGGCAAATTTACCTTTATCTTATCTCAGCAAGCGTTATGGAGTATTTCATATTTTTTTTCTATCATGGTATGTGAGCATCACTGACCAGGCCAAAATTTGCTCATTCCTAATTGTTACGACAGGGGAATGGCCAAACCCCTCTGATAGTTAAAGCAAAACAGAAGCCTCAATCTGCTATGACAGGATTAGAGGTTCCCTTCTAATAATTATCCCCGAATCACCCAGAGAAGCTCACCTTTCCCCTCGTAATCTTTTAAAACTGTGGTAAAAAGAAAGAAAATTCCTGATTTCCACTTTACAGGTAACAAGAAACTATTTATTTAACCCAACAATGAACAAATTAACAAAATTACTAACAAACCAACAATTCCCCCTGAGACTATGAACCACCCCCTAAATGGTCTAAATTCTACTGGAATGCTGTTTAAATAAAGACAACTTCTACCAATATAAACCCAATTAATAAGAAGCAATAAATTATAACTTAATCTCTCCATGTTCGCACAGACTGTCTTTGGGAATATTCTGTCATCTCCACTCTCTTCACAAAACTTCTCTTCTGCTAATTCTGCTGTAAGGGATGTTTTATCTCTATAATTTCCTCCAATGAGGACTTTGAGCTAAAATACCATGGTACCTTTGATTAATTAGATGGGCTTTCTCTGAGAGCTGAATAGTGCTAACTCTAGCAGGTGGCAGTTGTCTCTCTGCTGATTTTGCAAATGCCCTCATCTTGTATATGCATAATGACATAATCTTATTCTTACAATATGATTAGTTTCAGGTTGTCAACACCATCCGATTTAAATTCAGTTGGCTTTGGTGCTTTGTTTAAATTCATTGGCCAAATTCAAAATTGTTGTCTTGGAAAAAGTGTTGCTTGGCTGTTCTATACAAAATGTTTCCATTCGGGCACTCTCTGTGCACCTGCATTTGTAAACTTCCAAACACACAAAGCACAAGCTGTTATAGAGACCACAGCACTCTTTTCCCCATGATCATTTTTTCCAATGAATTCTAACTTCCTGCCTTCCAATTCATGAATACTTTACCCAACTTCGTAACACAATGGCCTCTGACTTGAATGGCTAGACCACTTCAGGGGACAGTTAAGAATTAAACATATTGCTGTGGATCTGGAGTCACTTGTAGGCAAGACCAGATAAGGTGATATATTCCTCCCTAAAAGGGAATAGTGAGTCAGGTGGGTTTATTGTAAGAGTCACAAAGAACAATTCAATTGCAGATTTCAATTCCATTTTTTATTGAATGAATTTAAAATCTACCAGCTATCCTATGGAGATTTGACCATGTGTCCTCAAAGTATTAACCTGAGCATCTGGATTAGCAGTCCGGTAACATTACCGTTGTGCCATTTCCCCTTAAAGCTAAGGAGTTGATTACTTTTGCAATGTTCCGAAAAGACAAATGTCATTAATTGAATTGAGCATCAATGTTATGAAATAAAGAAGCTTAATTCATATTTATCCTCATTTCAAAGAACATGGGGTCCCCAATTTATGAACATCCAATTTACAAATGCTCATACTACAGGGGTGTAATTGTAAAGATCCAACAAATGAACATTTCCTGTACTTACGAACTGCCACTTTCTATTGTCCTACATTGTGTTCTGACTTGTGTACAAATCGACTTAACAAACAGTCTCAAGAAAGGAACCCGTTCATAATGCGGGAACTGCCTGTACCTACCTTCAATAAGATTCTATCTACGTACAGAAAGGGATAATATTGTTACACTCTGGGCTATACCATTGTACATTTAGCACGGGCACAACCTTAACGTAATTTGAGTGACAACCACTACTATATCTGGTAGATTCTAAGATAACCCTGAAATTGTAAATGTAACATTGATGCCTTCAAAAGTAAAAAGGCCCATTACAAGCAATGAGTTGATCAAATCGAACCTGTGGCCATGTGTATTCCTCTGTTAATAACTTCTCCAAACTTTTACAATGTCAATCTACTCCAAAACTATTCCACTAATTTTTCAAAGAATGCAATAAAATCTCTTCTTCTCCTAAATTGATTTCTGTGTTATCCTGGAAATCTAATTTTGCAAAATCCAGAGAGGTTTCTTCAAACACTAAGTTTAGAGGAAATCACTAATCAAGTTAATGATGCATTAATCATGTTCCTGAAACTATGCTCTGTGTCCTTAATTTAACTGGCAATCTGAAACGATCATCCTTGCACCACATGTAAACACTAGTGTTATTTGTACAACAGAAGTTACATTTTAGGCATCCAGGTTCTTTCCTTAAAACGGTGATCAGGAACAAGATGAGAAAGAAACTGCAAATAAAAATATCAATGAAGCGTGCCATAATAGAGTGACTGATACAAAAATAGAATTCCTCGTTGTTTGTCTAAAGCCAAGCAAACACTTGTGAAACTGAAAAACAAAACAGGTGCTTCACAATAACATCGATAAAGACAAGGGCAAGCAGATACATAGGAACACCATCACCTGTACGTTTCCCACCTAAGCAACTCAGTCTTGGAAATATATTGACATTGTAAAGACCTCATCTTTTTATTTTTCTTTATTTTTGGATTGTAGACTAAAATGAAAAAAGGATACTGCATTAAACCAAGGAAACTATGGAAGGAAATATTGCAGTTTTAAAACAAGTCACTGGAACTCATTTTGAATTGTTTTTCCACTGGTGCCTCATTCAACTAGTGGGGAAGGATTGCTGAACTCATTGGCACTGTGGGTGTGTGTTTAGGGCAGCTTTGCACAGAGATACTCTGTTGATTTATTTTCAACCAGGACTAGGACTGTCAGCATGGCAACAACTTTCTGATAGGCTATCCATCTACTCAGGAACCAATGTGCAAACAACACCGTGATAGAAAACCTCCAGATTAAAAAAAATCCTCTCTCTCTCTAACCCTAACCCTATCGCAGAAGAATACAAAGAATTGGAAGATAGATCACTATTCTCATTCATCCTTTACCTGTAAATCATTTCCATTGGCTGGGGATTCCAGAATTAGGGACATAGTCTGAGAGTTAGGGCCAGACCATTCAAGGAGAGATTTCAGGAAGCGCTTTTACGCACAGAGGTATTAGAGGTTTGGAAATCTCTTTCACAAATGGCAGTGGATGATGGATCAGTTGTTAATTTTAACTCTGAGATAAATATGTTTTTGTTAAGCAAAGGTATTAAGGGATATGGGTTAAAGACAGGTATATGGAGCTGGGCCACAGATCACCCATGGTTTCATTGAGTGGCAGGACAAGCTCAAGTGGCTGAATGGCCTACTCCTTTTTCTGTGCTCCTATGTTAACTTCTGTGGTTCTGACTGCAGGTCACCATTGATCTTGAAATGTTAATCCGCCCTTCATCTCTGCAGCCCCTGCCCAAATCTGAGAGTTACCACTCTTGAGGAGAGGGAAGAGAAATAGATAGCAAAAATATTTCTGCACCACAATGAGGAAGAAGAGAGCAAACTCCATAGAGGGTTGTCACCCATTAGGCAATGCTTTTCTTGAAGACAACAGTAAAAGGAGCCTTGCACACTCCTTTGCCTGTAAGCTGTTGCCTCTCACCAATGGCTAAGTGACTAAACAATTAGTGTGCCAACTGCACTGCATCTGCAGCGAAGAACAGAAAGAAGATTGCCACGAACAGGAGCAAGTTACCACACACATGAATCCTGATGCTATTGAACTGTGTTCCTAATATTTTTCTCGACATTTTTTTGTTTACTATATATGTATGCATATCTATGTAGCAGAAAGAACGGTGAGTAAAAATTATAAATTTATCATTCAAATTTCATTTGCCAGTGGTTAGAATTAATTTATTTGTAAGTGGTAATTTCTTGTTAGGTACAGGAATCTGACCGCAAAAACAAAGTTGCTGGAAAAGCTGAGCAGGTCTGGCAACATCTGTGAAGGAAAAAGCAGAGTTAACGTTTCGGGTCCGGTGACCTTCCTCAGTTCTGAACTGGGAAGGGTCACCGGACTCGAAACGTTAACTCTGTTTTTTCCTTCACAGGTGCTGCCAGACCTGCTGAACTTTTCCAGCAACTTTGTTTTTTGTTCCTGATTTACAGCATCCGCAGCTTTTTCGGTTTTTACAGAAATCTAGTCAATGTTTTCTGGCAACTTAAGTTCATCAAGTGGGGACTTTGAATAATTTGAACAAATCTTCTACTTTCGTGATGATCGTGAGAGCAGGGGGATTCGAGTATCAGTGTACTTTCCAAAATAGATCGTTACGTTACTGTTGTTATGTCAAAATCCTGCAGCTCCCTCCCTAAAAGCATTGTGGATGTAACCCGACACCAAATGCGCCACAACTCTGAAGATAACAAGATGTTGAGCTGGATGAACACAGCAGGCCAAGCAGCGTCAGAGGAGCCGGAAAGCTGACGTTTCGGGCCTAGACCCTTCTTCAGAAAAAGGCTTTGCTTGACTAAGAACGCCATAGTGGAATTATATCACATCCTTCACAGTAACCTGGAATTCAAAACAGGGTATGGATAACACTCCCAGCAGCTTAAAGATCACTATCTCCCCTTCTTCCTTCTCAACAGGACCTTCTCCGGGGTAATTAAGATAGGCACCGTTATGATCCCAACTGAATACTGCTGGTGATCACAGCGGGTCATAGAAGTCTTTAGGTCTTATGAAGAGTCATCTAGACACTCGAAACGTTAGCTTGCTATCTCTCCACGGATGCTGCCTACCCGCTGTGATCTCCAGCAATTGTTTTGTACTCAGATTCCAGCATCTGCAATAATTTGCTCCTACATTGTCATGGTCCTAGCTAATGCTATAACTGAAAAGTTAGATCCCAGACTGATAGATCGTATTTCGTTTTATTTTGATTTAACAGGATGGTCTCTCGCTGAAACATGCAGACAATTTTGCAGTTTTTGTTTTAAGCAGCGTAGAGGTTTATTGAGGCAAAGAAATGAAGATAAAACAGAATGAACCAAAAATATTTATACAAGATTTAAAGATTGTGAAACACAAAGTGAAATTTAAATCCTATTAATCCCCAAACACTCTTCGGTCCACGGTGTCAGCGTTGCCTCTGGTCGATCCACACTGACCTCCTGGCGCATAGTGGGAAGGACAAGCGTTCATTAGAAAGTTGCGCTGCCAGTCGCTGTTTGATGACGTCGGGCCGTTTCCCCTGGCTTGTTGCGTTGCTGTTGGAACGTTCGTTGGTTGTGGGCGGTTGGGCTGGGACGAGGTTTAAGAGCGCGAGAACGTAGGGAGCGTGAGCTGCAACTGCCGCCAGTGCGTGGCTATGGAGAGCACCGGCGGCAACTGGCTTTACCCCACCGCACTGCTCTGTATCTGTGGCTTTTTCTCCAATGTACGGCCGTCTGAACCTTTCCTCACTCCTTACCTAATGGGACCTGACAAAAACCTGACCGAGCAGCAGGTGAGTGAGAAATGCAGCACTGGAGGAGAGGGCACTGACCGCCGTTCTCTCTTACCCTTGCAAACCTGACACTGAACGCGACTTTAAAGAAGTGTGATAACAAGGTGTAGAGCATCTGCAGTTCCTACTATCTTTATAGAAGTGAATTCCTGTTTATAAAGGTGCATCATCCAAGATGGCACATTGTGTCAGCTGCAGCAGGTGAACTTTTAAGAGGACGAATGTATCGGGTTAATTTCTGTTCGGCGATTTTTTTGTTTAGTGTTTGTGCTTCCAACAACCTTGGTATTTCAGTGCTGTGTTGAGTCTCTGACGGAGTTGCCCATTCTGCAGAAAGTGCTGTGAAGTGTATAGTTTCTTTTCAGACTGTCGGTGGATTGGCGCCATCAAGGTCAGCACCGTTATACAGCAAATTAGATTTCGCTTGCAGACGAACTTTTAGATTTAACATCTCCACGTATTCCGCACAAACCTGATTTGTTTTGTCACCACGCGTTGTGACTGTGAGCCTGAGACTAAACAAAGTAATTGAAGACTCATTTAAAAGTAAAGAAAAGGTAAAATAACCTTGGATGCTGAAAATCTGAGATGCGTCCGCACAAAATGCTAGAAATGCTTAGCAGCTCTCTCTCTTTGCGCTCATACCCCCGACCATGCTGCTGTGTCTGATTTCCGGAGTGTGTGCAATGTTTTCAAATTTGAATCTCATTTCAGTTTAAGTAATAAAAATAGGTGCTATCTTTATGCCTCAAGGTGGATGTTTGCATCACATTAGCCTGGATCTTTTGGTCGCAGGTAGCTGCTTGCTGTTACTGACCTCCATCCACACCTTAAAACTTCGTGGTACGTTAAAACGTAACTTGCTGTCCTCTGCACGTAATTGAACTATGGTGTCTGAAACTCAACTGGTCAAACATCAGGATAAAGGAGCCTTACTTAAGACACAAAGTTGTAATTAGGAGCTCAAGGAAAAGAAATTTAGATTTTAAGTGATGTACAGAAAAGCTAAATAAAGGTTAGTAAAACAACTGGGTGTAAGGGAGAGAAATAAGAGAAAGACAGAATAACTTTATTTTTAAGTAAGTCTCCCAACACAATGCAAGGAGATTCTGGCAACTCCACTTATTGTGCTGTTTAAAACTCACCGCGGCAGGATGCAATGCATTCCAGGATAAAATGCAGAGGCATTCCAATACTTTCCATTCTTACATAGATGCAGGTGACATCAGAAGGCTAGAGAATTGGAAAAGTCACACTCTAGTTCAAAAAAGGGTATAAAAATTCCTCTAACAACAACAGACCTATAAGTTCAACTTTGGTGAGGAAATGTTTTACAATAATTCAGACAAATTGATAGTCACTTGATTGAACTGAATTCAGATAAAATTGATAGACAAATGATAGATGGATGAAGTTCATTGGACACATGAAGTGAGATGTTTTGGTAGGAAGAACGTGGAGACACAATACAAAATGAAGGGTACTATTTTAAAGAGTGGGCAGGAGCAGAGAAAACTAGAAGTATATGTGCATAGGTCATCAATGGTGACAGGACAGAGTGATTTGATAAAACATTCGGTATCCTGATCTTTATTAACAGGGGCATAGTGAAAAAGAACAAGGCTGAATTATGTTAAATTTGGCTTAGAGTTTTAGTTCGGCCTCAGCTGGAGTATAGCAAGCAGCTCTGGGTGCCGTACTTAAAGATGTGAACGTGTTGGAGAGAGTACAGTGAGCAACTTCAGTTATGAAGATACTTCGGAGAAGAGAAGGCTGAAAGGGGATCTGTGAGTATTTAAAATCATGAGTCTGGATAAGTTAGATGGGGAGAAATTTCACACTGATGTAAAGATCGAGAATGAGAAATTGGCAAAGGAAACAGAAACATGTGAAAGTAATTTTCATGCAGAGTAGTTAAGGTGTGGAATGTACTGCTTGTGTGGAGGCAGAGTTAATTGAAGCATTCAAATAGGAATCAGCCTACTGTCTGAAAACAGAGAATGTGCGAGGGAATGGCCTGAGTGACTTGCTTATTTAAAAAGCTAGTGCAGGCACAATGGGCTGTATTGCCACCACCTAACAGTTGTGATTTTGAAATCCACTAACACCCATACCAGTTTTAGTATAGAGCTCATGGGCAAGTATGCAGCATTCCTGCCAGTGTGTTTATTTCAATCTCAAATCTATTGGTGCGTACTGTGGAGGAGCACAATACTTCATAGTAACTTCTCAATTTCCACTGTTTGCCGCCTCATTAAGCTTTTGTGTAATCTTGCCCACTGGTTTTTTTTAAAGAGTATTTCCCTCATGCTATAAATTCTGCAGTTGTAGTCCAAGAAACTGGCAAGCATGCGTGCATTTTAAAACTGAAAATGGTAAGTGGTTCTGACAAATTGACATGTTTTCCTTAACCAGTGAATACAGATTTTAATTTTAATTTACGTTGGACAGTATATTATCCTGAGGCAATCTAATTGCAAGTTTTAAAGAAAGTTCCATAGATTATTACTTTGCAGTGACTTGTTCCAGTTTCCTGCCATGACTTTGCACAATTGTCTCTAATCATACAATCTCAGAATTGTTGTGTGCAGAATGAGGCCAAAATTTATTGCTCAACCTTAATTGCCCAGAGGGCAGTTAAGAGTCAGCCACATTGCTGTGGGTCTGTCCTTCTCACAGATTAGTTTTTTTTCAAGTTTAGTGTTACTTTTAAATTATCCCCTGCACAGTTAGATCCAGATCATAGATATATAGGAAAAGCAAGGGTCTAATATGGACTGCTGGGGAACTCCATCATGAATGTCATTTAGCCAAAAATATCCATTTGACTCTGTATCCTGTCAATCAGCAAATTTTGTGTCCGTGTTGCTACTATCCCTTTCGTACCATGACCTATAACTTTCCTTAGAAGTCTGTTGCATGGTACTATGTCTTCTGGAAATCGATGTACCCCATATCATTAGTATTACCTCATTAATTCTTTCTGTTTCCTCAAGGTTAGGTAAACTCAAGGTTAGGTAAACTCAAGGTTTCACACTTCATTCAGATACAAAATCTGTATTAATTCAAACTGATAGGTAAACATCCCAGTGGGGTCAAAATGAATAGCCCGTTTTATTTTCCAATAAAACATGTCCTAAATTTTAAATTTTCTACAACATCGCAACAGAAGGAAATGCTTTCCACCTCAAGTTTTGTAATTATTTTCTGTGGCCTATAAATGTAAGAAAATGAGGAGCCGTTTGCCTGTAGAATAGACTAACAATGATTATATTGTGAAGTTGCACTGAGAGTACAAAAGTTGCATCAGCTTGATTGGATTGATTGTGGCATGAGTTATTACAGAAACTGGTCTGTCTTCTCTTTATATATAATGGTTGTTTGATTCCCATCTCTGATGGATGTAGAGTATTTCTTTGTGTTGCAGAAGGTTTACAATTTGGGACTTATAGAGTCATAGTCATACAACATGGAAATAGACCCTTCGGTCCAACCAGTGCGTGCCAAACAAAACTAGTCTTGCCTGTCTGCTCCTGGTCCATATCCCTATAAACCTTTCCTATTCATGTATTTTCCAAACGTCTTTTAAACATTGTAATTTTACCCGCATCCACCACTTGCTCAGAACGTTCATTCCACATGTGAAGCACCCACTGTAAAACACTTGCCTCTTATCTTTTTTAAATTTTTCTCCTCTCACCTTAAAAAATATGCACCCTGGTCTTTAAATCCCCCATCCTAGGCAAAAAGACAACTACAGTTGACTCTACCTCTCGTTATTTTACAAACTTCTATAAGGTTGCCTCTCAACTTCCTACACTCCGGTGAAAAAGCTCCCAGCGTATACAGCCTTTCTTTTTAACTCTAGCCTTCCATACCTGGCAACATCCTTGTGTATTCTTTTGCAAATAACATAAATTTGTTCTTTTTGACCATATTGGACAGAATTTGGTGCCAGTCACTAATGATATACTGTTCAGCCCATCTGTGAGATCCCACTATAGTACATCATGGTTGTGTCACTTGGAGCTATGTGTTCTTGATCTCTGCACCATTGTAATGGAATTGTGCATTTTGTAAAAAAAAAAAAAAAAAAAATAGTTGGGAGTTCTGCACAGTTTTAACAAGCTGAAAGAAGCTAATCTGAGATTAGTTATTGATGAAATCTCAAGGGCTGATTCCTCACCATTTATAGGAAGTGAAATGAGTTATTTTTGTCCCTCGTTGCCACACTAGGATGTATATGAAGACCACAGTTTGAGCCATCCTGTTAGCTAATATCAGCTTGGACAGCATTCCATTTCCAACAATGGCATATGCCTCCCTTGTGTGAGGGCAACAAACAGGTCAGGACGAATCAACCAAAGTTTCTGTTCCTGAGCACCACCACCACTAACCCTCAACTGGAAATGTGTGTGTGTGCATGTGTGGGTCTTAGATGCAGTGAGATTCCAGTTGTGTTGTCCTTCATATAGATGTCATATTGACTGTCTGGTCTCTCACTGTTTATGTTCTTGCCAGGCAATGCCATTTGAATGAGATAATTGCTTGCTAGTTCTTGTGGGACAACTGCAGCATGATTTATCATTTTCAGAGTATAACGGGAGAAAATTTAGGATGAATTGTATTAGAAGGGTAGTTATGATTTTCATAATGTTGAGCTTTTTCTCGATAAATTAGATTCAGCAGGAATTAGAAATTCTGTTTTACAGTTTTAATTTTCATTTCAGTTTATCGTGTAGTGTCTACTGTAGCTACAGTATTTATAAACATAGTTTCATTCAAGTTTTAACAACAATGTTTTGCATTTTGAGACAGTGATTTGAAAATTAGAAATTAATCACTGGTATTAAACCTGCTGGGTTTCTGTTTTTCTAAATAGGTGAATGAGATTTTTCCAGTGTGGACTTACTCCTACCTATTGCTTTTGTTTCCCATCTTTCTGGCTACTGATTACCTCCGATACAAACCCATCATCATTCTACAAGGCACAGCTTTGGTCATGACCTGGTTGATGTTGTTGTATGCCCAAGGACTACTGGCAATGAAGTTTCTGGAATTCTTCTATGGAATGGTAACTGCATCAGAGGTGGCTTATTACTCCTATATCTACTCTGTAGTGGACTCTAACGTGTACCAGAAAGTAACTGGATACTGTCGTTGTGCCACTTTGGTTGGGTACACAGTGGGATCAGTTATTGGACAAATCCTGGTCTCATTTGCTGAGGTGTCCCTCTTCCACCTCAATGTTATTTCATTAGTCTGTGTGGCAATTGGTTTTATTATATCAATGTTTCTTCCAATGCCACAGAAGAGCATGTTCTTTCACAAAGTGAAAGGAGACCATAGTGGAATCGAGTTCAAAGATGATGGTGTAAAGTCAGAAGAAGAAGAAGAATCAGCATCAATGATGCCACTAAACTGTGCCCTTGATAATGCTGACAATATGCTAAATGAACATCTGGCAGAACCAATGGATAGCACCTCAGATGCCAATGAAACTACGGTAATGTATTTAAAATGTTTTATTTATATTAATGTGGTTTTGCTTCCTTTTCTGCAGAAGTGTAGTGTTTTGGGTGAGCATCTAGTGTGAACTTAGGTTTTCACTTGCCTCTACATTTCTTTTCTTGAGTACAGCAAAAATGGCTGCTTTAAAAGGCAAATCTATGTTCCTGCTTTATGATACCTACCCTTTTACACAACGTAATGTAAAAGGTAACATGCCCTGAATAAGTAGTAAGTTCTTTACGCTGCTAATATCCTTACTCTAAATGTTACAGGACATTTTTGTACTCTAGCTTTGTGATAGTTGCACAGCACTTTGACAGAAACTACAAAGAAGAGAAAGCAGATTTCACTAAATCACAAAGGTTTACTTAAACCACTAGGGCTGGCTATTAGAATCCTTGCAAGGGGGCAGGGGAGAAGTGTGATCGATAACATTTTCCTGTCTGCCCCTCCTGTGAGACCAATCTGCTAACTTGTTTTCTCTTGTGCTTGTTTTTTTTTTGCTTGCCCTGCCTTTTTCTCTCTCTTTTTCTCTACTCATACTTTGTTTGTTGGCAGTCAGGTGTTAGGGGAGAAAGATCAGACCTGTGCTACAGCATGAATGGCATTGGCGCATTGGCTATTAATGTTGCTTCTCTTTTAAAGTGATAGGTAAACCTAACCTCTTGCAGCTTTCTTGCAGATTAGCTGAAATGTCACAGCAATGTTGAATCAATAATTGTAGTGTTTTTGTAATAAGAATATTGCTGTACTGTACCCACTTTGTAAATATAAAAAGCAGTTCCTTGGGGAAAAATATTGCATAATGCTTCTTTATGAAACCTATTTAAACATTTAGATATATCTTTAAGTTCTGTTTTATTTTTCAGAATAAAAAGCCCTTCAAACGAATATGCATTGTTCTTGCAATGTTATGGAAGACTTTTCTGCAGTGCTATTCTTCTTGGCCACTGCTCTGCTGGTCAGCATGGTGGGCATTATCGACTTGTGGCTATTTTCAGATATTGAATTACATTCAAATCTTGTGGGAGCGAATACGTCCTTCCCAGAATACCCAGATTTACAATGGAATGGTGGAAGCAGCATCTGCGCTTTTGGGTATGCTCACGTTAGTAATTTCCCAATGAAGGCAGTTGAGTTTGCATATAAATTGCTACAAGGTCTGAATATTTTTGTTTGACAAAGCAGTTTACGTTTTTCTGAGAAAAACTAACACAGAAAAATCTGGGCACTTACCGACAAAACAAAACCTCGTTCAAACTCTAGCTCAAAACTCCAGATGTGTGATATATCTAATGCAAAGTTCAAATGTGTTACAACAAAACAAAAAAGATAATATAGGTTGAGAAGAAAGAGAAACAGTAAAGAATTTTAATTACACAGGGCTGATCAGAGATGAAAACAGACGTTAATGGATGATGGTACTACATGAGTTCTCTGTCTCAGTTTTCACTGATGAAAGTTTGAGGATAAAAAATCTTGAGGTAAAGATAGTATAGGAGTATCATTGAAAGTTTGTATAGGTATAAAAATGATAGAATTCAAGTGTGAAAATTATTAAATTCTGCTTGTATGCTGCTTAATATGTTCAAAGTGATATGAAAGATCAAAGATCTTTACAAACGTACAGAGACACATGATCTGCTGGTCCATCAAGTGTGCACCTTGTATACCCTTTCCATCTACCTTCTCAACACTAGCTATCTCACCTATCCATATAACCCCTATGCTATCGATGCTACCTAACTCTGTTCTTGTAACTTTTGCCTCGAGTGCCAGATCCAGGTGGTTCACTTATCTTTGGAAGTTATACCAGAAGACTATGTATTAATAATGTGCTCAAAGAAACCGAATGGAACATACCAATAATTTTGACAGTACTGGGTACCAGACCAGTCAATCTAATGTTAGTCATGGATAAGATTCTAAAAATTTTAATATGGGTTAAAACTTAAATCTGTAGCTAGAATGAGGGTTAATTGAGAGCAGCCTGAATCATGTCTGACATATGGGAATGATGGAGAGGATATCTTTAGATTTTTAAAAGGAATTTGATTTAGTATGCTGTATGGAATCCTTGTGGATACTGCCCATTGATTGTTTTTGAAAGAGAATGTGAAGGACAAAAAATGGTTAATGGATGTTTCACAGAATTAATTTAAACATAGTAGTCAGTGTTTGCACAATTGATCTTAATGTAAATAATGTGGATTTTACATATTCTGGTTTATATATACATTATTTTAAAAATGGCTGTCAGAACTCGATAAGAACCACTTGTAATTTCAGGAGGATGTAGACTAATTAATAGATTGCACATAAGGAAGTCAAATTAAATTTCAAGTTTGGAAAAGCAAAGTCATGTGTTTTAAAATGAAACAAAGAATGATAAGGAACCTACACCATGGTAAGATATGAAGCAGAGTACTTGGGAACTAAAGAGAAGATGGGAGTTTGAGTTACAATTGTTTTTTCCCATTGGAAGAATAAGTTAGTTGGCTGTTGGGGCTACACATGTTTTATGGACTGTGTGTAAAACTGGAAGATACTGAAACTGTTTTGACTTTTAAAACAGGGTTTTCATTTAAGTGAACTTTTGGTTTTTCAAAATTAAGCTAACAGTCTAATGTGAGCAGTGATCCAGCTGCTAGTTACAGGAAGTCAAATGACTTTAGGAAGACAGCCAAGCAGTTTTAAGTGATAAGATGAGGGGTTAATTGTCCTTAATTATTGGAAAACCTAGCTTTGGAAGAGACTAGCATACTTAATGGACTGAAGGGCATCTTCTGTGCTATACAACTCATCAGGACCTCTGTGCTAATAGTTGCCAAAAGTCCAAAAAGGATAAGTTAGGAAAAAGTTTTTAGGTAGGGACTTGGTAAGGTTCTTGATGTCCCATGAGAGACAGTGGCGGAAGCAGAATCTGTAATAACGTTTTAAAGATTTAATTAATGAATGAATGAATAGATACATGAAAAGGGGAGAAAGATAAACTGGGTTGAATGGATCAGCTCCTTCAGATCATAAGCCAGAGGAGCCAAATATCAACAGTCTAAGTCTGGCAATGTGAACCTATATTTAAGGCTACAGTGTGATCTAGTGATTGTCCCTATCAGTAAAGCTGAAATGCTGGAAAATTTTAATGCATTGCAATGTTTTTGTATGTTTCTGTCATCTGTTTAATTCTCTTGTGACCACTGTACTTTTTAATATATTCATTTTAATAGTCATAAATTTTGATTTATACATTGTCATTGCCAGATACAGTTACAGCAAGTATTGAATGCCTTATTGCTTTAAAAAGAGACTGACTGAAGAGGACGATAAGTTTATAATTCAACTTTATTTTAATGTTCTCTCTTTTGGTCTATGTTTAGGTGCTGTGGCAGCATTTGTTGTAGGTTATGTAAAGATATCGTCCATCTGGAGTGAAGTTTCACTCCTGGTCTTTTCTCATGTTGTCGCTGTTTCAGTGTTTCTGATGGACATTGTCCAAAACATCTGGGTGTGCTACGTCTGTTACATTGTTTTCAGAATTATTTACATGATGCTTATTACTGTAGCAACGTGAGTAGAGTTTTTTTCCTTTCAAAAGTATTATTGAAAATTTTAATTTTGTAGCAATTTTAAGGAAACTGAGTATTAATTGCCTGCCTTTCTTTTCAAAAGATACAAGATTGCTGCAAATCTAAGTGTGGAGCTGTATGCTTTGGTGTTTGGTGTAAATACATTTGTCGCCTTAGTTCTTCAGACTCTGTTGACCTTGATTGTGGTGGAATCTAGTCTCCTGAATTTGGACATATTTGGACAGGTAAGGGATCAGTTTGATACTTCAATAGCCACTTCATTATATTTTAGCTAAAGGGGAAGATGACTGGGCATCAGGAGCTGAACATCATCGTTACGTTAAATAGCCTATTTGATTTGTGCAGAAAAAAGACAATATAAATCTAAACCAGCTCCTGTAAGAAAAACAGACTAACTCCTCTAATCTTCACATCTGAAATATTTCATCTAATATGCCATTTCACTGAATCTTTTCCACATTTTCTCCAAGCCCTTTACATTCTTCCTAAAATGCGGTGCCCAGAATTGGGCACACTACATCAGTAGAGGCATTGAGTGTTGTAGAAACATTAACTTCATTGAGTACTTGGCCTGTACTTCTAAAGCCAAGGAATCTGTTTGGGTTTTCTTCTAAATGGCCTCCTTGACTTGGTCTGGCAATCTTAAAGACCTACCGTCTGCATTGTCAGACTTTTTGTTTTTGTGTTCCCTTTATCTGCCATCTGTCTGCTCGTTTCATCAATCTACTTACCACTACACCATTAGACTTCAGGAAGATATAATGTCACTGGACTAATAATCGACTGCTCTAGACAAATGTTCTGGGTTTGAATCCCATCATAGCAGATGGTGAAATTTGAATTCAGCGAAAGAAGTCTGGAATTAAAAACTAGTCTAATGGGAAACATGACCTAGCAAGCCATTCAGTTATATCCAACTGAGATAAAGTCTTTAAAAAGAAATGAAACTGGATGGACCACCCAGCATTGACCTAGGTGCCAGAAAGAATAATGGCAAACTTGGCCTCTAATCTGACAGAGTCTTCCTGTGAACATTTGGAGGTCTGTGCCAAAATTAGGAGAACAGTCCTCCAGACTAGTCAAACAACAGTCTGATATTGTCTTCACGATATGATTCTTAGACTATGGCTTTATCACAGACATAATTACCAACATCTTTGAGAATGCTCTGACCCATTGTAGGGAAAGATCCACCAGAAAAGAGTTGCTGTGGGAGTCCTCAGTGTTCAATCTTCAAGGTCTGGAATCCTCACGTGGGCAAGGAAGCATCCTGCTGATTACTGCCTACTGGCCATCCCCTCAGCTAATGAATTAGTATTTCTTATATTGAACATCATTTGGAGGAAATACTGAGCGTGGCAAGGGTGCAGAATATGCTCTGGGTGGAGGGCTTCAATGCCCATCACCAAGAGCAGTGTCGGGAACCTCCATCTAAGATAGTATCAGTAGGAATAACCACTGAGTAGTTGTTGTGGAGATGAAATCTGCCTTCACAATGAGGATACCTTCCATTGCATTGTGTGGCACTACTATCATGCTTAACAGGATAGATTTTGAACAGATCTAGCAACGCAAAACTGGGTATCAATGAAGGTCTGTGGGTCATCAGCAACAGTAGAATTGTTTTAAACCACCGTTTGTAACCTCCATGGTTCAGCACGTCCCCTCAAACCAGGAGGTCAACCCTAGTTCAATAAAGACTGCAGAAGGACACTGCAGGAGAAGCACCAGGCGTACATTAAAAATAAGATGACACTCTGATTAAGCTTCAATGACGGACTATTTGCATACTAATCAGCAGATGCAACCTGCAAAGGACAGGGCTGAGTAATCCCACAATTAATGGATCAGATCTAAATGCTGCATATTCAGTCATGAATGGTGATGAAGCAATTCACTGGATGAGGTGGTTCACAAATAGCCCCCCATCAATGACTGGGAGCCCAGCACATCACTGCAATAGACAAGGCTGAAGCATTTACATCCATCTTAAGCTAGAGTATGGTGCTTATGATCCATCATGGCCTTCTGCTGAGCCTGTTCCCACATTTTACTGGATGAGTGCAGTTCCAACAACACTGAGCAGGTTTGACCTGATTTAGAACGAAACAGCTGAATTCATTTGTAACCTATTCACTAGCCTTAGAATTCATTCCCTTCACCACTATGTACAGTGGCAGCAGTGTGCACGAGCTCAAGGTTCAGTGTGCTAATTCACCGAGGCTCCTCCGCCAACAAGTTCCATCCCTGTGACTCCTAACACTTGGAAGGATACGAGCAGCAGATGCAAAGAAGCACCACCACCCGCATGTTCTCATCCAAGCCACACACCATCCTGACTTAGAACTGTTGCTGGGCAAAATTCTGGAACTTGCTCTCTCTCAGCACTTTGGATGTACCTACTTCATGGACAGCAGCCATTCACGAAAATTAGCAATAAATGCTGGCCTAGCTGGGAACACCCCTCATTCCATGAATTCATTTTTTTTTAAAATCCACTATTTGCTACGTTTTCAAGTGTTTTCTCATCCCCAGATGTCAAAATTATATTGTGTGCTGCCAAATCTGAGTCATAAACTCATGTCAAAAAGAGCAGTGGTCCTCATATTATCCCCGATCGGACTGAGTTGCATTTGGGTGACTGGATAGTTTTTTTTTTTGTCCCTTAGCCAATTTTGTATCCATGTTATTATTGTCCTTTTCATAGTATGAGCTTCATGACGCAACTTAATTGCACAAAGCATTACCAGGAAATTAACTTTTTTAAATTGAATATATTAGTAGGGAATAACCTTGTTACATGTAAAACTCATAATTTGTGTAGAGTGACAACTATGGGAGTGGGTGGACAACAGTTCGTTAATATTTAAATAGGATACATTACCAGTTTAGCTTTTTTAATGTTTTGTAAAATATCCTCAGCAGAACCTAATGAATACTGAGACCACAGATTGGGAGAATACTTGCAACCAAGTATCTTTTCCTGATTGAGTAATTGTTTGCTATAAGCAGTTTCTTAAATATTTTTCTTCTCTTTTCCAGTTTCTGGCTTATTCAGTTTACTTTGGTGCAATTGCTGTGTTGTTCCTGATCTTTGGTGTTTATAACATTGTGAAGAAATGCAAAGAAAAGCTGAGACCACGTGAAAACGTCTCTGCTTGTTTGGACTGCAGGAACGAAGTGACACCAAAGACATCTTGAGCAGGCATGATCAAATCATACAATCCCCACAGCATGGAAGCAGGCCATTCAGCCTATTGAGTCCACACCGATCCTCCAAAGTGCATTCCACCGAGACACTACACTCCCACCCACCTTTATCCCTCTAACCCCATATTTCCCGTACCTAGCCTGCACATCCCTGAACACTGGACTATTTAGCATGGCCAGTGCACTTAACCTGTACCTCTTTGGAAATCATGCTTGGCATAAGATTCACTAAAGACCACTTTTGCAATGGGTAGTTTCATATATGTGCAGTTATGTTATGTGATTACATTATGGCTACATTAACTGCAGTCAAACGATTTGTTTATTTTCGCACTAGATCATTAACCAGAGAAAAGCAATATACTGCAGACGCTGGTAAATTTTTAAAAAAGGCTGGATCAAACCCTAACAAAGACAGAAATTGCTGGAAAAAATTCAGCAGGTCTGGAAGCATCTGTGGACAGAAAGCTGAGTTGATGTTTCAGGTCAAGTAATCCTTCTTCTGAACTGATTGTAGTTAGTAAAAATTGGCATGTATGCTGAAGATTGGGTTGGGGGAAAGGGGAAGAAATAAATGATTGAGGAGAAGGAGCCCAGAGAGAGGGAGATACACAAAGGAATAGGTGATGGTCCGCTTAGGAGAATCACCTGCTAATGGGGACTATTTCGTAGCTGACAATGGATTGGTTGTGGTAGCAGCTCATGTGGTGACAAGGCCTGGTATGTGGGGTAGGGGTAAGATCGTGGAGAAGATGTTCAGGCCCTAAAATTATTGACCTCCATACTGTCCAGAAGATGGTAGGGGCCCCCAAGGTAAAATGAGGTACTGTTGTTCCAGATTGTGCTGAGCTTCACTGGAGCACTGCACCAAGCCTGAGACAATGATGTTGGCCAGGGAACATAGTGATGTGTTGAAATGGCAGGCAACCGGAAGCTCGGTCATTTTTGCGGATAGAACGTAGGTGTTCCACAAAATGGTTACCCAGTCTGCGTTTCTTCTCCCCAACGTAGAAGAGAACACATTGTGAGCAGTGAATACAGTAGATTAAATTGAACAAAGTACAAGTAAGTCGCTGATTCACCTGGAAGGTGTGTCTGGGTCCTTGGGAGGAAGTAAACGGCAGGGGTTGCACCTTCTGTGATTTGAATGGAAAGGTGCTGTGGTGATGTGGGAAGTTCAGGAGTGGACCAAGGAGGCCCAGAGGGAACGGTTTCTGCGAAGCTAATAAGAGGGCAAGTGAATGTGTGTCTAGTGGTAGTATCAGGCTAGCGGTGGCAGAAATGGTGGCTAATGATCTTTTGGATGCGGATGCTGTTTGGGTGGTAAGTGAGGACTAGGGGACTGTATTGCTCTTGTGGCAGGAAAGAGAGGGCGTGAGGGTAGAAGTGCAGGAGATGGATGGACATGGCTGAAGGCCCTGTCAGCCAGGGGAATTCTCGGTTTAGGAAGAAGGTGGATATTTCGGAGGCCCCCTTGTCAAAGTTGGCATCATTGGAACAGATGTGATGGAGATGGAGGAACTAGGAAAATGAAATGAGTCTTTACAGGAAGCAGAGTGCAAAGATGTATCGTCAAGGTAGCTGTGGGAGTTGGAGTTTATAACGGATATTGCTAGCCTATCCCCAGAAATGGGAACAGATGTCAAAGAAGGGAAGGGAAGAGTCAGATGGATCAGGTGAAGGTGAGAGCAGAGTGGAAGTTGGAAATGAAATTGGAAAAGTATATCATTCCGTGAAGAGGGAAGCAGCACTGATGATGTCATCAATATACTGGAGAAGGAGTTGCATGTGGGGCTAGAATAGGACTGGAAAAAGGATTGTTCCATGTACCCAACAAAGAGACAGGCATAACTGGTACCCAGGCCACATGTTTGATCTGAAGAAAGTTTACCGAGTTAAAGGAGAAGTTATTCAATGTGAGGACAAACCCAGCTGGGTGTAGGAGCATGATGGTAGATGGGGACAGTTCAGGCTTTTTCTTTTCCCAGGAAGAAGCAGAGACCAGCCTGATGGGGGATGGACATGGAGTGTTTGCACATTCATGGTAAGAAGGAGGTGGTTGGAGCCTGTGAACTGGAAATTTTGAAACAGATTTAAAGCATCAGAAGAACTGCAGATGCAAGTGGGAAGGGACTGGACAAGGGGAGAAAAATTGGAGTTGTGGTAGGAAGAGATGAGTTCTGTGGGGCAGGTGCAGGTAGACATGGTGGGTCTGCCCAGACAGTCCTGTTAGTGGATTTTGGGAAGGAGGTAGAAGCTGGCTGTATTGTGTTGGGATCTATGAGCTTAGAGGCTTTTGGCAGGGAGTGGGGAGATCACCAAGATAAAATGAGATTAATGACCATTGTGGACATAATTGCCTGGTGTTCAATTGTGGGGTCATGGTCCAGGAGAAGATAGGAGGAGATATGAGAGCTGGCGCTTAGCCTCCACAATGCAGAGGTCAGTCCACCAGACAATAATAGGGCCACCGTAGTTGTCGGGCTTGATTACAAAGTCAGGGTTAGATCTGAGTGCACAGAGTGCTGTCAGTTCAGAAGGACAGAGGTTTGAATAGGTAAGTTAGATAGTGAGGCAGACGAATTGAGGCAACCAAGGTCATGTCGACAGTTCATGATGAACAGGTGGAGTGCTGGTAAACTGCTGGAGAATCTTGGTGGTGGGTGAAGGGGTCTGTGATACTCTTGTGCGTAGAAATGGGCATGGAGGCAAAGGCAACAGAAGGACAGTTCAGTGTCATGTTGTACCTGAAATTCATTGTGGAATGCAGAGGAATAAAACTTAAGACCTTTGCTAAGTACAGCATTCTTTCATCATTTATGGGATGAGGGTGTTGCTGCAATGCAGCATTTATTGCCCATCCCTAATTGCCCAGAGGGCAGTTAGGAGTCAGCCGCATTGCTGTGGGTCCGGAGTCACGTAGGCCAGACCAGGTAAGGATGGCAGTTTCCTTCCCTAAAGGACATTTGTGAACCAGATGGGTTTTTCTGACAATCGACAATGGATTCACAGTCACCCTTAGAGTCTTAATTCCAGATATTTATTGAATTCAAATTCAATCATCTGCCGTGGCGTGATTCGAACAGAGAGCAGAGTGTCAGAATGGATAGCAAATACATGCCAGGAGGTGGGATTGGGAGAAACACAAGTCTGGCAGCATCAATAGAGAGAGAAAAACAGTTAACCTGTTGAGTGCAATAACTTCATATCTGAAGAAAAAATATTGGTCTCAATTTTAACTCTGTTTCTCTTTTCATTGATGCTAACAGACCCATTAAATTTGTGCAGTATTTTTTTGTTTTATTATCACTTAACCAGAGCTTTCATTGGAATTGTTGATGTATGTCAACTCTAATTTCACCAGAATTACAGCAGACAGTCTGTTTCTGTCAAGCAGGGCCTCTGTTGAAATTGGAAGTTTTGATGATAGAGCAAAGGCTGTTTGTTTCCCTTGTGTCTCTGGATAAATTAAAATCCAGGCTGTAGACATCTGTGGAATCTTCATACTAATTTTTCTGATAATTTGCCCAGATTTAGGTACCCTCGCCTCCTCTGCTAAATTGGATACTAAATCTGAGTACTATTGTCTGAGGCCAACCGATGATTTCTTCTTCCATTCCACCTCTCCATAAATTGTGATCCCTCATTAATGTTCTTGTCATATTTCAATTTGTCCTCACCAAACTTGATTTTTCTCGAAAGACAAATGTTAAAAGGATCGCATGCATTTCATGCCTTGTGTACTTAGAAGCCAATATGTGGCCATTTCAAAAGTTACAATCATAAGGATTAAAAAAATTGCTATTCTCTGCACTATTTCAATTATGTGCATCAGTACACTGAGACTGGATCCAATATGATTGTAAAAAAACAGTGGAGGGAAGAAGTATTATATTGAAGAACTCTGGCTATAACCTAAATATTGAACTGCACTGAAGTTTTCACTTCAACTGGTGAGTGCAACTATTTATAGCTACCAGCATCTTAATAATGGATAGAAAATTTGTATTATTCTTTTAACATGTCAATAGATAGAAAATGTGCTTTGATATTTTGAGAACCAATATATACCTGTGGTATGGATATATAGTGGAACTAAAATGCTTGTTCAATAAAGAATGACAACTACAAAATTGAATTACATAAGATTACCATATCGGTAGCTTTTAATTTTCTTGATGGTACAACAATCTGCCTGGCTGTAATAGTACAGTAAAACAGGCAAGTCCCAGTGGAGAGACTTAAACATGGAGGATTTGCAAGGAGTTTTCTTTTTGTAAAAGAAGGGAATGGGGTATTGGGATTAATTTCATAGCTCTTTGAAAGAGCTGTACGATACTTGAACTTAACTGCAGTGACAGCACAAAAACCTTAAAATAAATAACACTAGCTATTGAAGTGAAATGAAGTATTTTTGTCTCACTTAGCCTCTTTTGTTAGTCTTACAAGTTAGTTTTGGGTGCTGTTAGAAAACATTATTGTGATTTTAATGCCATGTATAATTCAATTAACCTGATGTGTATGATGTACCAAGTACAGATATTAGTGCACATGATGAAAATATGTCTTATGATGAAGTGATTGTATACGAGACTTGAAGAGTTGTGACACTGTCTCTCCATTCTTAAAGTTGCTGTTTATTGTTTATGCCACTAAGTATAAATATTTGTGCGAATGTACACTTTGCCAAATAGCTGGTTTTGAAACATGAAAATTCAGCAGAGTGCTGATGTTGTGCACCTTTTTATTAATAATAATAATAATAATATTTGGAATGAGTTGTCTGTCTTTCAGAAGTACATTTCTTTTTAGATTGATTTGTGGAAGGAAAATTTAGAAATGGGAGAAGACAAGAGTTTGACCTATTTTTGATTATTTATTAATTAAACTTAAAATTGTTGAGCAGCGAGCTATTTTGAGCAATCAATGGAAATCTGAAGGAGCAATTCCTCACATTTTCCCAATAAAACTAATCTAAGTAGTGGCAAAATCAATGAAGGAAGTATAATGTAAGATTAAAGCTCAGTAATATTCACTATCTCAAACAGACCATTAGGTCATCATATCACATACACGCAGCAGTTTTATGGTCTTGGATCTTTCTGCCATTTTGCTTGTGGAAATAAAGTAACATGCTTTGTTTTCTTGATTGGTCTTAAATGTCATTGTTGGAATGGCATTTATTACATGGCCAGGAAAGATGTAATTTGCCAATATTTAACAGGTGCCTAGTTCGCACTCGAATTCAGTCAAGTAGGTATTGGACAGATATCTAATTTATATTCATGTCAGATCTGCAATCTCATTCCAAGTCAGAATTATCAGAAAATTCAGCTGATGTACCAGTAATCAAAATAAAATCTTGTTGCATAGTAACTGTCTCAAATATTCACGCAACATTATCGATGAGAGCTCATTTTGCAATATTTGTAATTCAAAAAAGAATAGAGACCTTCACTAGATCAGGACAAAATAAGATTATTTGGCACAATGAGAAATCCTTTAAAGGATAAGCAGATTCTGTCCTTCTCCATGAGGAAATGAAAAACTCTCTCTCTCTCTCTCTCCCAAATTTGTATGCACCCATATATTATGGACAGAGAAATAAAACTTTAAATATCATTCTGAAAGCTGATTTAAAAGAAGCACCATATTGATTTAAGAGACTAATAACCCTCACCCTGGAGTTGGCACGGTGAATCAGCGGTTAGCACTGCTGCCTCACGGCACCAGGAACCCAGGTTCAATTCCACCCTCGGATGGCTGTCTGTGTGGAGTTTGCACGTTCTCCCCGTGTCTTTCTGGGTTTCATCAGGGTGCTCTGGTTTCATCCCACAGTCCAAAGATGTCCAAGTTGGACGGTTTAACCATGCTAAATTGTCAATAGTGTGCAGGAATGTGCAGGCTAGGTGGATTAGCAATGGAAAATGTGGGGTTACTGGGATTGGGTGGGATGCTATTTGGAGGGTCAGTGTGGACTCAGGGTCGAATGGCCTGCTTCCACGCAGTAGGAATTCTATAATTCAGTGTAGACAGCCTTTCAATTTGAAACGAGTACTCTGCTGCAAGTATATTTTTTAAACTTTATGATAACACAGTCATGGGTTTGTAATAAATCTTAAAATCAAGAAGTTTGAAAGCTAATGTCAGTCATCCAAGTTTATGCAGTAACAAAATAAACTGCAGTGCATTTTTTTAAGCCATTACAGAAATATTTCTTGAACCAAATTGGTTTGCACTAGTGAGAGTGATCTGACTCAAACAGTTAAATTATGTTGCGATTAAACCTATTGTTTGTCCTTTTGTAAAATAAAGAGTAGTATCGTGAAATTCTACTCCCCTTCGAGCAACAATGCAAAGTCTATTTTGTACAGGAGTTAGCCAGCAAGAGAGGTGAGAATTCTTTAATTGGAAAGATGCTGAGATGTTGATAAATCGAGAGACCAACTGGTTCAGTACATTGTGCAGGTAGAACAATGCATTTTAAATTAAAATACCAGCACTTTGCAAATTAATATGGGAGCAGTGCAGATTTTGACAATTTTATTAATTTTATGTAATTGTATTTTGCATTGCTTAAATTTATGATGTCAACTTTTAAAGAAGGCAGTGCTTAGAATTTTTTTAATATTTAACATAATTAATGCAGTTATACCTCTTAAATTATAGGACCCTTGCTTTCTACGTGAGATTTATATTGTCAGTGGGCCAGTTGAAATATTTAGAAATGTTTGTACTTTTTTGTAGTTAAGAAATTGCACTTCAAATGAATGTTTAAATATTAACATGCTTTTAAACAAATTGTACATTTTGACTTTAATAATTACATGTTTGAAATAGTTCTAAAAACCAAATTCATGTTGCCTTTCAAAAAGCAGAAATGCCTTGGTGCTGTCTAAGCCTGAGCACAAAAATCCTTAACACCTTCCAAGTCCCCACAACCACTTCCACACAGAAGCATTTGGGTAGCAGACACTTGGAAACTCCACCAGCTACAAGTTTCCCTCCAAGCGATTCCTCTGCCTACCTTAGAAATATATTGCCTCTCCTTCAGTGTCACTGGGTCGAAATCTTGGAATTCCCACACCTTTAATATTGTTATGGGTCAACCCAAAGCATATGGACTGCACACAAGAAGTCAGCTCAACACTGAAAACGCCCAGGTCCCAATAAACTAAAATCTCATATATTCTCTGCATCCTACTTTAAACCAGCCAATCAATAACTGAAATGGGCCGCTGATTACCTAAAAATGTTGTGGTGAGGATTGAGTGAGATTCGCCTTGATAGGCTGAGGTGGGGAGACCACAATCGAGATATGTAGAAATGTGAATAAAGATCCGCCATAGTAGCATAAATTATGGGGGTTCCCTGTTGTGATTGGTGTGCCTGGGAACATGGGAAGGGGTGTGGAAACTTGCGGGAATGTTTGATCTCACTGGGTGCTGAATGAGTGGCTCTTGTTATTCATGAAGTGGACAGAGCGGTCTCGCAAAACCGAGTGGGGGAAAAAGGAGTTTTTGAAACCTTATATTTAACTGTACCCTGTCTGGAAAATGTAGAAAGATGAACGGGGCGGTTCCATATTTCACAAACTTGTACAAAAAAAACTTTGAAACGTGTATTAAATTGATATTTAAAGAGAAGACAGGACGGCCGATTGCTGTGTCGGGCCGGTTCCCGGGTGGCAGTGGAAAGTTTGCTCGTTGTGTGTTGACTGCGAGCCCCCTCTGTAGTGTTTTGGAGAGGCAGACCACCCACAGCGTGAGCTAGGATAGTCTCTCAACCCGGCGCCATTGCACACCACCGCCGCCGCTGCTGCCTCCGCTTTGTGCAACGCAAGATTTTGGGAGGGGGTGCGGGAGAGCGAACAAGAGGGAGGGGAAAAAAACCTCCGAGAAGACATGAACAAACCTGGAAACATATAAATGAATGGAGTGCGTGCAGAAGGTGAGACCTGACTAATGAAAATTTTACGTAGCGAGGGATGAAGAAGAAAAAGTGAAAGCACTGAAGTTCCTTTGAGTTGAGGAGACAAAGGGAGCTGGTGGGTTGATTCAGTCGCGAGGTATGTGGCTTGGAGACTGAAAAAGGAAACTGCTTTTGTTAACTGTTATTTCTTCAAACTTCTTCGTAAGGAACTTAAATTGCAGAATTTCCGTAGCTGAGCTAAACACAAGGCGATTTATGATCCGGCCTTTGTTTTTACAAAGTGCAGAGGGGAATGAAAGTGAACTCGATGCAGTGGGGAGGGGTCGTTGCTTGTGGAAAGCAAAGCGCTGTTGTCGCCTCGAAGCAATCCGTAGCAAAAAAGAACATGTTTCTTGGTTATTTTAAAGAAAGTGAAGGAGCGGACGGATGGATGTCTGGCCGCCAGAAGGAGGAAGATCCGCAAAGACTCCGTTTTGATTTTGGGGCGGGGTGGGGGTAGGTGGTTGGTATCATCCCGTGAATTCTCCTCGGGCCTTTACCCCAGAAATAGAACACAATGTTACAGTTAAAGAACAAACCTGACTTGGAAAAACTAGCATTGGGATAAATCATGTTCATGTTCATGTCATTCCGTTTGTAAACAAGAACGGCTGCAAAGTACCCTTGTATTGATTTCCCACCCCACCATCAAACAATTCCACCAGTTCCAAATAGACCCCACCACCTGGAACATCTTCCATTCCCACCCCTCTCTCTGCCCTCTCCAAGGACCATTCCCTTCGCCATTTCCCACCGACCACTCCAACCCATGTGGTACCATCCTTGTAACCGTAAAAGATACAACACCTGCCCACACACCACCCACTTCACCTCCATACAGGGCCCTAAGCATTCCTTCCAGGTGAGACAGAGCTTCACCTGCATCTCCTGCAACCTGGTCTACTGTATCCAGTGCTCCTGACATGGTCTTCACTACATAGGTGAGAACAAACGAAGACTAGGTGACCATTTTGCTGAGCATCTTAGTCTGGCCCGTAATGGCCAGCCTAACCGCTCGGTCATCACCTGTTTCAATTCCTCCCCCTTACATGTCCATCCTTGGCATCCTCCCATGTCGCAGTGACTCAGAATGCAAATCTGAAGAACAACACTTTATCTTTCGCCTGGGCACCCTACAGCCTGGAGGACTCCACATTGAGTTTTCTGATTTCAAATAAACTTTCCACCCATCTCCCTTTCCAGCCCCGCCTACTGACCCTGCCTTCCAGCTACCAATCAGATTCATCCCTCCCATCGACCAACCAGATCATACCATTACCAGTGTCCACCCATCACCACCATTCTGCTATGCCCCCCCCCTCTTTATTTGCAGCTTCCCCTACCCCACATCCAGTCCTGAAGAAGGGTAATACCTGAAACGTTGACTTCTCCTTTCCGCCAGATGCTGCCTGGCTTGCTGTGTTCTTCCAGCCTCCTGTTTGTCTACCCATTTATCCTTGCCAGTTTTCTCAAGAAGAAGAAAAGACATCTGATTATTTCTTCCCCATCTTGATTCTCATCTTGGTCCCTGACCTGCTGTGATCCCCCTGTAATGACTCAAATGACCCTTTAACCAAAAAGAGCTCTGATTTCTATCAGCAGTCCCAGAATAATTGTGAGCCATTGTGAATGCTTAAAATCTAATGTAAGGTGTTAGCGACCTGTATATCTTGAAAAGAAAAATCCTTGAATTCGTCTGTATAAGCTCTTAAAATAGTCACAAAAAAGTAAAAGTTGGAATTGAAATAACTCTGACCACATGCATTGATGTCGCATTTTAACATAGTGAAATATCCAGAGGGCTTGACAACAACATGGTCAGAAAGAAAATACCCAGCCAAAGGGAGGAGATATTAGGATAACATCATTAGGGTGTTATTAGGGTGTAGAGTGTCATTAGAATATAACACTGTATGAGGGGATAAAGCAGATGGCTAAAGACTGGCTCAAAACTATTGGATTTAAGGGATTTTAAAGAAGGAAAGAGAGGTAAAGGGGTTTATAGGGAAGAAACACCGGAGTTCAGGCCCAAAGAACTTCAAGGCGCAGTCAGAAATGGTGTTGAAAATATTTGGGAGGGCAGAATAACATGAGTAAGACTTTTTCCAGGATTGTAGGGCTAGTGGAAGTTGCAGAGTTAGAACTGGAAGTGGCCATGATGAATTTGAAACTAATAATGAATTTTAAAATTGAAGTCTTGCTTAAGCAGAAGTCAAGGTAGGTCAGTAAGCACAGAGGGTAATAGATGACTGGGCCTTAGGATATGGGCAGTAGAGTGATAGATGACCTCAAGTTAATGGAGGGTTGGATGTCAACAACTGGCCAGGTGTTTGTTGGAATAGTCAGGTGTGGAAGCGAAAAAAGGCATGAATGAATATTTCAGCAGGAGAGTTAGAACAAAGCTGTAGGATATGGAGGTGGAAAATGAATTTTTAATGATGTGTAGATATGGCTGAAAGCCAATCTTGAGGGCATGTGACACCGAGGCTCTGACCAGATCAGTGTTATCTGAGACTTAGTAGAGGGAGAGTCATACGGCAAAGAAACAGACCCTTTGGCCCAATTCATCCATGCTGACCAGGTTTCCTGAACTGAATTTGTCCCATTTGCCTGCATTTGGCCCATATCCATCAAAACCTTTCCTATTTGGAGAGATATATCAGTGTTTTTTAAATGTTGTAGTTGTAATTGTACTTGCCTCAACCACTTCCTCTGGAACCTTGTTCCATATGTGTATCGCCCTCTGTGTCCCTCAGGTCTCTTTTAAATCTTTCTCCCCAAACATTAAAACCACGTCCTCTTGTTTTGGACTCCGTACCCTGGGGAAAAGACCTTTTACTATTCACCTTATCTATACCCCTCATGGTTTTATTAACCTCTAAGGTCAGCCCTCAGCCTCCTACTCTCCAGGCAAAAAAAGTCCTAGTCTATCCTTATAACTCAAACCCTCCAGTCTCAGTGACACCCTTATAAATTTTTTTTGCACCCTTTCCAGTTTAATAACATCCTTCCTATAGGAGTGTGACCATAATTATATGCAGTACTCCAAATGTGGCCAATTCCTGTACTCAGTGCTCTTACCAATGAAGGCAAGTGTGCTAAATGCCTTCTTCGCCACCATTTAACCTATGATGCCACTTTGAAGGGACTATGCACCTGCACCCCTAGGTTTCTGTCTTCGACAACACTCCCCAGGGCACTACCAGTAACTGTGTAAGTCTTGCTCTGGTTTGTCTTACCAAAGTGCAATGCCATTGCATTTATTTGCATTAAACTTCATCTGCCGTTATCCGACCCACTGGCTCAATTGATCAAGATCACATTGTACTCTTGGATAAATCAGCCTTCTTAAACATGCTGTGATACACCCTGGGGCAGGTGGGGCTTGAACCGGGCCTTTCATGGCCAGAGGTAGGGACATTACTGTTATTCTGGCTTCATTAAATGATTGCCAACTCTGTTTTAAGATGAACAGCATCACAATTGTTAAAGTAGAAAGAGGGAATTTGTACCATCCTTTCTATGCCAGTTCTTAGGGGAGGCCTAGTGGTATTATCACTGAACTGTAAAACAGAGACCCAGGTGATGAAGAGGGGATCCGGGTTTGAATCCCGCCACAGCAGATGGTGGAAATTGAATTCAATAAATATCTGGAATTAAGATTCTAATGATGACCGTGAACCCATTGCCGATTGTCGGAAAAACCCATCTGGTTCACTAATGTCCTTTTAGGGAAGGAAGCTGCCATCTTTACCTGGTCTGGCCTACATGTGACTCCAGACCTACACCAGTGTGGTTGATTCATAACTGCCCTCTGGGCAATTAGGGATGGACAATAAATGCTGGCCTAGTCAGTGACACCTTTATTCCGTGAATGAATTTAAAAAAAATTCTCCCACAAGCTACCCTCAAGTGGCATAAGTCAATATTTGTTTGAGTTGTATTTAAATAATTTTTTTACCAGTGTCTCAACTTAATGTTCTGCACTTATGTATTCCTAAATCTAAAGTCATAGAGTTGTACAGCACAGAAGCAGACCCTTTGGACAACTCATCCATGCCAACCAGATATCCTAAATTAACTTAGTCCCATTTGCTAGCATTTGGCCCATATCCCTCAAAATGCTTCCTATTCATTTACCCATTCAGATGCCTTTTAAATGTTCTAATTGTACCAACCTCCTCCACTTCCTCTGGAAGCTCATTCCATATGCGCACCACCCTCTGTGGGAAGAAATTGCCCCTTAGGTCCCTTTTAAATCATTCCCCTCTCACCTTAAATGTTTGCCCTCTAGTTTTGGACTCTCCTACTCTTGGAAAAAAGACCGTGGCTATTCATACTGTCCATGCCCCTCATTATTTTACAAACCTCTGTAAGGTCACACTTCAATCTCCAACGCTCCAGAGAAAATAGCCACATCCTATTCAGCCTTTCCCTATAGCTCACACCCTCCAAACCCGGCAAAATCCTTGTGAATTTTTTCTGCACCCTTTCAAGTTTAACAACATCTTCCCTATAGCAGGGAGACCAGAACTGAATGCAGGATTCCAAAAGTGGCCTAACCGATGTCATGTACGGCTGCAACATGACCCAAGGATTTATCCATCTTTGTGTTTTAAGATATCCAGCACCACCACCTCTGTAATATGGACACTTCTTAAGATATCACAGTTTATTTCTTCAAATTCTCTAGCTTTCATATCCTTCTCCACTGTAAATATTGACGCGAAATACTTGTTTAGTATCTCATCCATTTCCTGTGGTTCCACACATAGATGACCTTGTCGATCTTTAAGGGACCCTAATCTCTCCCCAGTTACTCACGTGCCCTTAATGTATTTGTAAAGTCTCTTTGGATTCTCTTTAACGCTATTTGCCAAAGCTATCTCATGTCCCTTTTCTGCCCTCCTGATTTCCCTCTTGAGCATACTCCTATTGCACTTGTACTCCTCAAGGGATTCGCTCAATCTCAGCTGTCTGTATCTACCATCTGCCTCTGTCTATTTTGTGACCATAGCCTTAATATTTCCAGTCATCCAGCATTCCCAATTCCTAATAAAAACTGAAAGAACTGCGGATGCTGTAAATCAGGAACAAAATCAAATTTGCTGGAAAAGCTCGGTAGGTCTGGCAGCATCTGTGAAGGAAAAAAAAGTTAACGTTTCGGGTCTGGTGACCCTTCCTCTTCTGAGGACCCGAAACGTTAACTCTGTTTTTTCCTTCACAGATGCTGCCAGACCTGCTGAGCTTTTCCAGCAAATTTGTTTTTATTCCCAATACCTACTAGCCTTGCCCTTCACACTAATGGGAACATACTGCCTCTGGACTCTCATCTAACTTTAGAAGGCCTCTCCCTTTTCAAGTGTATTATTTTCTAAAATATGTAAGCCATGAACTAAACTTCTGCAACAAAATGCAGATGAGAAATAGAGGTGGCCATGAATTGATTTATAGGAACACAGAGAATACTAGACTTGTGTGGGAGCAGGAAGAGAAGCCATTGTAGGTGATTTTGTGATCTCTGCTGAATAGACATGAATGCAGCCAAGTGAATACAGTTCCAGCTGAATAATAGTTCTATTGAAGGAGTATGATGTGATTGATGCTGTTAAAGTTTGCAGACATTGAGAAGGACAATAAAGCACAAGTTTACTTCTGTCCCAAGCACATTGAATGTCAAGGTGACTAACAAGCCTTTATTGAAGTCACAGTGATATAAATATTGCTTAATAGTGTTCAAAATCCACTGAAGATTTAATATCCTGGGGCTTTTCAGATACTGAAATTAGTGCCTTTTAAAGACGACAACACTGACCATCATCATCTGACCCACATTGGCTGGGTCATTTTCATGAAGCCAACATGAATTAGATAAGATATAGCCTTAGTTGAAATTAACCTGTTTCCTGAACGCAGTAAAACCAGTCAATTTCCACCATGGGAGGCATGTAAAGGCCTCATTACTACCTAATTTGGACCATCAGGAGAATCTTCACATGTTAAGAGATGAGAATTACCATTGTCAAGTCTCGCCACAATAAATCCACCAGACTGAATGTACAAAGTAGCTGCTATTTCAGACAGCTTTGTGGCAGAAATCGAGGCTGCAGAAGTGAAACAGCCAGGAGAAGGCCCTTTAGACTTTTTTATTAAGAGAACACCAGGAAACCAAGAAATGAAAAGGTTACTACAATATTCTTTACAATAGAAACCAACTAAGCTACTGTGATTTCAGGTTTCTCAAGGACACCTATAAGACTCTGAAATTTATAATCCTTTATCTTCCTTTTTGTACTGGACATCATCCCCTTTTAACTTTGTGGCTGAGAGAGAAATTCCCCAAAAGCTGTATGCTTGACCTCACAACTCTACTTGCTAATCCCAAGAAAAAAAATAATGTAAACTTGCTGTTTAATCAAGAAAACCCTGTGATCAGCACTTCTGCTGCTACAGTAAAAAAAATAGTTAACTACATTTTAGTTGGAGAAAGATATAGTTTTGGGTTAAAGAAAGGTTTTGAACTTTGTTGCAGCAGTGAAGGTTGAAAAAAGGGGAGGCAGTTCAGCCCTCCTCATAACAGTTTACTTATTTTTGAGAGCGTGGTCATAACAATCTGAAAGTGAGTGAGACAGTACCTGAAGAGACAGAAATGTTAGCAATGTCAAATAACATGGGACCAGGAGGAGAAATTGAGTGGTTGGCAATTTCATGGGAATAGCATCAAAGCAGGAGGTGGGTCTTGTGCACGAGGTAAGTTTGTAGAGGGCACGGTCACCGTTGCTGATACTATCTTTTTTAATTCAAGATTTATTAATTAATTTAGAGTTCTCAATTGTCATGGCTGCATTTGAACTCCTGTTTCTGAGTCAATAGCCCAGTAACACTACCACTGTACACTTAGAATTAAAAAATAGTGCGTGGTTATAACAGACGAGCAGAACCCAGTCATGCATTCTGTAGTCCAGTGAAATCTAGTGATGGCTGACTAACCCATTAGTCCACTATATCTATTCCGATCTGAATCCCATTGATCTTAAGGGAAGTGAATATCAAAAGATGAGTGGGTTGAGAGAGAGTAATGGTGGAGGTGATGGTGTGGTTCAGCAAATCAGTAGCTGCGGAAATATTACAATGAATTGTTGAGTAAATATTTCGTTTGAAATACTTAGTTTAGGCAGCACGGTGTTACTCAGTGGTTAGTACTGCTGCTTCACAGTACCAAAGATCTGGGTTCAATTCCAGCCTCAGGTGACTGTGTGGAGTTTGCATGTTTTCCCTGTGTCTGCATGGGTTTCCTGCCACAATCCAAAGATGTGCAGGTTAGGTGGATTGGCCAGGCTAAATTGCCCGTAGTGTCCAGGGTGTGTAGGTCAGGTGGGAAATGCATGTTTACAGGGAGAGGGGAGCTTCTGTGCTCAGATTTGTTAGGATTTGGAATGGGATGCCTAGGAGAGTGGTGGAGGCAGTTTCCGTAGGAGGTTTCAGAAGAGAGCTGGATATATATTTGAAAATGATGAATTTTGAGGGCTATGGATATACAGCTGGAGAATGGCGTTAGCTGGGTATCTCTTTCAGGAGCTGATACAGACACAGTGGGTTGAATCGCTGCCTTCTGTACTGTAAAAATTCTATGATTCTGTGGATTGGGGAATTTTATTTGTAGTGACAGATATAGTAAGAAGTAGGGTTGGAACTCAATCACTGTTCCATCACTGTCCTTGCACCAAAAACCTGGAACTTCCTTTCAAACAGAACTGTGGGTTACCCAGACCAAAAGGATTGCAGGGTTCAAGAACGTGGCTAATCATCACATTCTCGAGGGAAATTTGGGATGAACAATTAATAGTGGCCTTATCAGCGACATACTTACTGTGAAAGAAAAATAAAAAGTGAAATCTTCTGAGAGACAGAAGGCTCTGACTCAGCGCTCCAGTACAATGGACAGATAGCAGCCCCACTGCTAAAACAGATAGTGAAATGGTTATGGTCCAGGCTTCACATGCCTCATTAAGGGGACCGGTGAGATGAGAATCTGTTGCTTTTCCAGTTCCAGGAGGCTGTCTCTTGGGTGCTGCCGATAAGGGGGAGGAGCTAGTCCAATGCTTGCAACCTCTTGGCACTGTCCAGATATTTTCTAATCAAACTGTTTAGACATTGAGATGTGTCTGGAGCATGTGGGACTTGACCCCAGGTCTTCTGGGCTAGAGGTATGGGTGTTACCACTGTGCTACAAGAGCCCTTTAGCCTTCTTGCCCTAAGTGGGTCCTTAATTAACCCTAATTAGCTATTTGTGAGTACCAATTTCAAAATTTGCTCTAGCCCTTGTTTTGAAAGCCACCTCTGCAGGGCTTGGAAAGTTCTTTTTCCTATATTTCTGTAGGATGATAGTATTGTGATTATTTTTGATTTCAACAGATAATGTTACCTCAGTGTATCAGTATTTTACGTGTTCTGTATAATTAATTATCTCTTATTTCTGCTTCAGCATTCAAGCATGCCATCGCCTCACTGTTCCACAGTTTCACAATGAACTATAATACCAGTGCCAACAGGAGTGTGGGACACAGCACTTCACAGGAAGATGGTGGAGTCATAATTGCAGAATCAATTGCCATCATTGTCATTGCTGTGTTAATCTGTCTGGGAAACCTGGTGATTGTCATAACTCTTTACAAGAAATCTTACCTCTTGACGCCAAGCAATAAGTTTGTCTTCAGTCTGACACTTTCCAATTTTCTGTTATCTATTCTGGTGCTTCCTTTTGTTATTGCAAGCTCCATCAAGCGAGAATGGATCTTTGGGGTGGTTTGGTGCAACTTCACAGCCCTGCTGTACATGCTTATCAGCTCAGCCAGTATGATGACCCTTGGAGTCATTGCAATAGATCGGTAAGACTTGTTTCATTGTGTCTTTTATATTGGAGAAACAAAAGATTTAATTGAGTAATGTAATAGAAGCAAGTTTGTTATAAATGAATAATATATGCCTTTCTTGTTGAAAAGCTTCTAGGTATTTGTACAAATAATGTGTGTATTTTATTTATACCCTGAACCACGTATGGAATGCCACATTTTCATTACTTCTTTTACTGTTCCTTGTTTTGGTATTGCCAAATTTTACTGACATTGTGTTCAGATATGGATTGTAGTATTGGTTGGATTATCATTTGCAGTAATTCAAAAGTATTAAAATATCAAGGGGATTGAACTGAGTGAGGAAAAATTCTCAACATATCAGCCACAGTTCAGGCTAACCATTAGATGGCAGCAATTTACTAGGAATAACAAGAAAAGGGAGGAAAAAAAATTGGAGAAATCTCAAATGGGACAAAATAATTTACATTCAAAGGGCTGCTATTCTTTGGAACTCTGAGCCAAGGAGCTTGTGATTCTCGTGTTTAAGCATATTCAGGATAAGACGTTGATCACAATTTTTTTTTTGAATGCTAAAGGAATCAAATATGATGGTGTGGGAAAATCGAGTTGATGTTGAAGATCAGCATCTTAGAGGGTGACTGAGTAGATGTGAAGGGCTGAATAGCCTCCTACCCATTTTTTGACTTCCCAGTGATCTAATTGTAAAAAAACACGTTGAATGTTGAACAATATCTTGAGATGCTCCAAAACTTTAAGGAAAAATGGACTGAGTGTTGAAATTCTGATCAACATGATGAAAAAATAAATACCCTTCTTAAAATTTAAGTTTGCAAAGATTTAGGAAGGAAATTGCAGAGTATGGATTGTGGACAGATGAAAGCATTACCTGTGGAGATGAAATGCTACCTTCACATTGAGAATAACCTCCATCATGTTGTGTGGCACTGTCCCATTCAGCACGATGATAGACTTCGAACAGATCTAGCAACTCAAAACTGGGCATCCATGACAGGCTATGGGCCATCAATAGTACCAGAATTGTACTCCAACACAATCTGCAACCTCTCTCAACCATTACCATCAAGTCAAGGGATTAACCTTGGTTCAATGGAGAGTGCAGGAGGGCATTCCAGGAGGTAGCAAGTGAGAGAGAGAGCTAAGCAATCCCACAATCAACGGATCAGAGCTAAGCGCTGTAGTCCTGCTACAACTAGTCGTGAATGGTGGTGGACAATTAGACAACTCGCTGGAGGACGAGGCTCCACAAATGTCCCCATCTTTAATGATGGAAGAGACCAGCACAACAGTGCAAAAGATAAGGCTGAAGCATTTGTAGCAATCTTCAGCCAGAAGTGCTGAGTGGATGATCCATCTTGGCCTACTCCAGTGGTCCCCAATATTATAGATACCAGTCTTCAGCCAATTTGACTCACTCCATGTGATATCAAGAAACAGTTGGAGACACTGGATACTATTAAGGCTGTGAGCCCTGCCAACATTCTGGCAATAGTACTGAAGACTTGTGTTCCAGAACTTGCTGCTGTACTAGCCAAGCTGCTCCAGTACAGTTATAACAGTGGCATCTACCTGACAATATGGAAATTTCCTGTACATGAAAAACAGGACAAATCCAGCCTGGCCAATTATTGCCCCATCAGTCTACTCTTGATCATCAGCAAAGTGAAGGAAGGTATCATCTGCCATTAAGCAGCACCTACTCATCAATAATCTACTCAGTGACGCCCAGTTTGGGTTCTGCCAGGGCCACTCACCACCTGACTTCATTACAACCTTGGTTCAAACATGGACAAAAGAGCTGAATTCCAGAGGTCAGGTGAGACTGACCGCCCTTAACATCAAGGCTGCATTTGATCAAATGTGGCTTCAGTGAGCCCTGGCAAAACTGGAATTGATGAGTATCCAGAGGTAGACTTTCCATTAGTTTGAGTCATACCTGGAACCTAAGAAAATAGTCATGGTTGTTGGAGGACAATCATTTCAGCTCCAGGATACTTCAACAGGAGATCCTCAGGGTAGTGTCCTAGACCCAACCCCATCTTCAGCTGCTTCATCGGTGACCTTCCATCCATCATAAGGTCAGAAGTGGGGGATGTTCACTGATGATTGCACAATGTTCAACACCATTCACTACTCTTCAGATATTGAAGCAGTCCATGTTCAATCAAATATGGACAATATCCAGACTTGGGCTGACAAGTGGCAAGTAATATTTGGGCAAGATAAATGCCAGGCTATGAGCATCACCAAAAAGAGTCAATCTATCCACCACCCTTCGACACTCAATGGTGTTACCATTTCTGAATCCCCCACTGTCAACATCCTAGGGATTACCATTGTCCAGAAAATCAACTGAACTTGCCACATAAACACAGTGGCTACAAGAGCAGGTCAGAGGCTAGGGATAAGCAATAATTCACCTTCTGACTCTCCAAAGCCTGTTCTTCATCTACAAGTCACAAGTCGGGAGTGTGATGGAATACTCCCCACTTGTCTGGGTGGGTGCAGCTCCAACAACACTCAAGAAACTTGACACCATCCAGGACAAAGCCTGCTGGATTGGCCCCACATCCACTACCGTACAGCTAATGGTAAGATCCTGGGGAGTGTTG